TTCCATTAGGTGCAGTGGCCTCTAGGTCTGGTCCAATGTTGGCAGGAAGTGGTTTCTTTGAAGCTACAATAAGAGGAAAAGGAGGCCATGCAGCTATTCCTCAACAATCTATAGACCCCATATTGGCAACTTCTAATGTTATAATTAGCTTACAGAATCTTGTTTCTCGTGAGGCCGATCCTCTGGATTCCCAGGTAAGTTTGCTTCAACTTCACTTTTTCCTTTTCCCTAGCCACCAACTACTCATTTATGATTTCTGTTGTTTTGGTACAATTGGGATTTAAAAGGAAAAACACTCAATTAATGGGTGACTACCAGACCAACTGGTGCTTTTATTTAATTTCTAAATAAAAAAAACTTATACTGTATTCTGAACCCATGGCTGTGCAAAACTTGTGCTTGGGCCAGAAATTTATTGCTTACCTTTAATTAAACTTTTCTTATCATTTAAGTAAACTTTTATTTGTGTTATCCACTTAAACTTTGGAAGTAACAGTTGCAGCTTTTGATAACTTTGTTTGAGACCTTAGATATGTATATATCCTTCTATTGAATATTAGACGAGGTACTCATGACATTGATGCTGGTGCAAACCTTGAAGAGTAAATTTATCCTGGTAGCTTTTTCTCTCTTCAAATCTTAAAATGGAATGGCATCTGAGTTAAACTTGGGTTTGGATTGTAGAAAGGAATGGCTGTGCTATAGGGAAGTTAACATTGTAAGTTTGTAACTTTTGATGAGAGTGGGTTTAGGGGTTTCCAAAACACAAACATTGGGATAATATTAATATATCATGGATATACACTAATCCACTCCTTTGATCTTCTTATGTCTAGACGTATGTTATCAAGAATGGGAGATTGTAATTATGTATAAAGAATTGATTAGTTGCATTTACTTTACATAGGTGGACTTTGGCCACAAAAAACTTTCTAGTGAAAAGGATGAGATGCCCGAACACAATTCTAGTTCCCATCTCTGACAATAGAGATATGAATCTGAAACTTTGACCTTTTTTGCTTTGTCTTTTTATTTGGGCATGCATCAGAACGTGGGTCATATTTCGAGTTTGATTATTATTTCTATTAAATATGACGAAATGTTGTGTCAAGAATGAATTTGAATCTTCTGTGCCTTCTCTAAATTAGAAAGCATCTCCCCACAGGTTGTGACTGTAGGAAAATTCCAAGGAGGTAGTGCATTCAATATCATTCCAGATTCTGTCACAATCGGTGGCACCTTCCGAGCCTTTTCAAAAGAAAGCTTCCAGCAATTAAGACAGCGCATTGAGCAGGTATGTCATGGAAAAGAATAAAACTTTTGTATACATAAACTAAAATAATTAAAATGGTTAGAATTTGTTTTTATTTATAGTCTTTGTTTGTGCATTTCTCATTAAGTAAGTGTAGGAAAAGAAAGTAAGATAAATCATAAAATGAATTAAGTTCTCATTTAAGTTAAAATCAACCTACGCATCTTGTGTTGTTCTATTTGTTATTTGTGTCTATGAGCTCAACCATTTCAGCCTTAAAAAAATGACATAAAATGAAAAGAAGATAATATTCTTATAATTATCAATAAAAACATGTTACAATAAAACAAGAAACATTCTTACATGATAATTTCAACTAGAAATGGATTCACTCATATCATACAGTTTTTCATTACATGTGATGGCTAAGGCTGATACGTTTATGCAGGTTGTGATTGCACAAGCTGCTGTGCAGAGATGCAATGCAACAGTCAACTTCCTTCAAGATCGGAATCCTTTCTTTCCCACAACTATAAACAACGCTGACTTGCACGAGCATTTTCGGAGTGTTGCAGGGAATTTGCTTGGCATCAATAAAGTAAATGACATGCAACCATTGATGGGAGCAGAAGACTTTTCATTCTATCAAGAGGTTATACCTGGTTACTTTTTCATGATTGGAATACAGAATGCCTCACATGAAAAACTTGAGCAAGTACACTCACCCTATTTCAAGATCAATGAAGATGTACTTCCTTATGGGGCTGCACTTCATGCCTCATTAGCTGTTAGTTATCTTCTAAAACATCCTCAGGACGTAGCCCCTGCAGAGGGGAAACATCATGATGAATTGTAACAGAATTTTCTTTTTTGTTGGAAAAATAGGACTGTTAATAGTCACCAAAATAGTAGCCAATATATATATTGTTTCTTGTAGCAATGACATGATGGACTGATTTGTATTTAAATTTCAACTAAACTTAATCTTGAGCTTGTGTATGCTCTAAGTAAAGCTGTTTTAGATTACAATTAAGTTCCATTTTTTTCTTATGAAGTTTTACCATACTTCTTCTTGCTTCTATTATTGGAAAACTAAAACTGTTTCAAAGTTGTCACATTTGTCATGACTCATGTTGGGCTCAATCATTATGTATTTTATATACTTACCAAAATAACTTGCTTTGAAATGCTAATAATACCACTTGGCCTATTGTTTGTCTGTATTAATTCATCCTTGAATAAAATGATGCCGAAAATCTTAGGTTATTATTCAATGAAATTTCTTCTGTCAGTTGGGTGCAATTAACTCCTTTTATTTGTTCCCTCTATGTTAATGCAATTTGCATGCATCAAGAATACATCATAGACAATTTATCATGGAATGACATTTTTGGAAAGATTGAAATCTATTTTAGAATATTCTTTGTGGAAGTGTAATGGAATATAAAGCAACAGATGATTGGGATATGGAGTGGAAAAGAAGCAAATGTAAATTATCCAAAACTAAAACAAAAATGCTACACTACCAACCAAGGTAACAGTCAGGGACAGGAAACTAGAAATCTTGCAGCTAAATGTTACTGAAACAATGGAAGCAAAATGGAGGATTATTTGTTAAGCTTGGTTCTTTCAAAGTTTTATTTTTTGTGTTCATGAGGTTCAACTGCTTCAGGACATAGAAAGGTGATATTGGTACAGGAAAAAGAGAATGAGAGATACTGTGCAATCTTTTATCACCATCCCCAAACATGTAATAAGACTCCTATAAGTCAAATGATGACAGAACATTCTCAAAATCGATTTTCAGTAGCTTTTCAGTATGGGCCCACCAAAAATCTTGATATATCTTTTCATAATGATAATAAAATGACTTAATATATACATTCCATCAAAATTTTAAATTATGTATATAACATATTTTAACTTAACATACATGTGACTGGCACAGATAATAAAAATGACTTAAACTAAAATAATAATTTGTTAGATTGAAAAAAAAAATAGATACTTAAAATAAAAATTATATTTAAAAATCTTCAAGCTTATTATATAAATTAATGGAAATGAAAACATTGGTGTGCATTTGTTAATATTTTTATATTATTAATTTTTTAAATTTTTTATATATTTTAATCTATGTGGCACATTTTCTTTTTTAGGGATTGAAATATTGGTTGTTAACTAAAACATTGATCATTAATTTATTCAAAACAAATATATTAATAATGAAAATATACATTTCATCAGTAATAATTTAGCGATTAAAATTTTTGTAGCTAAGTTATTAAAAGTAAAACTATTAATCATTAATAATTTAAATCAAAATATTAACCACTGATACATTTAAAATAAATAAATCAGCCAATGAATATTGACTGAGTCGTTAATAATTTAGAGACCAAAAATTTAGTTGCTAAGTTATTTAAAATAAAAATATTTACGACAAAAATATAGGTTGTTATTAATTTAGTGACAAACATTTCAATCATTAATTGATTTTAAGAAAAAAATATTAAATTAATTGCTAAGTTATTTAAACAACAATATTAATGATGAAAAATATTAATTGTTAATAATTTAGTGATTAAAATATTAACTATCCTTTGATTTAAAATAAACATATTAATAATAGAATATTGATAACTAATAATTTCACAAATAAAATATTTGTTATCAAACAAATTAAAATAAATATATTACAACGAAAATATTAGTCTAATGACTAATAATTTAACGATTAAAATTTAAGTAGCTAAATTATTTAAAATTATAATATTAATAAAAAAATTTAATCGTTAATACTTTAATAATAAAAATAATGATCGCAAATTAATAAAACAATAAAAATAGATTTAATTGTTAATAATTTATTGACTAATATGTTTTTACTGAATTATTTAAAATAAAATTATTAACATCAGTATATTATTACTAATAATTTAGTAACTAAAATATTGGTCGCAAACTAATTTAAAACAAAAAACATTAGCAATATGCTCTTTCAGTCTCTAATAATTTAACAACAAAATTTTGATAAAAAATAACAGCTATAACACATAAAAAAAAAAAAAACAGAATCCATTTGTAAATAAATAGACACATTGAGAAAAAGACGAAGAAGAAATATAAAAAGTAAAATTTATTTATGAAAGAAATGAAGGAAATTATTTTTGAGAAAAGTGGCAGGGACACCAATCAATCAATACTCTCTAAAAAAGTATTTGATGAGGTTGATTGCTCAGTGTTTTATATCTCGTTTTTAATAAGATATTATTATTATTATTATTATTATTATCAAATTATATAAATAATAATATTATTTAATATTTTTAATCTATGATTAATTTTTAAGTTTTATCTAAGAATGCATAACCCTAAATTGAAGATTAAAAAAACATATGAAAGTCGAACGAGAGTCACTCTCAGCCCTAAGATGTTGCGATGGATTAAACTTTCAAATCAAATCATACTTCCCTAATTGAGTCTAAGCATGTTATCGTGTGGATATGCCTTCGGTACGGAATAAATTTTTTATTAAAAACATTATATTTTTTTAATTAGCGTGGCAGGCATGGGGTTTGATTAATAGTAAAAAGAAATTAATGTAAGTTGAAAATGTGTTTCATCCGATAAAATATTATTCGAGTGTCAGGGTGCAGAGAGAGGTTGAAGTGGATCCGTACAAATCAAAGCTTCGTTCTTTTTACTTTTTTTCCTTCCTTTGTCTGTTCTTCGTTCCATTCTCTCAATGTGTTCCTTCAAAAAGTGGTTCCATTTGTTCATCATTTTCCATGCCTTGGCTGCAACTCCAATCTTCTCGTTAACAGATTCCTCTGACCAACACTCCACAAACTTTCTGGATATTGCCAAGAAGGCTGAAGTGTTTGATTGGATGGTCAAAATCCGAAGGAAGATTCATGAGAATCCAGAATTGGGTTATGAGGAGTTCAAGACTAGTGAAGTGATTAGAGCAGAGTTGGATAAACTGAGCATCCCATATCAACATCCAGTTGCAGTCACAGGTGTTATTGGGTTCATAGGAACAGGAAGCTCACCATTTGTTGCATTAAGAGCTGACATGGATGCACTTCCAGTTCAGGTTTCATGAGTTCAATGTGCTGATTTAAATGTATCGTTAGTCTTTATCAAATAAATGATTTCTTATTTTTATTGTAGTGAATGTAAAAGAAATGCTTGGTTTCTATTTTCGTAATTAACACTAATTTTTATTTGTACATTTCCTTCATTTGACTCATTCTGCATCTTAATTAACATCAGGAAATGGTGGAGTGGGAGCACAAGAGTAAAGTAGCTGGAAAGATGCACGCATGTGGCCATGATGCTCATGTCGCTATGCTTCTTGGTGCAGCAAAGATTCTCAAACAGCATGAAAAAGAGATACATGTATATTGCCTAATTAATAATGCATCACTACAATAACCTTGTATTTGATTTTCGGATGATTTGTCAACTAAGATTATGAAAATATGATGTAGGATTTTAATTTAGAACTAATGATTTATATATTTATCAGCCTTTTCATTTATTATGAACTAGTTTTAAACTAAAATTTAATGTGGTATCAGAATTTTCTTAGTCTCTTGTCGTTTCACTAATTTGGATACAACTTAAGTCTTTGATGGACCATTTCATTTATCCTCAAGTGTATAAGTTGAAATCTCACAACTCACCCCTGTTCTCTGAATTGTTATGATCTTCATCCACTAGTACTCATGGATTAACGATAAATGCATTATTTTGCTTTCTAAATAGGGAACTGTTGTTCTTGTTTTCCAACCAGCAGAGGAAGGAGGTGGAGGGGCTAAGAAAATTTTAGATGGTGGAGCCTTAAACAATGTTACTGCCATCTTTGGATTACATGTGCTGCCTACCATTCCAGTTGGTGAAGTGTCTTCTAAAGCTGGTGCAGTATTGGCAGGAGGTGCTGACTTTGAAGCCATTATAAGAGGAAAGGGAGGTCATGCAGCTATTCCCCAACTTTCTATCGACCCTGTAGTTGCAGCTTCGAATGTGGTCATTAGCTTACAAAACATTGTTTCTCGTGAGGCTGATCCTCTTGATCCCCAGGTATATTTGGCCAATTCTTCTTCTTCTTCCCTTTCTGATATTCACATTTATCCTTATTTTAAACATATGAGGTTCCTACAACTTGTTTATGGTATCTTCACAGGTTTTAACAGTTTCAAAGTTCCAAGGAGGTGGCACCTTCAATGTTATTCCAGATTCTGTCACAATTGGTGGCACATTCCGAGCTTTTTCTACAGAAAGATTGGAGCAACTTAAGCAGCGTATTGAGCAGGTTTCTGAAGGAGAAGAGTGCATTCATTTTACATGCATATATAGACAAATCACTGAGGTAGGATGATTCATTTATGCAGGTTATCATTGGTGAAGCTGCTGTTCAGAGGTGTAATGCAAGTGTGAACTTTTTTGATGAAGAGAAACCTTTATATCCTCCAACTATAAATGATGGTGATTTGCACAAGCTTTTTGTTGACGTAGCTGGGAATTTGCTTGGTATCAATAACGTTATTACGAACATGCAACCAGACATGGCCTCTGAAGATTTTGCGTTCTATCAAGAGGTCATAGCTGGCTACTATTTCGCGCTTGGAATGAAGAATGGTTCAGCTGATGAACCTGTTCAACCATTACATTCACCATATCTCGTAATCAATGAAGATGGACTTCCCTATGGGGCTGCACTTCATGCATCATTGGTTACTTGTTATCTTACAAAATATCAACACAACATAGCCAAGGTTGAGGGGAAACATCATGATCAATAACACCTATAAAAGCTAGTTATCATGAAATTGAAATTATTAAAATCTAATGTTGTCTTATTTTTTGCAACATTGATGATGGCCTTGTTTTACATTTTTACCTATCGCATGGTTTAGATTCCTAAGTGTTTTCCCTTTAAAATTGTAAAACTAAAAACAGAATTTTTTATAACTATTTTAACGAGATTTACAAAATTACTGTTTATATGGGTTAAAAGGAACAATTTTTAAGACAGATAAGATAAAATGTAGGAAGTTCAAGAGTCACCTTGTATCACATACTTTTGAAATTCCGGAATCAATATGAAATCAGAAATCACTCCTTATTTTCAAATAATTGAGTTTTAATTAAATTAAGATAAAATTAAAAAAATGTATAAAATTATTAGATCTTTTTATTAAATCAGTTTTGAAATAAATAAATAATTATTATTTAAAATTTATTATATAAAAAGATATATATATTTTTTATAAAATAATTATATTAAAAAATATTTATTTTATTATATTTTTATCTTATGTTAATAATTATTTATTTTGATTATAATTTTTATTTTTTAAAATATCTATTTATTATATTATAAAAATATTATTTTATTAAATATGATAGAATTAAACTCATATATTTATCTATTTAATTATCAGTCCGATTTTAATAACATATAACAATCCTATAATATATACCTAATTTACAAAAAATTTAACATATATTAATAAAAGTAATTATCAACTAGTTTAATATGTTATAATAATTGTGAAACTATCATTTTAATTTTTTATTATAAATGGTTGGTGAGGGTAAATGAAATTATATACACAATACACGTGGAGCATGGAGTATAAGAGAGAAAATAATTATTTAATATTCCTTACTTAATTCAACAGGTAAACTCTCGCTTTAGTGGAAAACGATGTATTAAATTTGATTTTTGTTATAAGATTAACTGTTTTAATTAATTCTTAAAAATCATTTTTAATAAATGTTTTGAAATTGGTCTTCTCTGTTTTACTCAATTAATCGATGATTGGAGAGAATAATAATGAGGATAATCTTCTCCAATCCTAATCTTCTACAACACTGTGTGCTGTTTCTTTTCATTTCATTGTTTCAAACACCAAAGAATCTGTGTTCGTTCAAAATGTGGTTCCATTTGTTCATCATTTTCCATGTCTTGTGTGCAACTCCAATCTCCTCATTAACAGATTCTTCAAACATACTCTCCACTAACTTTATGGACAGCGCCAAGAAGCCTGAAGTTTTTGATTGGATGGTCAAAATTAGAAGGAAGATTCATGAGAATCCAGAATTGCGTTATGAGGAATTTGAGACCAGTAAACTGATTAGAGAGGAATTGGATCAACTGGGTATCCCGTACAAACACCCAGTTGCTGTCACTGGTGTTATTGGTTTCATTGGGACAGGAAGCTCTCCTTTTGTTGCATTAAGAGCTGACATGGATGCGCTTCCCATCCAGGTTTCATGATTTCTATATGCTACTTTTTATGTACTTGAACAGAAATTTGACTTTTTTTTTTTATGATAGTTTGTTGTGTTGGTTCTATTTGGCTTGGGGGGTAAGGGTATGATAACTAACGCTTATCCTACCTAGCCTTTCCTCAAGTCTCCGATACTGTAATTCTTTTAGCTAGATTCCATTGATCTGATGGTATATCTAAACCTTAGGAAATGGTGGAATGGGAGCACAAGAGTAAAGTACCAGGAAAGATGCACGCGTGCGGTCATGATGCTCATGTCACTATGCTTCTTGGGGCAGCAAAGATTCTCAAACAGCATGAAAAAGAGATACAGGTTTTACTTTTTGATTGTTTTTAATGTATGATATTGTGTTCTGCTTTAACTTTTCCTCGACTACTGCTCTTTTGATGTAAATTGAAAACATCACTCCTTGTTTTGTTACTGTCCAACAAGTTGCCATCTATTCAGCAATCTGATCCTTTTGATGATTTATATACGTTTTCCTTTTATTAATTTTTCATTGCAGAATTCATGTTATGACAATCTTTGATTTCTAACATACTGGTTAATTGCTGCTCAACGTCCAGTTAGTATCTGATATGCATCTTAGTCATTTTCCGTTTTCTTTTTTTGGAAAGAAAAATCATAGATTCTAGATACAGTAACACAATCTAGAATGAGAAAGAAAAACTAAAAGTTAAAAAGTTGGCTGCTACTATACAAGGATACTCACCCTTGTCTACTACTTTTCTCTGTAATTTTATTGTCTGAGATCTTCGTCCTCTCATGGATTCCTAATAAATTCATTATTTTGTTGTCTAAATAGGGAACTGTTGTTCTTGTTTTCCAACCAGCGGAGGAGGGAGGTGCAGGGGCTAAGAAAATTTTAGATGCTGGAGCCTTAGATAATGTTACTGCTATCTTTGCACTACATGTGATGCCTGACATTCCACTAGGTGAGGTGGCCTCAAGGTCTGGTCCGATATTGGCCGGAGGTGGTGCCTTTGAAGCAATTATAACTGGAAAGGGAGGCCATGCAGCTATTCCCCAACATTCTATCGACCCTGTATTGGCGGCTTCTAATGTGATTATCAGCTTACAGCACCTTGTTTCTCGTGAGGCTGATCCTCTGGAACCCCAGGTAAATTTGGTTAACTCTTCTAGTGAGCATCTCATTTATAGTTATTATATCCTTGTTTTACTGCTAATATGAAGTTTTTATGATAATTGTAATCTGTGACTACAGAATTTCAAGGCAGTCATTCTGTCTTCTGTATGTTTACATAAATTACATATGAAATCAAAAGGAAGAAAATGAAGTAAAAGGAAATTATAAGCAGAGGCTATGATTCCTTCCTATTCAGGGAAAAATTCAAATGTAGAAGTTGTTAGAGCTTTTCAATACTAGAGTGAATTAGACATAACTATAGTTCTAAGGATCATTGTTAATGATATGATGAGTTAGAACACTACAATATTTTATGCAATAAACTGAGTGAATGGTTTGGCTGGAAAATTGAGCTTGGATGAGCACCATATGGAGTTGACCACTGTTTATCCATCCAGTATCTGCATTACAGGATAGAGTGTCTTGATTACAAGGGATGGGAAAATTGAACGACTTCAATACCATACCCGTTAATGAAAAAGGATGAATTAGAGAAACACAACTGCACCACAGTCCACAACTTTTAATGACTATAGAGGCCTGTGGGACCTAGACCTTTAGGATGTTTGTGTTTGGGAACATTTTTATGTGATAACTGCTGATTATTTACAGAGATGCAATGCTTGCTTCCTTGAGGACTTTATTTGTTTATGGTGACAACCCTTTGTGTCTTTCTTAGATAACTTATGTCCTCACAGGTTGTGACAGTTACAAAGTTCCAAGGAGGTGGTGCATCCAATGTTATTCCAGATTATGTCACAATTGGTGGCACTTTCCGAGCTTTTTCTAAAGGAAGATTGGAGCAACTTAAACAGAGGATTAAACAGGTTTGTCAAGGAGAAGAATAGATTCATTATACAATGCATAAACTGAAATCTGAAATTAATGATCTCTTCCACGATATACAATATAACCTCACACTAAGATGTTGTTTTCTTTCTTGTGATTGTTAAACCTAATAGATCAATTATAATTGCATTGGTATTAAAAAAGATATATTTTACATTAAGATTCTCTTTGGACGAACTTATCCAAGATTTTTAGAAGAGAAAAATAAGAAATAAAATTGAAAGTTAACCTCTCCTTAAAATAAAATTAGTTTATGCATAAAGTAATTTGTAGACGTTGTCTCATCTAACCTCTCTAAATATTTATTTTTAACTTGTCTAATTTTAATTTATGGAAAAACTCATTTCATTTTTTTTCTTTCCTAGAAGTTACATGGAGAAGTTTGTCTAAACATGTCGGAAGAAAACCTCATTAGTTTGCTATTGTGTCGAAGAACTTATTTTAGTTATTTGTAAGCAACATTGAATTTCATACAATAAAATATAAACTTGTATGTTCGTAAGGGACAGTTAGTGTTAGATATTGTTAACCACAATATCAAACAATATCTTCTGTTTATTTTGTTTATTTTCGGTTACTCTTTTAGTTGTACTTCTCTCTATTATAAATAGATTACCCTATGTGTGGTTTATACACAAGGGAGATTAATCTCAAACCCTATTTCCTCTAGATTCAACATGGTATCAGAGCTTACAGGTAGTGACAACCATGACATCTCTTAGTTGAAACAACATCTATATCACCATTTTCAGACCAAAGATCTTGACAAATTTAGATATTTTTTGGGTATTGAGGTGGTACAGTCCAATGATGGTATTGTTATATCTCAGAGGAAGTATGTCATGGATATTTTGGAAGAAACTGGGTTGATGAGTTCAAAGTTTGTTGATACACCCATGGATCCCAATACTAAACTTCTACCAAATCAAGAGGAGCCTATATCTGATCCTGAGCAGTATAGAAGATTGGTTGGAAAATTGAATTATCTTACAGTTACTTGTCCTGACATTTCTTTTGCAGCCAGTGTGGTAAGTCAATTTCTTAATTCCCCATGTGAAGATCATTGGAATGCAGTCATTCGTATCTTGAAGTATATTAAAGGATCTCCTGAAAAATGATTGTTATATGGTTCTAATAATCATACAAGAGTTGTTTGCTACTCAGATGCTGATTGGGCAGGATCACCTTCGGATAGAAGATCTATATCTGAATATTGTGTCTCCATTGGTGGTAACTTGATTTCATGGAAAAGTAAGAAACAGAGTGTTGTGGCAAGATCCAATGCAGAAGTAGCATATAAAGCTATGACCTCAGCTTCCTGTGAACTTGTTTGGCTCAAACAATTTCTTAGAGAGTTACAATTTGGAGATGTCATTCAAATGACACTTGTGTGTGACAATCAGACTGCTCTTCATATTAGCTCTAATCCCGTCTTTCATGAGAGGACCAAACACATTGAGATTGACTGTCATTTCATTCGAGAAAAGATTATGTCTGGATATATCAAGATTGAGTTTGTTAACTCAAGTGATCAGTTAGCAGATATTTTTACTAAGTCTTTACGGGGGCCTAGAATTGATTATATTTGTAACAAGTTTAGTACATACGATTTGTATGCTCCAGCTTGAGGGGGAGTGTTAGATATTGTTTAGATATTGTTAACCACAATATCAAACAATATCTTCTGTTTATTTTGTTTACTTTCGGTTACTCTTTTAGTTGTACTTTTCTCTATTATAAATAGATTACCGTATGCGTAGTTTATACACATGGGAGATTAATCTCAAACCTCATTTCCTCTATATTCAACAGTTAGAAACAACTTAAACGCCACATTTACATCATATTGTGTATCTTAATCATTCTCAATGCAAAAAAATTTTCAACATAACCAAGAGTAGATGCATAAAGATTACACAAATTGGGGAACAAAATTCCTGTAAAATAGTTTTTCTTCCTAGAGGGATATAGATGCATAACACCAGCTTATAAAATTGGGGAATCAAATTCCTGTAAAATCTAGTATACCGGTACTTTTCCTTTTGTTGATGTTTGACAAGCTTTTGAGTTTCAGAGTGAACCTTTCCTTGACTATAAGAATAAGATTGTAGTCTTGTCTTGCTAAATCCTATAAAAAAGCTTTGCACTTGTGTAGTATTTCACTGTATTTGGATGAGGGGCTAAGGCTGATTCATATATACAGGTTGTCATTGGTCAAGCTGCTGTGCAGAGGTGTAATGCAACTGTCAGGTTCCTTGATGAAACGGTACCTTTCTACCCTCCAACTGTAAATGATGAAGAATTGCACAAGCTTTTTGTTGATGTAGCCGGGAATCTGCTTGGCATCAATAAAGTTAATACTGTCAAGACACCAATCATGGCCTCTGAAGACTTTGCTCTCTATCAAGAGGTCATACCTGGCTACTTCATCATGCTTGGAGTGAAGAGTGTATCACCTAATCCACTTCAGTCATTACACTCACCCTATCTCACAATCAATGAAGATGCACTTCCTTGTGGGGCTGCACTTCATGCATCACTGGCTACTACTTATCTTATAAAATATCAGCAGAATGTAGCCACGGTAGTCGGGAAATATCATGATGAATTATAACTGCTAATAAAATTATTAAAAAGTAATGTAGTCTTGCAGCAATGAACTCATTAGGTATCATATTTCACGTTTATTTGTGGCCTGGTTTAAATTCCTAAGTGATTTCCCTTTAAAATCATGAATGTGCATTTAGCTATTGGGCAAATGAGAGTATATTACACACAGCTGTATCCAAAAAAGATGAAAAATAAATGGGAATGGAAAAGAATTACAGTTTTCTTATAAATTATAATTTATATACCTCAATTTCTGAAAAAGTTAAACGAGAGATTTTAATTTATAGGAAAAAATAATAATTTGTTTACTTTTTATTTAATTTTTCTAGAAGTATTTTTTAAGATCATCCAACATAAGTCTTTTCTTATTTCAAACAATAGCTAGCCACCCTAAAAAGTATTGCAAAGCAATTTTTTTGTGTAAAAAGCATATTATATTTTCTTTTCTTACACTATTTAGTTTACTATTAAAACGTGTCTTCTGTTTCTGTCATGTTTGGCAGTGACACTGGTGGCAGTCTGGTACCACAATTACTCAGAAAAATAAGGTAGGGAGCAAAACTCTAATTCTGACATCTGAAGTAGCGGAGATGGAAACTTGCAATTGAAAGAACCACATATTGAATGTCTCAAAATAATATACTATTGTAGGTGCTAATGCATTTTTTAATGACCAGAAATTAACTAGTGTTTACATCTTAATGGTTAGACATTCCAAATAGATAACTACAATATTTATTTATCTAATAAGTAATCCAATAAAGTATTCGGCAATATTTTGGATGATACTTGTACAAAAATGTGGTTTAGATTCAATGACCTACACAACTGAATGATGGGAGGAGGAGCTTAAAATTTTTGCAATGCAGGGATAATGAATCATGTGACTGTAATGGAGTTAGCAGATGGCTAACTAACATGCTCCTTCTAAGTTGCAGCTTATCAGCCAGGCATTTTTCAAATTCCTAGAGTTTTGGTTGCTATGTCTAAAAGAGGGTCTAAAGCATTAGGTGAAAATTTTCTTGCAAATAAGAAGCAAAGAGAAGATGGCTGGTTATTATAAAGACATGTCTGGTCTTGCAAAATTTTCTTGAAGAATTCCTCTTTGATGTCATCCTTCCCAAAAGTAGCTGGATGAGCTCCACCCCTTGACCAGTCCACATAAGTGAGGCTTCGATTTGCCAAAAGATGAGGAGTCTTAATCGTTAACATTGTCTGGAAATAGTGCTCATCAACATAGCATTTGTGTGGTACACAGAATTCTTTGAGCTTAGGATAGTAAGTACTGTCTTCAACTATCCGTACAGCAAGTTCCCGGTTAATTTCAAACCACTGAGACCCCTTACGCCAGTCACTCATGTTGATCTCAGGTGCCATGTTTTCATCATAGCGTCCTCTCCCATAAGGACCAGGTTCATCCACAGCACCCATAAAGCTATACCTCGAGCGTGATATGTAAAGGTACACAATGCTGAAGTTCTGGAGAGGAATGCAGGACTCAGATAAGAGGATAAACCATTCATTTGAGAAATCAAGCAATGCATTAGCCAGAAGTCTTCTTTCAGCATCACACATACTCATCATTCCCCACTCTGCAACCTGTGAAGGAGAAGGCTAATTAAAAATTTCTTTAAATCACAAAATATTCAACCTTACTATATACTTGGTCTAAGATTCACATTATCAAAATTGAAAAGCATTGCACAATTTGATGAACATCTCAAGGAGTGGGAATTGATATTTTGTTTCGTTGTAGAAGCATATTCTCCAAACGAATTGTTGGAACAGGAACAACCATAAAATATGTTCGTAATTTTGTAGTTAACCATATAAAAATGTTTCTATTTTTTTAATGATTTTGCACAAATTTGTTATTGGTAGTAGTTAAAAAGTGGTAGACAGTAGAAGACCTAATTCAGTTTTATAGTTAACAATGGTTATTAAGGCTAACATTTATTAAAAAAAAAAGGCTTAAATCCAATTTCGGTCTCTTTAGCTTCATGAATGTGCAATTTAGTCCCTACAAAATTTTAATTGCAGATTTGGTCTTCCAATTTTCCAAAATTAAGAAATTTTAGTTCACTTTTAATGTCTTATCTCATTGCTTACAAGAAGTGCTACATGCTGTCTCATCTAATTTTAGTCCAGTGTCATTTCTCAATGCTTTCTCCTCTCCTCGATAAGGTTTCAACTGCTGTAAGGACTAACCAACTACGTTGTCCTCAAGTGATAGAAGTACCACTACTGTTCAGTTAAGAGTATGTCAATCATCCTTGATTTAGGATTTTTTCATTTCTAACTCGATATCAAAATCAGCTCTAACGATGTTAGGACATTGTATCATTCAGTTAATTATTATTGGAATGTACCACTCTTACCTAACCATTATTGGACCACTTGTATCTTCAATGTGAGGGGGTTTATTGATAGTATCATACTCAATTCTATCAGAATCAACTCTAATATTAGGACATTGTATCATTCGTTAACAGTTTTTGGACTGTACCACCTATTATCGGACCATTATTGGATCACCTATATCCTCGATGTGTGATGTGTTGGAAATTGAAGATCACTTATATTCTCGATATGAGATGTGTTGGAAATTGAAGATCACCCATATCCTCGATGTGAGGAGGTATATTAAAATCCTTCTTCGACTAGATATACAATAAAATTATTGTATATAGGTGAGGTGCAAACCTCACCTTACAAACCAATTTTATAGGATTGGGTTAAACACCTCTCCATTTCTAAACCTTGTGTTCAAAAGTCACCAATACAGGTTCTTTGACGTGATTTTTTCTATTGCAAGTTCATCGATATGTGGGGCAGTCGTGCCACCCTGTAGGTGCTTGTTTGGGATGTGATGCTCTATTTGACTCATCTCTGGTTCCGTGCAACACTTTCCAAGTTGTTAGTTGCATTTGTTGTTGGAAATGTTTTGGTCTTTTTAGTTGCTGTGTTTGTGGTAGGATAGGTGGTTTATCTTCTTCACTAGAGACCCAAGCTCTTTTTTCCCATCAAGGGCTTCAACAACTACAAGTGTTGGCCACCTTGCTAATTGCTTCTATCGATAAGTGGGCCTTGCGATATGAAACCTCAAACAAAGGTAACAAGCTTAAAACTGAATGAGCTTTAGCTAGAGGGAAGCATTAGAATATTAGAAAAATATCTTTAATTTAGTATAGAATGTCTAAAACTACCTCTTAGCATTAGTTAGTTATCTTAAAGTTTCTTAGACAAATCAAATCCTCGTGAGCAGCAAGGTGAAAGAAAGAGAAAAGAGAAGAGAGAAATGTTGAGTTAAAGAGGAGGGAATGAAAGATAGGAAGGAGGAGATAGAGAGTAAGGAGAGAGCTAGAAGGAGTGGCAGAAAAAGAGGATCCAGATTCATATTTATATTATCCTTTAGATTAGTTTCTTATCCTAGGATTTGTTTCCATATTTAAGTAGAAATGGAAATCTATTAATTAGTATAAATAATGGTTAGAGTGTTAGCCTTTTGAATAAGATATTTTATCAAACCATATTCGTAATGTTTATAGGCCTTTTAACAACCATATATGAAACATAGGAATGGGATCTGACAGTCATTTAATATGACCATAAATTAGAAACACCCATCATAAAACTCCATACATAATAAATAAGGGTGGATGGGTTGAAACACCACCAAATAAACGGCATTGAATTGCTATGGCCTACGGCTAATAATGTAGAATTTGGATGAAAAACATGGTGATGATCAATTGAAAGCATGGAAATCCATATAGATAATGATACTTTCTAATGAATACATTAAATATAGCACACATTGAAAGGCAAATTTACATAGAATAAAGCTAGATTATACCTGGCTTGGGATCTGTCTTCTATGAAAAACTGATGATGGTGGAAAATCCACACTATATGATGGCAGCGAATGAACATAGATTGAATAAAGCTTCTCATTCCCTTTAAAGAACTTTTCCCAGAGTGGTGCCATTGGCAAGGGTCCCTTGGTCAAGAACATGAACGCAATCTTGGGAGTTCTTTTAAAAGGATAACCCTTGATCCTTGGAACAAAAGTAGCTCGCCAAAAGAGTTCAGTGTCATTCATGGTATGCAGCAAACTGAATGGAGGCCTAATCCAACTTTCTACGGTCAACGGCTGCTGAAAGCAAGGCTTAAGAGTAGACTGTACCAAAGCCACATTATGTATACTAAAATGCCTAATCATATACATGCTAAGAAACGAAGCACCCAGGCCAATAACCAAAAATACCAAGAAGAACTGCAGAAGCCTCAAAGGAAAGGGCCTAGAGGGAGTAGTTCTCAATGCAGCAGGGTCCTTCCCTTCCTCCATCCTAGACTGCATGGTTTTTCCTCAGCTCTCTGCCAATCAAACTTAGGATCACAGTACTGGTGTTCCTTCACACATAATCAAATCTCACAAACACCTCGTACGCATAAAACACCTCACTTTTCAACGCAAAACCAAATCAAAACAAACGCGTCACACCATTCAAATTTCTACCACATGGGGCATTCTTCCTTCTTTATTGGGAGAAGGAATCACAACGCATATCAAATAACAGATCAAAACACCAAACCAATAACAAGATCACATCCAATAACGAAACAAAATCAGCTCCCCACAAAACCAACAACGCTCACACCGTTCAAAAACCAGAAAGCTCTGACTTACGAATAAATCAAAAGCTTAGAGTCCCGTTCTCTCGAAAAGGCTGGAAACAGCATTGAAGGGTGGATTGATGAGGGAAGAAAACAACAAGAAAAAAAATAGGCGGAGAAGCGTGAGAAGCGCATTACCATGATGCCATGTTCAAAAGCCGGTTACATACACAGTTCAATCAACGGAAAAGAAAAACGTTTGGTGGAGGATCCCTTCACACTTTTCCCCCCTCACTCTTGAATTCCGCCAGATTTCAATGGAAGTGGGAATTGTGCTATCTCTGCACCTCCATTCATCACTGTGCAAAAACACGTGCTAAGTGGTGTTTCTAATTTTCTCTTTCCGTTTTACGCCTTTGAAAATGGAGCGTTAAAGGAAAGTTGAAACGAAACCGGTACTCATATATAGGAGAGAGAAAAATAGAATAAACAAACGCATAATTATCCTCAAACCTATTATTACTATGTTTCATAGATTTTTGTCTGTTACTTTTTGAACTTAGATTGTTGCTGTCGCTTTGGGTTTGGTTGGATTCGGCCCACACCATTTCCGTTAGTTTCTAGTTTCAGCATTCGTAAACAGTGCCATTTAAATGTTTAATTTAATTATTCATTCAATTCGTCTACAACTATAATATTTAGTGTATAAGTATAAAAATTAAATAAGTAATCAGAATTAATCAAAGTTAATTATTAAAAAACCTAACAAATATTAATTTTTCTTGTAGTTTTCTACCATCTATGGTAATAGGTGCATATGTTGTTACAATTTTCTACAAGCACATGTTGTTGGTTGAAAATGCCCCATTGTGCCCATATTGTACTTGTAATGTGATTTCATTAATTTCTTTTTAATTTCATTAATTAGTTATTTGAGTCCAAGTTCTATGGGGATGGAGCAGTTTCTAGAGAAAGTCAAATGTTGAAGGGTGTGTGTAGGGTTTTCCTTTTATTCTTGTTTATTTTTGTTTCTTTGTGAGCATTTTTGGGCCATGATACTGTGTGATGGTAAAATAATTGGTGGACCACCAAACTTTTTCAGTGCATTGAGTATTTCATTCACCAGATTATTCTTTTTCTTTCCTTCAACGTTTTCATGGTGATGATGGCAACGTTTTACTTAAGATTCTTGGTAAATATGGACACAAAATTATTACTTTGCTTCTTTGTTAATTAATGCTTCAAATATGCTCTTTCTTTAAGTACATTTCACTGCTTTTTAAACATTTATCATTTTTTTTTAATTTAAAATGACTTGATCATAGCTTGTAGTCATGTAAAATAAACTGTTTAGTTTCTATAAAAATATTATATTTTCTCTCTCAAAAATTTAAAACCAATTATTTTAGTCTTTAATGAATGAGCAAATTTGATTTTGATCCATGTATTTTTATTATTATTTTAATCCCTCCAAAATTGGTAGAAAAAAAATTCCTTAAAACTAGGAAAGTTCTACTTTTTACTCCTTCAAATTCATTTTAGAGTAAATAAAAAATATTTATTTAAAAATTATAATTTTTTTTGAGGTATTCTTAGAAAAAAAATTTAGACAATAAGATAAAAGACTAAAGTGTTATTAATCTAAATATTATTTTCATTGTTTTATTACAGAACCTGCACTTAAGAAAAAATATTTTTACTTTTAAAAGTTATTGGATATGCTTTTAAAATAAAATAAATAAAAATATAAGGACAAAAATAATGAAAGGAGATGAAAGGTCCCTCTTTTTTTTTTTCTTCTTCTTCTTTTTTTACAGTATAATAACACTATGGATTATGACTTTTATTTGTTTTAATCAAATTACAAAAATTCAAATGAACAATAGTCAAAAGTGTCTACATTATTGCAGTTCCCATGGTGAGTCTTTTGTGATGTACATTCATGGTACTGAAGTAGTCAAAACGGTCCAAATGAATCAACCCTACTTATTCCGAGTTGGGTTGAATTGAATCCAACTCAAATGTCATAAGAATCAAGTTAAACCAACTTGTTTACAAAGTGAATCCACCCGTTTTGATAGCTATACATGATACATATGCATATGTGGTTGTGCTAGTTTTTCCTAGGTGAAACTTGGTTACTTGTTTGTACAAGGCTGAGTGTGCAGCTGATAATTTCTTCAAGCGGTTGGTACAAAAAAAAAAAAAAAAATTCTTGATCTCATGGATTTACCATGCTGCTTCAGCTTCCACCCATGCAATATTATTATCAGACAAAAATGGTTATAGATACATACAGTGTTAGAGTGTCGAACTATAAATATCAGGAATTAACAGACAAGTCATGTCATGAGACAGACCATGTTACTAGTTACAAATGTTTCCTCTCTTCTTGTATTGACCTGAATATCCTTGCAGCTGATTCACTGGCTGATTTTGGATTGTGAGGCATGGCTTTGATTACTCTTGGCTGCAGTTCAACCTGTGTGTTCCTATCTTCTGATTGCAAAAATGTTGGTGCCAAAGGAAACAAAGGAAGGACTTCTCCAGCACTCATCCTCTTGGAAGGACTGCTAGCTGTGCTTCTTTGTGGTTCTTTATCTTTCGGTGAGTGGTAAGTTGATACGTTTCTTGACATCACTTGGCTTGTGGGACTGGACATGGTAGATGAGCTTTGGTATAGTATGGCAGAATTGACTTCTCCACATGAGTTGTGGTTTTCAGGACCATTGGACTGCCCCATTTGCTCAACAGCTGAAGCTGCTATAGAAGATGGATTATGAATGAATGGTGGTGGTAAGAACTGGGGCAAAGATGAACCAGAAAGGATTCCTAACTTTTGGTGAGAGCTTGGAGCAAGAGCTGCTTCTGAAGATGCATCTTTGCTTAAAGGATTGAAGCTCACTGAGCCACAGGTGCCGTATATGGGTGCCATGAAGCCTGCATTTGGAGGGCATGGCCCTATGACTGGTTTGTATACTAGACCTTCAGATGGGGACATGACAGGAACTAGCCACTGGTTTCCTGGTGGTGGGGGGTAGACATAGCTTGGGGACTGTTTGGAATTTGTATCTGAGGAGGCTATTGGAAGGTTTCCTAAATGATGTCCATAGCTTGACAGCTGATTAGCATGGCCTTTGGTTATGTTGTTGACACAAGGAATGGGAATCTTCCCAACTGCACTGTTTGTAGCATTCTCAGCAGTAGTGGCCTTCCCGGATTTACTGTCAAGTTTAACAACTGAGGATGGTTTTTCGCCATCAAAGTCAGATTGAAATTTCTTGGTTGTTGATGTTTTTGGTGGTGGCTTGGTAAGTAAAAGGTTATCTACAAGCAATATATGGGGTGAGCCTGCAATTAATCTTTGCACCTGCTTCCAAGAAATGCTTAGTTACTTCTCATATATTTATTAGAAGGTGCAAACAATTAAGAATATCTAGTTTTGCAATTACCTTTATCAGTCTATGCAACTCAAACACTTGCATGACAAAGATTTTCTGTTGGCTGAATATAAGCATGTCAGCATCAGGTCAAAGTAGAGATCAATATATAAAAATCTAAAAAAATAAATGGATGAAATGAGCACATCAAGAAATAGTTCACTATATTCAATCTGAATTGAAAATTGAGAAATGATATTAGGCTGTAATTTTGACGGATGAATCTTGTCCAACATTAAAAAGAATAGGAGAAGGGCTGATGAGGAATTGAGGTCTGGAACTCTTTTCTTCAATTACATGAGATAAGTTGGCTAATAAAGACTAGTTGATGCAAGCATTGTTAAAATCCATAGGTGTTGTGCCCAAAAAGTAAAATAAAATTCGTAAAGTTAAAAGATGCACATCACCTGCTTGTAGAAAATTTAATAATTTGATATCTGGCCTCGTTATTATAGTTCAACTTATGACTAGATCATAATGATTAAATGAATAGTTAGCTGCAATGCACTCAATATTTCATTTCAGTCCCAGGGGTAGGAATTGCTTTAAAGAATTTGTGATTAGATGTTTAGTTTTGTCTATGTATGAGCTATGATTTTTCAGGCTTTCTCTTCATGAAGAACTTTCTAGTTGTGTACTATTAGGCCCCAAGTCTGAAGTGGTGTACTTAGCCAAACAAACTCGATGAATGAAGAGATTATTTTCAGAGAATCCTTAGCCACCAGAAGTCATTCTCATGGACATGATGTCTCCTTTCTCTTTCAATCTCATCTACTATGATTCAAATTTATTTTCAATTCACAAATCTGTTTGCCTGACTTGATAAATTTCCCAACATCTCAAAAACCTTCTTATACTAATGCTTCCTAGTTCTCATCAATTCCGAACTACCATTATCCTATGAGGGTACCATTTACAGTGCTCTAACAATCACCAACAGACTCTTTTTGCTTAACATTTGTCCTGCTTCTAGCAAACCAGCTCCACCACCCCAGAATTCAGAAGAGCCTTTTTATCCCTCAATTTAGAATCTGAAATTCACTCAAGGTAACCCCTATTTTGATACTATGAATCCTAAGCCTTTCACTGTTTTGCCTCAGTAGTACAATCTGGTCCAAATAAGTTGTTTATATTCCATGCTTTCAAACCAAAAAATAGCATTGTTCAACCACATAAGAGTCTGTATAATTTTGTTACGTAAAGGTGAACCAAAACTGCATTGGATCACAATGAAAGCCATGCACCTAAAGTTTTTCAAAAATTTAATAGAGATTTTCTGCAAACATTAACAAAATTGGCATAGCTCAGAAGTAGTTAAACAAAATGAGAGAAAGGCCAAATCATAAACACGTACTACTAGAAACTTACTTGACGATTGTTCTTCTGGCTTTCCAAAATTGCTGTTCACCTATAGCTCCTACAACATTGTCTGGGGAAATATGCATAACTGATGTTTCCTCATCTTCATTCCCAGCTCCCTTTTCAAGGAAGAACCTGCTACCAATTTCTAACTCACCAGAACATTTGTGGACATCACTAGCAGCTGGCTTCTCAATGTGACGGTCCCTTGAGTTGATTTTGTCCCCAAAAGCTGCATGTTCTTCATGTGTATGGACACTGCTACCTTGCAACGTTTTCAAGCTATCTACTGAAATACTTCTAATTTCATCCTTTGAAGATCTATGTTCTTTATTCGATGATTTAGAATCCCTACATTTCACCAATGAAATTAATGATGCATCTGTCAGATCACCAAAACCATCTAAGGAGAGCACTTCCTCTGGCTTTGGACCATTTTGATTCACTTTCGAAAGCTCCTCCATCTGGATCTTCCCATATTGTGCTGACTTCAGGTCTACAACCGCAGGTGAATTCACCTTCTTTCTAAATGAATTCATACTTTTAAAGGAGCAGCTCAAATTACAACCAGCAAGTTTGTCTTCATCTTTATTATTTTGGATGATGCTAAAGCATGAGCTTTTTCCGTTTGCAGAACGAGAAGTTATAAAAACATCTTCACCATCAAGTTCTTTCAGAGGATTCTTACTGCTGTTGATGAAATTGTCTTGCTGAAATGAATTGTGTTTACTAGTAAATGGCAATGAGCATAAGAAGTTTAAATTTGGTAATTTGTAGGTTTATTTGTTTCTCTCAATCAATACTCACCGTGTATTTGGTTAAGTTAGTCCTTCTGGAATTGTAAGGTTGACCCTTCTCAGCCAAAATAGAAGGTGCATTGGAGGTGAATTGGATGCTTTGGTTGCAACTGATCTGCAGCACAGCATAAACATAAAAATTAAAAATGGCTGCAACGGATGTACATAAAAACTTATTGGTATAGATATGCAACAATGTATCACATTTGTGTTTACGCATGTTTCTCAGTTTATAAGGACTTGAGAGTATTATGAAGTGTTTAAGTCTAATATCGAGTAATATGGGATGCTTGGTGAAATATTTAAGTGTTTGGTTCCTCAAAGTTTCCCATATCTTAAGAAACTAGAGGTTATGTACTTGTAGCCTAAGGATATCACTTAGTTTTGAAGGGTTATGGGAATATGACAACACTGCTAACTCAATTGTTGAAAAACAACAACTTCAATTGGTCTTCAGAGGCTGAAGAAGCTTTTGAGACACTTAAGCAAGCCATTATTTTCTGGGAAATCATTTCCTTATTGTTTCAGATCAAAGAAGTCTTTTAAATTTGTGCACTCTCAGTACTCCATGCTTACTGAAGAAATGGGGAAAACAAATATAAGAGAGATAGAAAGCAGAACTACTTGAGGGTTAAAATATGGTACTGCCACTTCCCTTGGTTCCATAAGGAAAAAGAAGGATATTCATAATTCAAAGAACCTAGAATAAAATTAAGGGGGGCAGAATCAGATAGGTATTTGAGAAAAAAGAGAAATAAATTGGTAAAAGAAAGGAGATACTGCATAGGTGAATACTACAGTATTTTGTTTATCACTATCACTTAAATTATGTTTAAAATTTCCAAGTTTGGCGATAGTGTCTAGCACTATCATGCATTAATGCTACTTAACATCCTTGTATCAAAGGCAAAAATTTGAAGAGCTTCACTTGACTCACATGGCTTGATGATGGAGGACCTGTGTAGTTTCTGAGCGGGAGTGGAAACAAGGACGCTGATCCTGATGCAAAACTTTGAGAAGGGATGCTGAATTGTTCATAGAGTGCCATCTTATTCCTAGGGGGTGCTTTTGGTCCTCCTTTCTCTGCATCCTTAACATGCAACCTTGGAAACATAGGGCTAATCTCCTTGCTCTCTTCAATTCCCCCTCTTATCCTATTCATCCTTCTACACACTATCCACACCCAACAACTTTGTATTGCTGCCAATTTCACAAACCATACTCTCATACAAAATCACCACCCGAGCACGTGCTTTTCAGTATCATAAACCACTTCAGGAGTATCAGAAACTCAAATCCACATAACCGAAACAAGTTCTGTTGGCAAATTTAGCCAGTAAAAGACAAATCCAACCATATCAAAACAAAACAATCAATCCACACAAGCAATTCATAAAAAAATAACACGAGAAGAAAAAAATGAACCAGCCCCAAAGAAAGAGTTTGTCTGATCCCACATTATTGACAAGGAGGAAGAAAACATCATAAACGAGAGCAAAATTAAAAAAACACAAATCAACATGTACCCAGTTGTAAAAAAAATGAACTTTTTAGCTGAAAACCAACCGACAAACACTTGGAAAAGCACAAGAACCCGAATGAAGGTTAGTTAAGATGTAAATAATAAGGAGATCAAAGGAAAAACTCTTGCAAGTACGAAAGAGAGATGTTACATTTTCTTCAACAAAGGAATATCTGAAGAAAGATAGCTAGATGGATTGAGTAGGGAACAAGGCCACCATGAAACCACGAGGGCATGACCAATAAAAGAATTTAAAGAAGTGAGAGCAAATTAACTTGGAAGGCAACAAGATGGGTAGTCACAGGCCATAGGGACCCATGTAATGTGAAATAATATACCAAATATTGTTGGAAGAGAAAGTAGTGTTCCCGTATGAGTATGAAATAGCAGCATGCAAGAGCATTGAGAGTGACCCTACCATGTTGTTGAATGGATGAGGAAGAGGAGGCAAAGAGTATAAGAGGGAGAGTAACATGGCATAATGAATGTGGATGATTGGAGACAGAGGCAGTGACCGAGTCTCTCTTTCTTATTTTCCTTTACATGCACTTACTTTGTTTTGGCTTTGGCGAAGTGCAAGGCAGAACCAAAGGGTAAGAGAGTGCATGGTTACCACACGTTGCATTTAGCCAATCTCTCACGAAAAATCCGTTAAAAATCGTGTCCTCGTATTTTAGCATTTTTTTTTTCTCAAGTTTCAAACACAAAGTGGTGCCACTCCTGCTCCTACGAGCGTGCATGTCACCCTCCAATGGTGTCAGCTCTGCATCGCAATCGCGGTTCGTTCAGGACACAGACAAAGATTGTGGTGCTTGATATTTTTTTCTCTTTTTTCATTAACACCTTCTTCCTTTGTCTTAAGATAAACATCATGCACTTTTAATGTGGATCAATAGCGGATATTTATTATATTATTTGGTCTCCCACACGTGAGGATTTTCGATCTTACTTAGGTGGCTCACACACATGATGTTGTTAAACATTTTCTCCAAACAAAATTTATTAAAATCTTAATTGAATATTTTCAACAGTAATAAAATTCTCATACTTCAATTCATTTTTTAAAGATGAGACTTTTACATTTTGTCGGGTTTTCTTAAGAAGGAAAGAAGTGGTTGGAGAGAAAGGGGGAAAGATATATGGTGCCCTAATTAGCCAAGAAACATGTCAGAAACTGTCAAAGATATTGCCTTTTTACTTGGGATATCCTTCTATTTTTTCATTACAATTCTTTAAGCCTCAAATTGTCTCATTCTCCTTCCTCATTTTACACACTTACTCTATGATAAAAAAAAAAAAAACATATTTTTAATATCAGAAATGAAAGAAGCTCAAAGGCAGAAATTGGGCCTGAAAAGTACGAGCCCAATTATAACAAATTGGCCCAATCCAGCCCTAGATTGAGATATTGTTTCTATATTGATTTATTTTTATAAATAACACCGACATTGTAGGAAATGGGATGCTTCTTCTAGGGTTTGAGTTGGTATAATCAAAGCAATCCCTAGAATTGATCATGTTAAAATACTCTATCTTAACTTATACTTAAGTGAATCTTTAATTACTTTAAAATATTATTTTAATATAAATTTCACTTTCACTTAAGTAATTTTGATATTATTTACAAAAACACTTTTAAATAGTCTATAAGAAAAATATTCTTAATATGTGAAATAAAATATCAAATAAAAATATAAATAATAATAATAATTATCAGTTGAGAATTTAAATATAAGATTACTTCTGTGTCATCTTAATAGGTTAAAAATAATATTATTAGTGGACTGATCACTGACTCACCACACCAACTCGTTCTTTAATGTCCTTTAATGAGAACCTATTTGACGGATCAACTTAACCCAATTTATTTTTATCAGACCAGTCCATCTCACCTCTTAACGGACCAGAATTAGATTGGGAAAACCAGACTCACTTACCAGTTTTTTCCATGTCTATCATTAACTTAATTCTCACAAATAATAATAAAAAAGAAAAAACAATATTGTGTGGGTCTGTTTTGTGCACGTGGGGTCAACATCATATTATTGTCACCCACCTTGAGCTATGAATGGACAAAGCCAGCTTAGGAAATTCAAGGATGAAACAATATAATATAATTTATAGAAAGGGTAAGAGGAAATGGTGATTTATTATATGAGAAAGTGATAATGGACATGTTCTTTTATTTGGTTGTTGTTGACCTAAAGCCATTGAACATGACGAACCCTAATGTACATGAAAGAAGGAAATTCTTTCATTTTGTCAACAATGGTGCTCACGCTTTTGTTCATAGGAGCTTAGCTAGGTTTAGCACGCACATCTTGGAGCCACTCAAAGAGTTATGGAGGTGTTGGTAATGGGCACCACCATTTTTCATTTTAGGGTAATTCTCAAGGTTATGTCCCAATGGTTCTACGGAGGATTCTTTGTCTTGTCTTTATCCCTTTTGTTTTCTCAATTTAATAAGATTTATTATACTACCAATATATATAATATATGAATGAAAGTGAAATTTTATATGAGATAAAAACGAGTAAATAAAGTTACATAGAGTGAAAAACTTGAATTACGTATAAGTGTGGTCATGATATCACTTTTGGAACTATAAACAAAAAAGTTGAGTCAATATATATTTGTTAATATTTATTATATGCATATGAAAGTTCCTTTTTGAGTTAAGGCTTCTAACAATTGGTTGGTTCATGATTGGGTTTATCACTTTATCTTATATATCTTCATAAAAAGAATTATATTATATATATCACTCAATCAATGCTTTTACATTGAATTTCAGCCACTCAATTATTGAACTCTCGTTTGAACAGAAATGCCAAAGCCAAAAGTTTTGCGGTAATTGTTGAAAAAAAAAAAAAATAATAGTTTTTTTTTGTTTTATCCAACAACTTCTCTTATGTTTTTTTTTATATTTTAGTCTGTTTTTTTGAAAAAAAATAGATACTTGTCAAAATTTAAAAATATTGTAAAATATTTTTTAATGAACAAATTCAAACACACCTCATTTTTCTAGATGTGTTCAAAATTGAAACTTTTTTAAATTGAAAATTTTTATTTATATTTTTAAAATGATAGTGGCATGTTATATTATATATCTTATGTATGATGATGAAATGATATCTGAAGCTATGTTCGAGTGAAAGCAAATGGAGGTTATAATAACATGTTTATGAATTCAAAAATGTTTTCATCTTGCATGCCACGTGTCTCATCAGGGTTCCGCCAATGGATGCTCGACACGTGTGAGTGGAAGCGTTCACTTCACGTGCGAGCGGTTTTATGACCGAGCCGAGCCGAGCGGAGAAACCCATGACAACTCACGTCCCTGTTTATCAGAAGAAGAATGATGTCTGCATTGATTCAGATTTCGACATCCTTATCAAAGACAAACCACTAGGCCCAATTCATGGGCCCACCCAAATGCCCCAATAACTATGCATGGAACTTTCCCGATTCATACATTCCATTTTTTCTTTACTTCACATTTTCCTACATTAAGTGAATTTCTCAGACTATGACATGTATATATGTATTCATAAGCATCACTCTCTCTGCAGGTATATATGGAACCCGTTAATTCACTCACCTGGAAAATGAAATGATGGGGTGCATGTGCATGTGAAATATATATATATATAATGAGTTTAGGAAAGATATATAAACACCTAACATATGAGTAGCCAACATATGCTTTCTCTCTCTCTCTGCAAACTCTGACTGCTGCCAACTTGTTTCTGTGCATGTGGTTCTCTCCACTATCTGGTAAACAATTATCAAACTATATTTGCAAATCAAATCTTTTCAGCATTTTGGATGTGGTTTTTCCTATTAAATTTTCAGATGTCACTCCTATAAACATAATTATTTATTTTTTACACCTTAGTATAATTCTGTACCACATTATATTCAACAAGTAAATCTTCTACCACATACCTATTAAACACTGTTATATAGTTTACCATTTTATATTTTGATCACAGTTTATGTATGAACATATATACAAATATGGTGGTGGAAAGTGAAAGACATTTTCAGGCTATGATTAAAGCCATGATTAACACAGAAAGCTTTTATAATGAGGGTATTGGTTTCTAGTGATGCTTCAGTTACAGTGCAGTTTTTATTAAGCAACCAAAAAGGGGTCAGAGCTTTCCGCACTTAAAAAGAATACAAAAACTGTTCTATACGATAAAATATGAGGATTTGGCACTCAAAACACCACTTTGAAGTCTCATGCTCACTGTCTGCAAAAACAGTTTAATTTATTGACCCACCTAGCTGATAAAAAAAAAAGAGCATTATCCTTTGAAACACAACTATGTTGCTCTAAACTGTTAAAACCAAATTATTATAATAGAGTAATTAATAGTGGCCTCTTTTTTTCTCTTTTGTATTTTTATATTCATATTTAAGGAATTATTTGTACCAATATTTGTTTTATTATAAAAGCATGTAACTTTTGTTCTTCCAACCTATGCAAGGTTCTCCGCAACAAACACGGTGCATCAGTTCTGCTCTTCTTCAATGGCAGCTCAAGGTACAACCTTAACCTTATTGTCTCCCTTTCTATTCTCTTCTCTTTTCCTTCCAGTTTGTTAACTGTATCCGGACTATATATTTTTTATAAAAGTTCTCTTTTTTCTCCAACTTGTACTTTCAGAATAGAGCACTGCATAAAATTCAGTTTCTCAATCTGACCTAACCCTTTTCTTTCACCTCTCACAGTTATCTCCACATTGAATTTTAAAAGGGAAGCTAATGCCACAGCCAGATAGTGCAAAATCTTGATATAAAAGCTGGGTTCATTCCTCTGTTTTATTGCTAACACTGAAGACTCTTGAACAATTGATTAAGGATTCTAATCTTGTTCTGGCAGCAGTTGATCTACAAGTGGGAACTGGTGGTAAGGCCCTTGAGGTCAATTTTTGTTTTTTCTACCGAGTTAAGTATTTGGGGTTTGTTTATTTCATCTGATGTCTTATTGTCTTCAACATGATAGGTAACAAGAATCACTTTCTCCTTCAAGTTTCAACTAAATTTGCTCTAGTTTCATTTTTATCAAAAATTACAATCATCTATGGATGGTATGTGTTGGGATACCTCACAACTTGCAGCAAACACACCAATCCTGTGGAGTACTATTCAGCCACCACCAGACTTTGAAAGAGGCTACTCCATCCCCAATGTTCTCAATCAAATACAAGAGATGCAGAAAGTTCAAACAGGTCATGCAAACTCAAATTCTGAAAGAGTGATTTATCAGTCAGCGGCTGCTACGACCACTTCTTCAGAGATAATGGATGTGATGCAAAAGCAAAACACAAATCTTTCACAGCATGCACCAACCATGATGCCAGCGAAATCAGGAGCTGGATTCAGTTGGGGAGAAGCTTTGACATCTCAATCATACCCGTCTCAATCAGTCAATGGACCTCAAAGTATGAACCTGATTAGCAACCACATGCCAGATTTCAACATGGTCCACCACCACCAACAGCAACAACAACTAGTCAATTCACAAAACGGGAACGGTGCTTGCTCTCTTGAGTCTTTTGAGTGCTTGATTTCAGCTACCAACAGCAACACAGACATGTCTGTTGAAGATGATGGGATCTCAATGATTTTACCCGACTGTAGAAACTTCTGGAACTTCAGTTATGGCAGTGCAGCTTCCACTGGAGAATCTCAGAGTAATGCTTCCAATGGTAGAAACAAAGACATGAAGTGTTCAGCCAATGAAGTTGATGAAACAGTTTCTCAAAGCTCCTTGGATAGAGGAAAAACAGTACAATCAAAGGCTAATTGTTCGAAGAGGGGCCATGAGGAAGCTGAAATGATCAAAGTTGGTGCCACCTGCAGTGATACCTGCTTTAGTATCATTCAGAATTCTTCTTCTATTGAAGAAGGTGGATTCAGACTTATCTCAGATGATCCATCTAAAAGCAAGAAACCCAGATGGGACATGAGTTCAGCTTCAAATAATATCAACTTCCAGCAACCAAATTCATCCATGTCTTCATCCATTGAGGAACCTGATCCAGAAGCCATTGCACAAATGAAGGAAATGATATATAGGGCTGCGGCTTTTAGGCCTGTGAACTTTGGCTTGGATGCAGTTGAAAAGCCAAAGAGGAAGAATGTGAGGATATCAACTGATCCACAAACTGTAGCTGCAAGGCATAGAAGGGAGAGAATAAGTGAGAAGATTAGGGTTTTGCAGAAGCTAGTGCCAGGGGGGGGCAAGATGGACACGGCATCAATGCTTGAGGAGGCTGCAAACTACCTCAAGTTTCTCAGGTCACAGGTCAAGGCACTGGAATGTCTTGGAAACAAAGTTGATGCAATGAATTGTCCTCCTACAAGCATTGCCTTCTCTTTCAACCCTTCTTTTCCCATGCAAACATCTCTCAGTCACATCCATCATTCCCAGAGTTGATGTGGTTACTATCATGGGGTCAAACACCCGTCAACTCTAATCATTTCATTACCAATCAAAATGATTAACACATCTGATCTTTATTTTCTAGTCAAGAAAGCTCTAATTAATGACTTGTATCATTGTATTGTAATTGTCTTCAGTATAGTCATCAGTGACTAGTTTAAAATTATCTCAATGATGATATTCTCTGGTTTCTATCACAATTAATCAACTGCACCATGCACCAGCAAATACTTTTTTTTTTTTTTTTTTTTTTGTCAGTGTCACTCAAAATGCTACACTGTCGCTCCATTTTTATAGATTGAAGGTATGATATTAAGATTTAGACGAAGTAGTGAAAATAATGGAAATGGATTACCTTAACTTTTAGCATGCAAAAAGGCCTAGCAATTATAACACCCTATTATTGAGATAAAGTGCTAGAGAAAGTGATTGTTATTTTTAAGTGTTTTATATTGTAGTTTAAGGTGCATTTTTCTTGGAGAGACCTTTAACAAGATATTTTAATTGATGTGCTTTGTTAGCTAACCAGTGAACGGGACATTCTCTTAGGATTAGTGAGCATAGTCAGTGGTCCTGTCTCCTTGATTCGACCCAACGCGTGCTCTTGAAACTCACTCCACACACACATTGCTCAGCACGTGCTTATCATATTCTTCTTTTTTTTAGCAGGAGTGTTTGTCATACAATACTATATAAAAGCTCTCTATGTCTTACTTAAAGGTACCAATTTTCTTTTATATTAATGTAACTAATGATATTGTTAATGATGATTATCATGACAATGACAAAGACGGCTGCAACAAAACGTGATGTGCATCTTATGCAATTGTCACCAAACAGGGGATTATTTTAATTTGATCAAATATCTTCATCAAGCGCGTCTTTGAGCTTTTGTTACTGTATATGCATGTGGTATTCAAAATGAAGTCTTTCCCTTCCCCTTTATCTCTTTTGTTTAAGAAACATTGTCACTTTTTGTTCACTCTCTGATCACCAACACACAAAAGCCAATTTTTCCACTATTTTTTTTGTCTCCTCTGCCATTTGTTTATCACTAAATTTCTTTCTTGTTTTGTACAATTTTGCACGCACACATGTAAAATCTAATAACTTTTATCACACACAAGCCTAAACCAATGTAGTATGGTGTTGAATTGCATTTGTAAAATTTAATAAATTTCTCCTTGATATGTGGTACAATACATAACCACGGTCTCAACAAGTTGAAGTCAATCAATCAACCAAATCAACGGGATTTTCAAACCATGTGGGTCCTGCTCTTGCATGTACCCAGTGATTGGTTAAAGTGAAATTATAATTGATAATTTGAGAGAAAAGGTTGTCTTGATTGGATAAAAGGGGTATATAGGTTGAGTTCCTTGCTAAATTAGAAATTTCTGTTGTGACGTGAGCAATAGTAATTTTTTGGCTTGCTTTGTGTCATTTGATTTTGAAATCAATTAATAAAGCAATTGTCAATAAAGCACCGAATTCTGTCCTGAAAATGTCAATAGCGGGGGAGGGAGGGACGAGAAAGAGTAGACTTTGCTAAGCAAACAGTTGTGTTGTAGCTGTTTGATTATCTGTCTTGGCTAAATATATTTGCTAAAAGGAAAATAAAGTCTAACTTTGAGTTCTGATCATCTCAGAAAATTAAAAGGAAAAATCCACAATGAGTTGTGCAATTATTGAATTTCAATAAACTCTTCCTTTTGCTTATTATTTTATTATAATTTTATTTCTATACAATTATTTACTAAGTATTCCCTTTTATTTATTTGAATTATTTACTTTAGATGCAGTCATTTAAATTTGTAATTCTTTATTAACATAAACTCTTGGTGACTAAAATCCAAAGTGTAAAGAGGAGGACGACCTGATGCAAATTTTAAGATTGCTGCCGATGACTAGGTTAAGGCGGGCCTACAATAGATCATAATGGGTCCAATCCTTTCTTGGCCCAAAATATTTATTCTTGGTAAAAAAACTCTCTTCCTTTATTATCAGATATAAACCATTTGTCTGTTCTTTTTCTTAGAGCAGCATAATCTTCAGACATGATACCCATTTTGTTAGAGGTGATGTTCAATTAACAGATTCGATACGTAATGTCACCACCTTAATATATTATAGGAAATAGATACGTTACAATAATGTACTTTTCATGAATATTCTTAATATATATACAAAAGAGTGAACTAATAGTGAGATTTAGTTTCAGGCTGGGGGAACAATTTCTGTTGTGAAATTCAGAGAGGCCAACTCAATTAAGTCATTGCTTTCAGTGTCACGACCACTATATTTTCGAGCCAATTCTGTAGTCAAACACTCTTTTAGTTCGTTCACTACATCCCTCATACTTGGCCTTTTGGCAGGTCTAGTGGACACAGAAGCCATTCCTATTTCAATTACTCTCCATACTGAGTTAATGTCAAAATCTTCTTGTAACCTTGAGTCAGCAATATTCTTTATATCCCCATTAGAAAGATTGGAGCTAACCCAATCACTTAAGTGAGTCTTCTCAGGTGGTTTTGATATAGCTGGCTTACCTGTAACCATCTCCAAAAGAACAACTCCAAAGCTGTAAACATCACTTCTCTTTGTCAATCTGCTTGATAAGCTGTACCTGTGAGACGCATAATTTGTTTTAGTCCTTTTCTTGTTTGAAAATTTTCCAATGAGAACGAATGATAGGATAAAACTTAGATAAAGCTCTGTACTGTAGGTATTGCTAGTGCTTTTCCATCAAAATTTCAAGAACAAAACAGACAAAGCCTAAGAAACTGAATCTAAATTTTGTCGCAAATGATATATATCTTTGCATGCAATATTCTTCCAACAACAAAGATACATGACCATATAATTTAAGAACTTACTCTGGATCCAAATATCCGGGAGTTCCAGCAACAACTGTGGACAAATGTGTGCCTCCATCTGTTGGAAAGCTTTTGGATAGGCCAAAATCAGCCAATTTTGCCTGGAAGTTTTCATTTAATAGAATATTTGCACTCTTCACATCTCTGTGGATTATGGCTGGTTTACAACCATTATGCAGATATTCAAGTCCTAACATTAAATCAAATTCTTAGCATGAATAGATTGGAAGAATGAAAGGATTGAAGAAGAAGGTTACATGCTTAGTTTCCTTGCTAACCTTGGGCAGCATCCAATGCTATTTGGAGTCTATCTTCCCACGTTAAGAACTTTGCACTGCCACTTTTTCCTGTACAATCAAATCAATAGTTAGTACTTCTGAGTTTTGAGAGCTTTTTGGGGTAAATTGATTGAATGAAAAAGAATAAGGAATAATGTTTAGAACTTACATACCAGAAAGAATTTCATTCAAGCTCCCATTTGCCATATATTCATAGATGAGCCCTATGTTGTTTTCTTCATTGCAATATCCAACAAGAGTAGTCAGATTCCTATGATGAACTCTCATCAGAAGGTTAACCTGAAATTCAAAGGACACTTTTATGTCATGGCAACCAGCGATGGTCAGAAACTTTTGTGCAAGTTATGACCACTTGCCTCTGCTAGAAATTGTTCGTATCCTCGTACTGATGATGGAGAAAGCATCTTAACAGCTACTTGAGTGTCTTCAATAGATCCATGATAAACATTCCCAAATCCACCTCTACCAAGAATTCTGGTAAAGTTGTTGGTGATCTTAACAAGATCGTCGAACGTATATTGTCGTTGCTTGGGTTCAAATTGTGATCCATTTGGAATATTGGTCTCAACATCAATGTTCGCAGATGCTAATTTCATGGATAAAGATTTTAGTTGTTTACAAAGTATAATGAAATCGGGAACATGAGAAATTAATCAAAAGACGTGATTAGCAACAACTTTACCATGTGGTTTTCTCCTTTTAAGGCCATAGATTATAGCTGCTGCAACAATTATTAGGAGCACCAAAATCCCAGCAACAAATGCTACTACAGGAATAACTATATTATTTTTGTTCTTCTTTTGATCATCATCATCATCTGGCTGCTGGTTATTTGTCTGCTGGATGCATGGAGCAGATTCACATACAAGATTTGGATTTTGCCCCAAGCTAGTATAATTCATACAAGCATAAGTCAGAGCTTTTCCAAAAGAGCTAGTGAAGAAATGGCAATATTTATTGTATAAATTTAAGTCCAGGATGGATTCATATAAGATTATAAGAGATATTGTCTGCTTTGATTTTATTCTTAAAAGATGCTTTAATAGATTCCTAACTGATATGGAACTTTTAAACGGACCGGCACAACCGTTTTCGCTATATAATAGGACAGTTAAGTGATGTGTTGAATAGGATTTACATATGTTTAGTTACCCTTGTAAAATTATATGATGTGTTCTATGATAATCATGTGTGTATTTCTTAAATATTATGTAACAGATTTATGATTCATTGTGTGTTAAATTGCTGAAGTTTGTTCGAAGAAGGAGACTCCTTGTTAGGGCTAAGACAGGTGTTAGTGTTCTGTAGTACAAATTCCGTAGGAAGTCCAGAATTCTTTAAATTAAACCTTCCTGTCGGTGTGTTCAAATTCTCGAGTCAAACAATCTAATGGTGTAATAAAGAAATTAAGTAACAATCGACTTGTGGATTCAAGGGTTTTAAGTATGAGAGACTTACCTCAATGATAGTGAACCTTCCTTTGATCTATCAATAAGTCCTCTGGGAACTGAACCAGTAAGGTTGTTATTAAACAAGTTTCTGCGAAAACAGGACGAATATGAAACCCCTTTCACTTCCATAACGAATGATGCAAGATATGGATTACACTTACAAGACCTCAAGTGATTGCATTTGTGTCAGAAAATCAGGCACTGGCCCACTTAAACGATTGTTTGATAAATCCCTGAAAAGAGCAAATGCAACATATTACAATTCTAAAACTCAAAGAAGAGGAAAATGTACAAATTAAATGGATTTGGTCATCATTTGTTAACCAAATGAGATGAGGTACTCACAAGTAGCGTAACATAGTGAGCTCGGAGATGGAAGATGATATCAGCCCGGTCAGGCCACTAGAAGACAAATTCCTGGTTGCATTTCCAAATATACTTTTATTAGTTAATAATGGTTCGAGTTTATGAATCTGAGCATGATTTATTTTATGATGTGGAAACTTACAAGGATGTGATTCTTGGAGTGTAATCACCATGAAATCTACAAGTTAGACCTTTCCAAATGTATGCCACTGGGTGACATGGATCTCCTTGCCAATTTCTATCCACCCCATAAGCGCTTTTGATGTTTGTGATAGCATCAACTTGTATTTGGTAATCAAATAATTTCAAGGCAATTTATGCATATAGTTTTAATTCAAATGACATTAAAAAACATGGGTTCAGATTTAGAGCATACCATCATCTTGTTCAGTTTCTGATAGTGGAAAATCTATTACTTTATAAATCTCCACGGCATTAATGATGGGTGGAAGGGTAGAAGTCTCTGTCTTAACAAGAGAAAGTATGTACCTTGTGAATCCAGTCGTTGCTTCTTTACTAAAAATGGTAGATGTCGTTTGATATTCAGGAGCCACAGGTCCATAGAATAACTTGTCATTCAAGAAGATATTGAATGTTCTAGTTCTACTATTTGCCAGCATTTCCACTTCATTAAAGTGCATGTAGATGTAGAAATTCTCATTCACATTATCTGAATACCAATAGAACTCAAAAGGAACACTAGCACTTATTGGTGTAGCGGCAGTGCTCATGACAACTTCTGGTGGCTTGTAATTATTCTGGAATAGATCAACTGGATTAAGTGTGCTGCTTAACTGTGTCCACTTGTTAAATCCATGAGGCACCCAGATGCGATCATAAACATCATCTTTGTACCTGCATTCCACATTATTTCCATTCCACATAATGTAAATAAGCTTAACTCAATACAATGGACTCACCTGTACTCTAAGTTGGTGATGGAACCAAAATCATATCGCCAGATGTATGCCAATGATTCACCTAAGGCAGTGGAATAGGAATTCCTGTCCAAAGTCCTCAATTCTATAGCTGAAATGAATGGAATCCCACTTCCTGTGTTAACCAGACATGGACTTATGTAATCCAAGGAGGGAGTGTAAATGATCTCTTTGATTGTGCTGAGTGATGCATTGTCGAACCTCACTGTGTCCCATAAATTAGCTCCAAGATGAAGATCAAACTGTGGAGGCTTATTGAGACCATCATAGTTTCCATAAAAGAAAGTGGCTCGGATTAAGTACTTAGTACCACTTGTCACGTTTATTCTGTAACAGTTTCTCACTCCATTGGGAAAGCTCCTCACATATGCTAGCTGTTGTTGATGAATACCCTTCTCTGCAGGTGTTATACTCATACTTTCACCACTATCTATAAATTTGTCATCTGAAATGTAAAATATGCCTGTGGTCCTCTCAGAATAGCTTGAAGCCTCAGTTAGACCACAGTCTATGCTAATGAACCCTGAGAGAAAGAAACAGAGAAAAGATTAAAGTTGTATTAACAAATGATAATGTAACTTCAAGCTAGTCTTCAAATTTTGATAACCAAACATACCTGATTGATCCTGTGCTTGAATCAGAACCAAAGCACTAAGGACCCCAAACAATACAAAAGGAAACTGCATTAACATTCCCACCATTGTTTGATGAATCATGTTTTGGTTAGGAGGAGAAAGATGAGTGCCATAATGTCATATATACTGCTAAAGTCGCATGCCGCAGTAATTTACACGGCATTGTAGTCAGCTTTTGGTGGAAGTAATTTTTGGTAAAGAAATTCTTTGCAAGTTATACAACCTTTCTTATTAGGCACTCCGTTAATATAAACATTATTTGAATTTGTGGAATATTTATTACACTCTTTTACTTTGATTTTGTAAGAGGAAACAGACAATGGACAAATGGAAACTAAGGTTGTTGATTGAATTTTATCAATGATTGAAATTGAAGATTTCGAAAAAAAAGTCAGATATATAAACTTCTAACCCAACACTTACTCTCACTACATAACATATTTGGGTTACTTATACCAAGACCAATTCAAAGAATTAGCTGGCTACCTTGTAAATTTTCAGCCATTAACCATGAGCATGTCAAACAAGATCACCACTATATGTATTTTTGTTGCTTAAAAAATTGAAAGAAAAAGTCAAGAATGTCTTAAATGTTCTTGTTTTTCACAAGTCTTTTTGGCTTTGCATATACCATTTTTCTCAACAAAAAACTATGTTATTATAGAAAGTATATGTTTGTAGGAATTACTGTACATTCTTCAAACTTTCTAGACACCCCCTTGCAGGGAATAAGTTTGTCCCAAGGGTTAAGTACATGCATGAGCTTCACACTTTATTGTGTTTAATTTAATTAATTTGGTTCTATAATTATATTTTAGGTCATTTTTAGAGACTCCTTTCATTTTTCTTTTGCTTCACGATGTTTCTCCATGTTTTTATCTATAACAAAACTATAAATCAACACTTTATATCAGTATTATTAAAATTGATAAAAACCCTTAAGGTCCTTAACCCACAACTTTCCAATCTGGTGAATGAAGCCACAAAACCATCCCAAAGTTTTTTTATCATTAAATTTTTTTAGTAAATGCAAATAAAGATGTTGATTTTTTATTTATTATTTTAATATATTTATAGAGATATTTTCTATGTTTTCTGAGATAAAATGTTTTGACAAGTAAAATTAAACCATCTATAATTGAATAAATTGTTGATTAGGTGTGTTTTTTTTTTTAATATGTGAGCCTATATAATATTAAATTACGTATTTAAGTTATCTATATGATTTTTTTATCCCTATTAAAGTGATCTTATAATAATAAATTTATTGAGGTTTATAACATTTCATTTAACGTAGACCATATAATATACAATCTCATTTATATATTTTACTGAGCTGAAAGAAATATGATAGATATTATTATTTATGAATGAGTAAAGGTTCCTTGAAAAAAAAAAACTTATAAAAAAAATGATTCCTCAATGATATACATAGAGAAAAAAAAATGTGTATAAAAACTTAGAAGAAATTGTTTAAGAAAATTGAAAAAGAAAAGACGAGTAATAAAAAATTGTAAGAAAAACTCGGGCCTCATGTTCAGGATATTTTGTTGGGCGTGTACAAATCAACCCCTCCTCTACTTTCATTTGATGTGGTCGTTTCATAGATCCAAAGGGCACTTTTGTCATGATGTGGCATTTATAAATCATAAAACTTCGAAGATTTTAACCATTTTATTTTTCATCAAGGATTAACTATATAAACTGAACTCCAGCACTGTGCTACTTAGCTGTTTCTGGTCGTGGATTTTTACTTCGTTAATCAGTTCTTATGGTTTTGTTGTGAACTCTTCAAGATCAACGTCGTGCATGGCCAGTATTCTGGGTCCTTCTTTAAGCATAGTCACGTCCTACGCATCCAGAAATGAGCCACAATTTGTCTCTAAACTCACTGCAGTGAGAGGGAACTCTCATTCTCCACTATGGTTTTCTTACACTCGTCCTGGAAATCCCGCTAGAAACCATTTTCAGCTCAAATCCTCAAATGGGGTTTTGCTAAATGCTGTTTCTTCTAAGGATGGTTTGTTCTTCAACCTCGTTTTTACATGATCTGTTCTTTTTTTATCATTATTCTGTGTATAGTTTGAAGTTGAACTTCAACTGGATTGAAATGGTTGCTCATGCTTTTGTTTGATTTGCCAATTGTTCCTCCTTGTGGCCTTTTGATTACTGTTTCCAATTTAACTAGAGTTGTTTAGTTTAGTTAATGTCATATATTTACTTAGGTTTAGCTGGAACTTCATCGACTAAAGAAGATAGCAAGTCCCAACCACTTCAGGGACTATTTCCCTTGTCAAACTCAGAATGCACAGGATCAAACCTTAGTATAACGGTTGTTGGAGCTTCTGGAGACCTTGCCAAAAAGAAGATTTTTCCAGCACTCTTTGCTCTTTTTTATGAAGATTGGCTACCTGAGGTCCGACTTGTCATAGTGTTTTGTTTCATTTAGCAGTGATGCTTACACTTTTGGTAATTGAGATATCTTAGATGATTTAAATATTTTGGAATATTATGTTTGAGTCTGTCTGGTTTTAATTTTTATGCAGAATTTTATTGTTTTTGGATTTGCTCGGACTAAAATGACCAACGAAGAATTAAGGAACATGATTAGCAAAACTTTAACATGCAGAATTGACAAGAGGTAAATGTCATTGCAGCAAAACCATTTGTTGCAAATTTGTAACATGTTTGAAGAGAAACAAGAGTAGGTTTTAAAAAGTAAATGGGTAACAGATAACTAATTAAACGCAATGAACTTTCTTTACTTTTATCTATCTTGATTCTATACCACTAAAATGTATTTATACAATTTAGCTTCCCATACTTCCTTTCATTTTATGTTTATTGATACAAGTTTAAACTTGCAGAGAAAATTGCGAAGATAAAATGGATCAGTTCTTAAAAAGATGCTTTTACCATTCTGGTCAATACAATTCTGAGGAGCACTTTTCAGAATTGGATATCAAGCTGAAAGAGAAAGAGGTAATATATTACTATCTTCACTATTATCCTACTGAGCTGAGCCCTGTATTAATACATCAGAAATTGAAAAAATAAAATAAAATTTGAAAACATTTTCCACCATAAGCGAACATACCATAACAAAAATGCTAGATGAATCATGTTATCTGATATTGTATGCTATTTGTTTCTCAAATTTAACATGAATGCTTAAAAAACTGAAATATTCAAATACCCTTAAACATGAATCTCTTCTACAGGATCGTGTCACAAAAAGGAACTCCCGTTACTTTTTCATAAATTTCAATACTCCTTTAAAGCCGAAGCGCTGGGTTTGGTAGATCTTTCTCCTCTTCAGAATAGGGTGCAAAAACCTTTAGGGGAGATGGTGATTTGAAAATTAAAACTGTAGTGCTACAAAAAAGGGTTCTAATATAAGTCACAAAATTTAAGGCATTTTATATTTCCCATAATAACTAAATTCTTTTGTGTCATTCAAACAATATCAAATTCTCCATGGTAGTTGCCTGCCTAATAACTGATCTTGAAGCTATACTTAGATATATTTGACAATGGTCTCTTCTAGGGTGGAAAATTATCAAACAGATTATTTTATTTATCAATACCTCCAAACATATTTGTCGATGTGGTGAGATGCGCTAGCCAAAAGGCTTCTTCAAAAGATGGGTGGACTAGGGTTATTGTTGAAAAGCCGTTTGGTCGTGACTCAGAATCATCTAGTGAGCTAACAAAATGTTTGAAGCAGTACCTCACTGAAGACCAAATATTCAGGTGCATTTGGTTCTTTTCTTATTTCATTTTAACAAGCTAAAGTGAAAAGCTTGGACTCATTGGAAATTCTTTAGGATTGATCATTACTTGGGTAAAGAGCTTGTGGAGAATCTATCAGTGCTTCGCTTTTCAAATCTTGTTTTTGAGCCTCTATGGTCCCGGAATTACATTCGGAATGTGCAGATAATATTTTCTGAAGATTTTGGAGCTGAAGGAAGAGGGGGGTGAGTACTGAGTAATGTTGTCATATGTGTCCTGATAGTATTACAGAGAATGATAATTCACACGACTAATTGAACTCTCTTTGTGCTTTTCTTTAGTTATTTTGATCACTATGGAATCATTCGTGATATAATGCAAAATCATCTTGTGCAAATACTAGCTTTGTTTGCAATGGAAACACCTGTCAGCTTGGCTGCTGAGGACATAAGAAATGAAAAGGTACATACGTATTTTTTGTTTATCCATAGAATACCTAAATAACAATATTTTATTAATTTCCAATGCGGTCCTCTAAAATATCCTATAATCTTATGTTAAGATTTCAACCAATACAATGATGTTCAGTGATTACTGAGAATGGTTTCAACTCAGGTGAAGGTTCTGAGATCAATGAGACCACTGCAGCTTGAAAATGTTGTTGTTGGTCAATATAAGGGCCACAGCAAGGGTGGTAAATCATATCCTGCCTATACAGATGATCCAACTGTTCCAAAGGGTAGTCTTACTCCAACATTTGCAGCAGCAGCTCTTTTTATAGACAATGCCAGATGGGATGGGGTTCCTTTTCTCATGAAAGCTGGCAAGGCTCTCCATACTAAACGGTACGCAATGTTTCTTCTTTCTTTAGGTAGTCATTGAATTTGCTTTGTATTCTTTGGAATTATTACAAAAAAAAAAAAAATTCAAAAATGTATCCAGTGCAGAAATCAGAGTACAATTCAGACATGTCCCAGGTAACTTGTACAAGCGGAATTTTGGAACTGATCTAGACAAGGCTACAAATGAGCTTGTGCTTCGAGTACAACCTGATGAAGCTATATATTTGAAAATCAACAATAAAGTTCCTGGTCTGGGAATGAGATTAGATAGAAGTGACCTGAATTTGCTTTTCCGAGCAAGGTATAAGATCTTTTAGACCGAGTTAAATTCAATTGTAGAAGTTGTTGATTAAGAATTACTGATAATTCAATTGAAGTTGAAGTTAAAATGTTAATAGTTAGTTCACTGAACGCAGATCAATGTTTTTCCCATTGAAGGTATCTTATAAGATACTAGTTACATATGTAGTTACACTTGCCTGCAATATTGTTTCGAATGAGGATTTTCCCATAAAAGTTACCGTATTGAGACTTGTAAAATTCTTCATAATTAAAGCTAGATATAACTATTGTTTGTGAAACATAACAATCTTACAAAATTCTATCAGCTAAGAGTGGTCATTATATTGGAGCAAGTAAAACAGGTGTTCGACAAGGGCATTTAACATACAACTTTAAATTTCTGTGAAGGTATCCAAGCGAAATACCAGATGCTTATGAGAGGCTACTCTTAGATGCCATTGAAGGGGAGCGAAGGCTGTTCATTAGAAGCGATGAGCTTGATGCAGCTTGGGCACTATTCACTCCTCTGCTAAAAGAAATTGAAAACAAGAAGATTGCTCCGGAGCTCTACCCCTATGGTAGCAGAGGACCGGTTGGAGCGCATTACCTTGCTGCAAGGCACAATGTAAGATGGGGAGATCTTGGTAGTGAAGACTCATAAATGGCAGAGCTCTCCTATGATCAAGAACATTCATTATCAGTTTCGTTTCCATCACATTATAGGACAGCTACGTGCTTGTCTCACCATCGGTTTGGGAGAAAATGGAAGAAAATTTCATATAGAATGAGCATACTTTTTTTATGTATTATAGCCTGTGCTTTCCGCACTGATGGCAAGTTGATTTAGAATAATAAAACTATTGCACAGTATGATATGATAGAAATGGGATCAGAATTCAGAAATGGAAGAAAGACAAAATTTCTTATATTGATTGAGTGTATCTGTACAGAAAAAGTTCTCTGAATACTAGAGGGTTCCAAGCCTTTAGCCCTTAACTAACAAACAAGTTAAGCAAGCACTAAGTATTGTACAGCTTCGAACAACCTGACAAGTACCACCAAGAGAGACTGGATCTATTAAAGGGACTTGTCTTCCACATCTTAACAAACTAAAGTTTGAAACTCTGTTGAGAGATATATCCATTGTCCACATCTAGAATCTGAATCTCGAACAAAATTACCCTGATGGAGAATACCAGTGTTTAGTTACTTGTCTCCTTTTCAGGATGGGTGATGAATATTTTTTCTTTGTCAAACCCCTCTGGCAATAGACGCCTCCCTTCCATCTCACTACACAGTGCCAATGCCAACTGATTTTTCCCACACCTGCAAAGTCCATGATAGAGCTCAGATAACGTACTGGAATCTGGACACATCAATCTGCCCAGCATGTCCCTCAAAACCTGCACAGCCCCGTCAAAGTCCTCATTCTTGCAAAAAGCAGATATCAACATCTGAAAAGTATGCTCATTTGGATTACAACCACTCCTCACCATGCTCCTATAAATAAGAAAGGCACGCTCAGAATTGTTCCTCAGACACTGCCCAGTAATAAGAGCAGAAAAAGTACTCGCATCGGGGACCAAGTTCTTCTTATCAAGCTCCCTCACAAACCCTGCAGCCTTCTTTGTCTTCCCATCCTTACACAACCCCAAAATCAATGCATTATAAGTTAAAATATCAGCATCAACCCCATTCCTCGCCATCTCCTCATAAACCTTCCCACCCATTTCACTATCTCCAACCTGACCATACCCATGCAACAAAGTATTATAAGTCACAACATTCGGAGCCACATTAGCCACCTTCATCTCATTGAAAACCCTATTTGCCTCATGCAACTTCCTCTCCTTACAAAACCCATTAATTAGAGTGTTAAAAGTAACCACATTAGCCTGCACTCCATTATCCCCCATCAAAGATTTAACCTTTAACGCCAAGCCAAACAGTCCCTTGTTACAATACCCCGAAATCAAAGTATTGAAAGACACAACATTAGGACTCAAACCCATGTCCCCCATCTTCTGGAAAATCTCAAAGCCCTTTTGCACTTCCCCCAACATGCAATGAGCGCGAATAACCATGTTGAGAGTGTAGACATTGGGCGAAACGTAAGAACGACGCATCTCCCGGTAAAACGACAGAGCAATATCCGCCCTGCGAAGGCGAAGCAGAGAACTTAAAAACGCGTTGCAGGATTCAACAGTGAGGGAGAAGCCGTGTTCCTTCATTAGGGTATAAGTGAGGGTGGCACTGCGGAATTTATTGGTGTGGGCGAGTGTTTTGAAGAGGGCATCGAAGACGAGAGGGGAAGAGTTGCAGAGAGGGTAGGAGTGTAAGAGGGAGTGGGAGAGGTTTTGGGGAGGGTGAGAAGCGAGGATTTTTGTGAGGATGGTTTGGATGGTTTTGAATTGGCGGTGTTTGGCGAGAGTGTGGAGGAGGATGGAGAGGGTTTCGAGGGTGTGGGTGGAGGGGTGGTGTTGGAGGAGCCATTGGGAGAGCTTGAGGGACAAAACGTGGTCGTTTTGGAGGGTGAGGAGGAGGTGTTTGAGACGGAAGGGTGTGAGAAAGGGGCATAAAGGGTGAAGCTTTTCCCAGTGGGAGTTGATGACGTGGCGGCGAGCGACGGTGATAAAGTCCAGATCCTGGCCTCGAGGTTCGGGAAGGGTTCGGTGAGGTATGGGAACGAATGGCCTCCTGGTTGGGGTTCTGTGAGGTGGTACGATTATCAGAGTGGAAAATCGACGAAGTTGAATGTTTCGCATTGTTTAAGGAAACAGAAACAAGTGTGCAGAAACAAGTGGAGTTGTCTTTCTCCATATTAGAAAGAAAATTCAGGTGGAGTTAATTAATTATCACTGGTGGTAGAAGAAGAAAAATACTATAATTTGTTATCTGAGTGTAAAAAATACTTTAGAAATGAAAATTGAAGAGCACAAGTGACATTATTATTTTTATTGTACTGAAAAAAACTATATTGTATAAAAAATATAGATTAAAATAAATTTTTATATCACACACTCTCTGAAAGTTGTTCTGTTCTGTGGCCAAATCGAGTGAAACAGAAAACATAAGAGAGCGGTTCGGAAATTGGGAGTGGAAGATGGCGACGGCGCCGGGAAACCAAATGCTGGAGGGAGGAGGAGCGCCGCCGCCTCCGGGGACTGACATGACCGGAATATGCTTCCGAGACCAGCTCTGGCTTAACAGCTTCCCTCTCGACCGCAACCTGGTCTTCGATTACTTTGCCCTTTCCCCTTTCTACGATTGGACTTGCAACAACGAGCAACTCCGGATGCGCTCCGTTCACCCCCTTGACATCTCTCAACTCTCGTATGTAAAACCCTAATTTCTTTCTCCGTCCTTCTTTTCATTACTCTTTTTAGGTTTCGTGGAATGTAATAATTGAGTAATAACGATTATTTTCTTCAGGAAAATGACGGGGATGGAGTATATGCTCAGCGAAGTTATGGAGCCGCACCTGTTCGTTATTCGCAAGCAGAAGAGAGATAGCCCCGAAAAGGTTACGCCTATGCTCGCCTACTACGTCCTCGATGGTTCCATTTACCAGGCTCCGCAACTGTGCAATGTTTTTGCAGCCAGAATTGTGAGCTCTTGCTCTATGTGTGTTACATTATTTTTATTCTGTTTAGGTTAGGGAGGATTCTTTGTTCTGAATAGCTTGCTTGCATGAGATTGAGAAGAAATGGATGTTAGTGATCGTGTGTGATGTAGAATGGAGGAGGAACATGTTGAAGGAGGGATTATTATATTCATATCAGTAGGAACTTAAGAGATCTTTTATTATTTTGTGGGGATTTAAATTTTTTTCTTTTTGTACAAGGTATTTAGTTAAGATTTATCTTTGATCGTGTTACTATTTCACTATATCATGATTTATCTAGGGTTTATTTATTACCATTGGGTTATGATTTATCTATGTTATTTAGACCTTTTGCGTAATTGGTGATTTATTTTTTCTGAGAATATCTGAACACGACCCAAAGGAGCACTGCACCTAGAGGAGTATTCTAGATTTTTTTTAGGGGCTTTAACTTGTTACGAGCAGTAAGTTCTTGGTTTTTTTTCATCAAAGGTATATCATTGTGAAAATTAAAAAAAAAAATCCTTTTCAGCCTTGAAATTTAGCATTTTGTTTTCTGTTCGAAGCTGTATTAGTTTTATCTGGTTTGTTGTATTCAGGTTCGCAGTTTTGAATTCAGGCAGCACTACATTATTATTAGTTTTTATACTTAAAGGCCTTATCCAAAAAACTTTGTGCAGTTTAGTAGTTTTTCTTTTAGTCAACGCTTTTTTGTTATGGTAGAGATTTTGTGGTCCAATACCGGTTTTGTCATTGATCTTGCAGGGAAGGGCCCTTTATTACATAGAGAAGGCATTTACTACAGCTGCCTCAAAGTTGGAGAAAATTGGATATGGTAAGTGGAGACTGTTTGAATATGCCTCTCAGTAATGTTTCAGAAGCTGGATAGTGTTTGAATATGTCTTGTTATTGAAGTTTTACATTGGCAGTGAAGCGAGGTATATACACGAAAAGAAGCCTGTCTGGCAAAAGAGGAACTATTTTTCATTTGAAAAAACAGTATAGTTTCAATTGTATAGGAATAGTTTATAGAAGCTAGAGCCAACTTTTATGCTCAGTATGGTTTGAATTTCTGAGACATCATACCAAAAGATTACTGCATTTGTTCATTCTACAATGTGATCTAGTATGCTTTAACTGATGTGATCTGACCATATTAGTCTGTCTCCATATAAGAATTTCTGGTTCATGTATCAAACGAAAGGACCCAAAAAACAGAATTCTTTTATGTTTGGTAGAAATGCCATAGTCCCAGACTATATTCCTAGAATGAATAAGCAAATTGTTGTGATATTATTATGCCATCCCATCATGATTATTTAATAAATTAAATGATAGAGTGAGACAACTTTACTGCTGAACTTTGAATGACCACTCTCGCAATTAGGATTAATCCTCTCTAGGACATCAAATTTTTTACTTTCGAAGACAATGACCAAGCTGGAGTTCTGTCATTGGAACAAATAATTTATAGGCCATATTAATCTTTATTAGTGTTGCCATCAAGAACTATGTGTATGGGATTGATATTGAAGCATCACTTTCATGTATTTGTAATTGGAGGACTAAGCAACTATTACTGTAGTTCAAAGTATAATGCTTTTAAGCCTTCAGTACTGAATTATATATAATTTCTGGTTTATTCTTTAGTCCTGTTCCAAATAGCAAACTCTCCATCTTACTTTCGTTTTACACCTCAATTTTCCTGATTCCCAGAATTGTCTTTTTTACTCTCCTGCCCATTATCAGCAGCTAAGAACTTAATAAACTATTAACATAGCTTATGGAGGTGACCGACCTTGTAGTCTTGCCAATTGCCAGAACTTCTGGTAATTTTTGCCTGTCTACTTTTCATGACTGAAGTTGTCTAATTCAGAAAGCATCCATGTTCATTAATGCTTGATTTAGGTTGACAAAGATGTGGCGAAGATTCCATGATATTAGGGTTCTTTGGGTGGCTTGATTTGGTAATTAAGGTTCTTTGTAAAATTGGGGATGAAAAACTGAAGCAGGTTAACTCGAGAGAGAAACACTGAAATCCCTTAGTATCATCTAAGCAACGAGTAATATCAGTGTGTCACTGTCGCTGCTTTAATAAAACATCAGGGAATTCTTCCACTGTTATTTTTCATACCTATTTTATTCGCCTGACATCTTGTGTTCTGCCTGCTTGTAAGCCATGTTTTGGGAAGTTTTTAGCCATAGAACTGTTACATTTCATACATCTGTGCACATTAACTGAATTGTGATTCTTCTAGCTGGGTCAGTTGATTCTGAAAATGAGACTGCATTGGTGGAGTCAAAGACTGCTAAGGAGACAATTGACATAAAGGAAGTTAAGCGTGTGGATCATATCCTTGCATCGTTGCAACGCAAGGTAAGTTGAAAAAACACATCTTTCACATGTTTCCTTAACAAACAATTATGTACACAACACAACTATTAAAAATTACTGGTAATATTTTGGTAAATAAAAAAATGGGTACAGGGGTAGCAATAAAAGCTGTCTTCAGTAAACGCCCAATCTGTTGTGAATGTGGGGCCTCTTTACACTCTTGAAATTTTTTTACCCTTTTCGGGTAATTCTTTATTGTCCTATCGAACTCTCCTAATTATTTGAAACAGACTATACTACATAAGCTTAAGCATTTAGTATATTGAGAAGCCACAATGCATTTAATAATTTGAATAGTTAATAGCAATTTTTAAAAACTGACCCACTATGAACTGGTGAAGAAAAATAATAAGGTTAGTATCATGATCACATTCCAAGGTTACAAGTATAAAAATATAGAAATATAAAATATAGGAAAGAGTGATAGATATATAATAATTAAAATAATATGAAAATATAATGTAATAATTATTATTTAATATGGACATAATTAATATGAAAAAAAAAATTAAAATATATTATATTTTTTATAAAAAAATTATATTAAATAATTTATCTTTATTTTTTTATCAAAACTGATTGGACCAAAAAATTTAGTCAGCATTTTTTATTTTCTATTAGTTTTTTCAATTTTGTTTCGGTATGATTAAAATTCAGTTATTTAGAAGTAATAAATCGGTTTTTAGACCGGGTTTTCGATAAATTGGTTGAATTGACTTGTCCTACACGATTTTCAAAATAGTGGGTGGTAGTTTTTCATTCATGGATCACATCTGATCATATATATTGTTAATATTTTTTTTTCTTTTTTTCTTGCTTTTCATGGGATTTGGTGAAAGGTGCAATCAATAGGGTTTTCATAATTCTGGCTTCGCAAAGGAAAGAATATGAAATTATTTTTCCTTTTTATAGCAATGAGATTGGATCTAGTCATAAGAAAAAAATCAGAGTGCTTGACTAATAAATAACTTGGAGGATATAATATATGAGACTAAATAAAAAATTTGATAGTTCTAGGTCAAAAGTGTTACCCTAACGTGACTCTATATTAGACTGTCAAGACTAGATTGATTTTTTTTTTTAATATTAATATATCTATATAAAATTAATTAATTAAAAAATTATTTAAATAAAAATAAAAATTATTTTGAAATTTTAAATTTATTGAATTAAATTAGTTTTAATTTAAAATATAATGATTTAGTATATAAACTATAAGATAATATATCTATTCAATTTTAAATTAAGAATTAAAAATTTATTTTTTAATATCATTATTTATTTTATAGTAATTTATTATTTTAAAATAATAATTAATCTTTATTATTAAATTTTATAATACATTATTGTTAAAGATTTATTCTAATATTTATTTTTAAAATAAGTAAATTTTTTACCAAATTAATTTATAATATATATATATATATATATATTAATAAAATAATATTATTTTTATTTTTTAAATAATAGTTAGGATCAAAATAAACATACTTTAATTTAAGTCGTAATTCTTTTGATTTAGTCTGATTTATTTTTGCACACCTAATTAAATCTATTTTAACACCTTCTACCAATAACATTGGAAAATTTATGCAGTTACCACCAGCTCCTCCTCCACCACCATTTCCAGAAGGGTATGTTCCGCCTCCAACAGCAGAAGCTGAGAAAGGCACCGAAACCCAGGAAGCAGCAGAAACGCAAGCTCCTACTGCTGATCCCATAATTGACCAAGGACCAGCAAAAAGAATGAAATATTAACAATAAAGGGATCCTGCAATGGCTATTGAATACTTATTATACGGTGGAGGAAAATTACATTATTCCTAACATGCAGCCCTTGCTGGAACTAAAGATTAACTTAATGTTATTATTCTCGGGCCCTTACAGGCGTTGCCCTTTTCCTGTCTTCGCCTTGAATGTAGATATTATCAATCACTGAAATAGGATTACACTCTTGTAGTTTCATTCTGGACGATGATGTATTGAACAATTCCAAGTGTAAACGAAACTATTTAACTTGTTGAACATTTTCTATTTATTATTGTACGTTGAAGCAGGGTTTTCATCCTAGTGATCCCTGAACGCCTGGACAAGTTAGATTCTGATCAATTGAGCGTATATATATTGCGTCCACTACAGCATAATTGAATTGTTTTAGATTCTTGTAATTACAAATCCTTCGGCCTTGAATTTTAATCCAAAATAAGCATTAGAAATTGCCATTTTATTTGAGTAAACTGTTTGATAAAAGACTTGTTGAATACATATTTTCTGTAATTATTTATGTATATATTCACATGACGACACTAACCGACTAAAAGGTAAAAAAAAACACAGTTTATAATTCGAAAGTTTAGGGAGAAAAATATTAAACCTATTTTTGATATTATGATAGAGAGTACCTTTATTAAATAGCAGCAATTGTTTCCTTTTCTTTTCTAACTAATGGTTTCCACTATAAATGTAATGTTGTTGGGTGCTGTGATGTGATGTAACCGATTGTTTTCTCCAGGCGTCTCCTTCATCCCCCAAAAGTGAAAGATATTTTGGGTATGTGGTCGTAAAATATACAAAAAAACACAATAGTACTGACTTGTGGACACCTATTTTCTGTGATTTTTAGTCTTGTACTCAAACCTGCAAACATTTATTTTTGTGGTGTATATATCTTTGATCGCATGCAGGAACTATGAATATGATAATCTTCATGCAAACTGTACAAGCAGCTTCACTTGTTTTATTAGGAGGTGGAGTGACACAGGCAAGATCTGATCTGATCTGATATGCATTCAACAAACATCTTCGATCAGCACCTCAACTCACAGCTAGCTAGCTTGCTGAAAGTGACACAATACTTTCAACTTTTACTCGTCCTTTCTCACCTCTCTTTTAATGGAATACTTCTTTTTCTTCATCCACCCTCATTAAGGTGCTTCCCAGTATGCATGAGAGATACTGCATGGTGGAATCCAACACATATATGGCTGGGATTTTAAGCCACGCCACCAATCCATTACACCATTTTTTTGTGATAACATATACTTCATGGACACCAGCACACAACTTGCTCATATATTAGTTTTAAGTTTCCTGTAAATGTTGACTTTCCGCAAGAAACCCACCATAGTTTTCTTTTCTATTTTTATAAGCAATTCTTAAAATATTGAGTAGTTTAGTTTTGAAGTTGATCAATTTTATTAATGCTTAGATACTTTTGAAAGACTTTTTAATACATGCTTATCTTCTTCATTCATCACTCCATTATTATATTTACAAGCAGATAACATATCATAATAGCCACAGAAATAAATCACATGTAATAGGTTCCACAATCAAGATATGCACTCTTCACATGTGATATTTGCATAATTTATATTTAAATATTTAATTATAATTTTAGTTTCTGCTAGGATAAATAAATTCACATTAATTAAGAATTGAAATATCTAATTAGATTTTTATTTATTTCGCACTAAAACATGTTTTAAAGATAAAAAATATAACAAATCAAAATAAAAAAAAATAGTTCAAATATTTGGATAAAATACATGTAACTTTCATTTTCACGCAATGAGCAGAAAGAAAAATGATTTAGTTGAAATCATTGATGCACTACTAAAAATTCTCATTTTTTTATGGAAATATTTTTTAAATTTTTTGTAAAAATTATAAAAAATAAGTTTTTCTATAAATTTAAACAATTTTTTTAAAAAAATTGACAAAAAAAAATTAGTTTTACGATGAAAAACTGTCGGTAACCAACGTGTGCAACTGGCTCTGCTCACATTTCAATGCCTTCAACAACGTAATTTTAACCTAATTTTCTCTTTTTTTATAATTTTCAAACTTCAACTGCCCAATAAAAATGGGATCTTCATTATCATCACATAAATCCAATGTCACGTGAGAGCGCGTGGTGTTTTTTAAAGAAAAATATTATAATTAATGTGAAAACACATCTATCTTATATCATAAATTTATTATTTTATAATAAATACTACAACATTAGAAATCATGTTATCAGAAATTTACAATTAAATGGCAATATAAAAATCCCTTTTTCATAAAACTAATTTTCTTATTTTTCATGTACATATCAATTTTATAATTGATTTAAATATAATTTTTGCAACTCTTATTTTGTAAAACGTACAATTTTTGTCTCCATTTTAAATTGAAACATTTGATATCTCACTAAAAATATACTATTTTAGTCCAATTTTCAACTTCCATATTTTTACTTTTAATATATATATATATATATATATTATATAAAAACAATATAACGAATTAAAAATGTAAGAAATAATGTAGAGAAGAATATAAATTAGAAAAAGTTTGTGAATTAAAAAAAAAACTAAATTATGTTGACTCTTGGTTGAAGTTATCTTTAAATTGTATTTGATATTCATCTTATCTTATTGAATTAATAAATTATATTTGTATATTTCTACGAACAAAAGAAACACGTAAGATTGACGTGTAAGGCTCCAATGCATTGTAATGAACGTGTTTGACTCTGCAAATGACACGTGTCGGATAGTGAGGGCAGAGAAAAACGAACGGTGGAAAATGGCAACGGTGCAGGAACTTGTGATTTAGGAAACAGCTTATAAAAAAACACGTGTGGTACAAATTTGACTAGATGCCACGTCACTGGGCCCCACTATTTGAAGAGATATTATTTGATCCAACTCAAGCTGAGTCAGTTGTGACAATAAATCGCTCTACGTGGGTCCCACATATTAAATTTTATTAATAAATTAATTATAAAACCTAATTAATATTTAGATATATAAACATTTTTTAATATATATATATATATCTTCTTTAAAACAATGTGTGGTCTATTTTACGTTACTCATCATCACCACTTATAATTAATTTTATCATCATAATGTCATTTGGTGAAAAATAATTCTATATTTATCAAACTTTTCAATATGATTTTTAAAAATTTTTATATTTAAAAAAAAATTAAGTAAAGAAAATTACTTAATTTGACAATTAATTTTTGTTTTTAAGAAAATCCCTAAAGATCAAATTTTTAAAATAAACCTATATTTAGTATTAGGTGAGATTCAATTTGAATCTATATTGATTGATCTACCAAACACATCCAAGTGAGGAATGTTTGATATTGTTTCTTTTTCCCTCAAGTGTTTTAAAATGGAGGGTTGTGTTTTTCCTTGGTGGAAAATAGAGGTTATTTAGGTTAAAGGGAGGGTAAAAGATGGATAAAAACATGTTTGTATGTCCTGAATATGGAAAACTAGAAATATGAAAAGGAAAAGCAAGATTTTTCAGGGAAGGACTTGGGATCTCCCAATTCTCAGGCAAGGACTCTCCGGCCAGCTATAAATACTTTCAACCTTTTTTCTTCTTCCATCACTTCTCCTTCTTCTTTCATTTTTCTCTTCCTCTTTCCCCCAACTCTTGGACTCATCATGACCATCCTCATTCAGCAACCTGATCATCACCTTGGTAATTCATTTTGTCATTTTCCATTTCTTTAGTCTAATCCAAGAAAAAAGAGGTTTAATTTGATAATCCCTTCGGCTTTTAGCTTAAGAAAAAAGGCTTTGTGTGTTTCTTTCCATGAAATTTGTTCCATTTGGAGCAAAATCTGTCCTTTTTGGACATGAAGCAGAGTTTTGATTTGGAAGAGGAAAATGTGCTCCAAATTGTGTGGTTTTCAGTTAATAGGGTTTTTAAATTGCAGGGGATGAAGTTGAGGCAAAGACTGCACCAATAAATGAGAGAGAACTGGTGTTGGATGGTGGATTTCCGATACCACAGACCAATTCATTTGGGCACATGTTTAGGTTTCAATCTCCATAACCTATTCACACCCATCAATAATTTTCTCCAATTTTTATTATCCAAATCCAAATATATATGTAAAGACAAATCCACTCGCCAATTTTAACTTTTTCAATCATTTTGTCAACGCTAATTTGGGTCTTATTACTTTTGATCATAAATCATGCACGATTTTAAAACTTTTTCTTATTAACGTATAAAAGGGGGGAAAAAAAGTAATGATTTTAATTACTGCTTCAAATCCTTGACTTGAATTTCTTTCATTTTTTTTAAGGGTTTTAAGCTCTTTTTGTTTTTTCTTTGGGATTGAAAAAGCTCTTTAATTCATAAACGGTTGTAGGCTTTTGGTCAACGCAATTCATTCTTTTCGTCGACAAAATGAGTATTTCTTTTAACGTCGAAGAAAATAAGATTTCTTATTCAATTCTTAGTGTGTCAATATCCATTTTGTCTTTTAACTTTGGGCCAGGCCCATCAAGTTCTGGCCTTTCAAAATGATGATTTATATAAATGATGAAAAAGAAGAAATTTTGCAGAATTTTCATTCAATTTTAGACTTTTATGCCACCCCAAAAAATAATAGTAATATAGCATGACTCGTTTTATGATAATTTTCAAATACCCTTACAAGAATTTTTTATTTTTTTTTCATTTCCAGCTTTATAATATTACAATTAAAAAAAATCGTCAAAATTGTGATAAAAAAAATAAATCTATAAGACAAGTAAACGATTAGAGATTTTGGTCTCTTTACACAATTAAACAAGATAGTACTTGTCATTTCACCAAATTACGGATTAGTAAAATCATGAAAAAGGGAAAATTGATTAGATCCTTCAGTTTTTGTCTATGTTCATACGTTCAAACGCTGCTAGAATTATTATCCTATGAATAACAATGTAATGTAAAACAGGGCTTATCATGATGCTGAAAGTGAGAGGCATGAAGGAGTGGAAAATTTCTACAGAAAAAATCACACTTACCAAACACTTGATTTTGTAAGCATCTATCAGAAAATTTGCATTTACTACGCCCAGTTGCCACAATTTGAAATTATAAAGGGTAAAACATGTTACTAATTTGAACATGATATTCATATATAGGTGAAGAAAATGAGAGAGGAGTATGCAAAATTGAACAAGGTAGAGATGGGTATATGGGAATGTTGTGAACTCCTGAATGAAGTGGTGGATGAGAGTGACCCTGACTTGGATGAACCCCAGATTGAGCACTTGCTTCAGACAGCAGAAGCTATAAGAAGGGACTACCCTGATGAAGATTGGTTGCACTTAACAGGCCTTATCCATGGTAATGTCTACATTCTAATAATGCTCCTCATACAGTAAATTTTGAAGATCCTTTTGCTATGAAATTGTTTTTGTATTTTGGTTTAATATGGATAATGGGAAATTATTTGAAAACTTCCTCAATGCAGATCTTGGCAAGGTGCTGAATTTACCTAGTTTTGGAGGACTTCCTCAATGGGCTGTAGTAGGTATGTGTGGTGTATATACAGGATTGACACCTACTCATGTTTTCTTTACAATTTCTGGTTAAAACATTCACTCATATTTATTCTTACTATGCTCATACAGGGGACACATTCCCAGTAGGTTGCAGATTTGATGAATCAGTTGTCCACCACAAGGTAAATTTATCAAACCATTTTCCTTTTGAGGTGGAAAATAAACAATATATTGAAATTAAACATCTGACACATGTTGCATTCCCACTTCAGTATTTTAAGGATAATCCAGACTACAACAATCCATTGTACAACACTAAATATGGGATTTACTCAGAGAAAGGTGGACTCAACAATGTCATGATGTCATGGGGGCATGATGATTACATGTATCTAGTAAGTCCTTCTGAAAACCATAGGTAGAATTGTTTAATGCAGTTATTTCATAAATTGTGAAGGAAAATGTGTAATTTGGGTGTTGTTTCAGGTGGCAAAGGGGAATAATACCACACTGCCTTCTGCTGCTTTGTTCATTATAAGATACCATTCATTCTATGGTAATTAAACTTAGAAGCAAAAGTTACCTTATCCAATATTATCCAACATATAACTAATTATAAGTTCATAACTTTTCAACATTATCCACTCATTTTTTGTTTTTGCAGCATTGCACAGGGAAGGAGCCTATAAGCACTTGATGAATGATGAGGATGTTGAGAATCTAAAATGGCTTCACATTTTCAAGTAAGACTATATTTTTACATTAATGAAATATATATTAATTGATTCTTTTTCTCTAACTTTCTTCTGCATACAATATTTTGCAGCAAATATGACCTTTACAGCAAGAGTAAAATTCGAATTGATGTTGAAAGGGTCAAACCATACTATCTTTCACTGATTGAAAAGGTTACCAAGTACCCTTTGGAAACTTTGAAATCTCCTTTTCTTCCAATTGAAAAAGTTTTCATCTTTTATGCTGAAGTGTCGTAATTTGTTTTCTGCAGTACTTCCCTGCAAAGCTGAAGTGGTGAAAAGTTCATTGGAATCATGAAAGTGCCAATAATTTATGATGGTAGCCAACTAGCAGAGGAAATAATAAGCTAGAATGCTTTTAGTTGTATCAATCAATTTGTATTCTTGTATGAAATAATATTTATAGCAGAAGTTCTATCTGAAAAATTATTATTATTATTATTATTTCATTGATTGTGTTTTTAGTTATAACTATTTTTATGAAAAATTTCAACATAAATATATTAATAATTATAATGATATTAAAATGAAGACTTGACTTTTTAGATTTTCCAAATTTAAATTTATTCTTAGTCCATAAATTTTAAAAATTATGTTTTTTTAGACCCGTGAGCCAAACAAGACAAAAGATTTACAAGTTGTGACTGCCAAAATCTGCAGAGGCACCAAACAAGACATAAGCATATTTTTAAACAAGTCCTAACTGGCAACAACTGTACATAGGAAAGTGTTTGAATCTCTTCACTGAAAAAGACTCAAAATGATCATGTGAATACCAAAAATGCTTGCACTTTTAAATAAAAGAAGTGGTAAATGGAAAGAACTAACGAACTTATTGTTCCATAAATTCACCAAACATGTGTTGAATGTTGGGGTCCTTTCTCATCCATGTGTCGTGTATTTATGTACTCTATGCTTCAAGTGTATTGTCTCCACTCTGCAATAAGCCTCCACCAAACTAAAATAACAAACAATTAACCCTACTTAACACCTAGTGTAACCTATTTCATTATCCAACTTTATTTTTCTTTCGAATTTAGAGAAAAGATTTAATTAAAAGTTATGAAGATGCTATCTTTGGTGATTCTAATCAAACTTGAGATGAAAAATAATATATTTCAATAAACTTATATGTGTTGCTGTATGCTTGGTGCATTGAGTGGGCCTCAGCCCAAGGGACTTTAAATAATTATATCAATCAATTATCCATTTTTAGCCCAAACGCTTGCTTCTTCTATTCTCATCATTTCTTTATAGATTTGTATCCAAATTAAATATCTAAAATATCTTTTTTATAATTTTATTTATTTTAACTTTCTATTTTATCTGTATATAACTTCTACACCTTCATTAATCCCTCCATTTTTTTATTATATAATTTTTTTCATATTATTTCCATTAAAAATCTTTTTTAACAAATTTAAATTGTTTAGTACGAAATAATGTTAAAAAATAAAGTTAAATTCTAAAAATATATTATGGACGGAATGTTCCGAACTATATTTCGGATTTTAAATTTGTTTTTTTAAAACATATTCCAAAATATTAAATTTATAATGTATTTTTTATTGATTTTTTAAAAACATATTCTAAAAATAAAAATAAAAATAAATGTAAAAATAAATGAAATTAATTTAATTATAAAGATGTATGGAGAAATTATAGTGATGAAAAAATAAAAGAGCCCCATCAAAATGAGTCAAAGTAACAGAGGGGCCATCTGATTCATTTTACTATAAATTAATTAGAGTGGCTTGTTTAAAACATAGTAATATCAATTTTTTCTTTAATCATTTTGTAATTTTTATAATTATTACTATTTTACAAACCATCTTTTCAACACGCTCATATTTCTTAGAGAAAAAATAAAATAATTTTTTTATAAGTTAAAATTAATTTATGTACAAGTTAATTTGTAAAACTTCTATTATATAATTTTTATAATTTTTTCCTACAAAAAACATAAATAATTAAGTTATAAATAAGTTAAACAAGTCAAAACTCAAGTTTAATATTTTTTATAAACAAAACAAACTCAACCTTTTAATTAATAAATGAAACAAGTTTGAATAATCAATTTTTACTTTGAGTCCAAATCTAAGTTTCAAGAATATGTTAAGACTCATTTACGCCCCGTACCTAAATAAACACAAAATAGATATTTCTCTTCAAACATAATTTATTCCATATCAATAATCACTTTAAAGAAACAGTACACTTAATATTATGTTTTGCTTAATGGAAAAATAGAAAAATAGGATGAAGAGAGAGAAAATAATATTATCTAATAATATAAAGAAATGGAGTGGAAATAATATAGATTAGAACTGAACTTATTTCTATTAACTTTTATTTTTCTTCCATCACATATTTTTAACTTTCACTTTATTTTTTCATCAATTCTCATTCCCAGAAAAAAAATCACTCGATTTTTTTAGTATATTAAACTATTCGCTGCAGGTTTCGTAAAATTGCATAAACAGCGTTGTTCTTTATTATTATTATTATTATTATTATTATTATTTCTACACTTATATATCTTAATTGCTTTCTAAAAACGTTATCAATTTTTACTACAAATACTTTTTTTTATATTACTATAGCTCCATTAAATGTTTGAAAAACATTATCAGTTTTCATGTTTTTTTCATATATAATAGGTACACTATTGTTAACGTAAAAATAATTATATAATTTTTAAAAGATCACTGTAACTTATTCAATTTTCTTTGCCCTTCTCTCTCTCTTTGCGTATATATATATATAGGGTAAGCTGTTCATTATTTTCATGTAATAACATTCCTATCCCGAGAAATAGATGCCAAGTTGAAATGAGGATACGTAGACTCTACCTTTTTCTGTACAACAACCGAAATAACTCATGCACATGCTCCTCCCTCATGCTCGCACAAAATCTCAACTACTTAGCTCCACCATAGTAAATGAAAGAAGCTAAAAGTCGTAGTCTTATGGACTTGAGAGTGATTGATTTGTTCAAGCACACAAAGTAAGTCATCTCTAAGTAGCTTCAACAAAAGGATATACCATACGTTGAGTTAAACCAGAAGAGACAAGTAACAACATTAGTATCATCAATGGAGAGAGAGAGAGGGTGCTTAACATAACTAACCACTTTACGCGTTCACATTTAATAGCCGTGCCTAACTCCCATCCTCCTCCTTCAATAGGCGTCATTTTTGGTTGCCATATAAGTTCTCCATTTCTGCTGCACTCAATGCATCCAAAAGCAGAAAAGCATTAAGATGAACATTGGAGCTCTTGTTCCACTCTTTGCATTTTCCTTTCTTAGTTGTGTGCATGCACAAGACAGCACCACCCTTGTGCCTGCAATCATAACATTTGGTGATTCTGCTGTGGATGTAGGGAATAATGACTATCTTCCCACTATTTTCAAGGCTAATTACCCTCCCTATGGGAGAGACTTTGCTAACCACCAACCTACTGGGAGGTTTTGCAATGGAAAATTAGCTACTGATATCACTGGTAAAGCATCAAACTTGCTCCTACTTAGATTAAATGGTTATATAGAGCACATGTATTTTTCTTGTGAAGAAATAACAATCCCTCAGTCTCTTATTTTCTCGGCTGACCCTAGCGAGTTTATAGAGTAGATTATGTATCACTGCTCATATAATCATGCATTTAAGTTTCATTATTGTTGGAATGTTTCCTTTTGCAGCTGACACGTTGGGTTTTAAGACCTATGCTCCTGCATATCTTAGCCCACAGGCATCAGGGAAAAACCTCCTTATTGGAGCAAACTTTGCTTCAGCTGCATCTGGTTATGATGAAAATGCTGCTATTTTGAATGTAAGTTTTGGAATAAACAACTTCACATATGGTTTTACGCGAATTCTAATTTTAACAATTTATTTTACTCCTTTTGGCAGCATGCAATTCCATTGTCCCAACAGTTAAGTTACTTCAGGGAATACCAAGGCAAGCTGGCCAAGGTAGCTGGTAGTAAAAAAGCAGCCGCAATTATCAAGGATTCATTGTACGTGCTCAGTGCTGGCAGCAGCGACTTTGTGCAAAATTATTACGTGAATCCTTGGATCAACAAAGTATACACTCCTGACCAGTATTCTTCCTTCTTAGTTGGTGTATTCTCAGGTTTTGTGAAGGTATTCTGTTAAACTGATTTGGTTATTTTTGCTACTTTTTGAACATATATATGTATATTGTTGGACAACTAAAAAAGTCCTATGTCAAGCAAATAATGACAAATAAAATGTCTATTTAAGATAGAGGGGATGTGCTCAATTGGTTCCAATCTTTTGAACAATATAGCTTCAAAGTTTGATACAGATCTAGACCAGTCCACACTCAACTCAAGAATTAACCCAATGATGAAAAACTAATGGTTCCAGTGTTTTGTTTTGGACACAGGACTTGTATGGATTGGGAGCCAGGAAACTTGGAGTGACTTCACTCCCACCATTGGGTTGCCTACCTGCTGCAAGGACTTTATTTGGTTTCCATGAGAATGGTTGTGTCTCAAGAATAAACTCTGATGCCCAAGCATTTAACAAGAAGATCAGCTCAGCTGCAGCAAATCTTCAAAAGCAACTTCCTGGTCTCAAGATTGCAGTTTTTGATATTTACAAGCCTCTCTATGACCTTGTTCAATCCCCTTCAAAATTCGGTACACAATCCTTTGACTAAAATTCATTACTCAACATATTGTCATTCTTCTCTTGCAGTAAAAAGATGTTGTTCTTTCTAACCTATATCATGATGCTTTATAGGTTTTGTGGAGGCAAACAGAGGTTGCTGTGGTACCGGGACTGTAGAGACAACATCCTTGTTGTGTAATCCAAAATCACCAGGAACTTGTTCTAATGCCACCCAGTATGTGTTTTGGGATAGTGTCCATCCTTCACAAGCTGCTAACCAAGTTCTAGCTGATGCATTAATTTTAGAAGGCATAAGTCTTATCACATAAGAGTCGTGATTGTTTATGTCTGTGAGATACTATTGTGCACAACTACACAGCGTGAAAGTGATTAAAAAGTTTGCTGCTTTTCTTTAGTATGGAAAAAAAAAAATACTCTGCTCTTTGTATTTTCAGATCTTGAGAAATTTCAGATAAACATGTTTGTAAAACATTTTATAATAACAGATAAATGTTTATTATTTATAAATGCGTTCTTCTATTTTTAGTAGTTAAACTTGGACTAACATAATGAAATCCAATCATGGAGAATTTTAAGCAAGACACGTAATTGTTAAGTGGGAAAAAATAAAATAAAAGTTTAATTTCCACCCACACCAGATTGAATATTCCACAGACAACTTTTGAACAAGTCCATGTAGCACAGTGATGAAAAGGCAAAATAAGCCTAATTCCTGATTTAGCCTTCATTTTTTAAAGAAGTAGGAAGACTGTGTTGGAAATTAATTTAAAATTTAAATTATATTTATATATTTATTATTTAAAAAAGTTATAAAATCGAAGTAGAATTTCATCCTCTCCCATGTATGAAGAAAAACAGGCCAAGTTTAAATTTTATGATGCTCAAAGAATTACTATTCATGAATTCTTGCGATTGATTCTGAATGCCTCCCTCCTTATTTAGTACACGGTTATTTGAACAGATCCTAACGTCTAACATTGTACATCAGGATTGGCTAATCTGCAATATTCACTCTAAGGTAAAATATTTGCATATTGCTAATGAGTTAAAATGAACTATACGCTGCTGATCTTCTGTGTGATTTATGTTTTGGGATTCCACTGGAGTCTTTTAAAGCTTCAGCATATTTTACCAAATTAGTTTTCTCCATGCCAGAGGATTCTGAGAAAGAATCAAGGCGGTTTTTGAAATCTGCTGAATTTCTTCTCCTTGGACTGAAATTCCTGGTGCTTCCTGGGGTATGGCTATCTGAATTTCTCCCACTATCATCCTTCACACTCAGCGCCTGGTTATAATCAAAGGAAGTTCTAGATATGGCAGAGGGAGTTGCATAGTCACCCCTAAGACACTCATTTCCTGTTGACGTACTCGAGCTGAAATGTGAAGAATTGCTATCATCTCGAGACATCGATTTTTCTTTAGACATAACTCGACCACGTTGGTGCTGGCTATCTTTGCCTCGTATCAGCCTCATGAGCTTACCAAAAACCTTTGACTTGCTTGGATTGTTAACTTTGGCCTCAGATGAAGTTTCAGGAAGAGAATAATCTTCAGGCTCTCCAGAGTCCGTAAGAAAAGAAGCCTGGGAAGAGGACCATTGGTCAGAGTCCATGTCAGAAACGCTCCCTCTCCCTTCATTGGTTGCATATTCGAGTATAAGTTGCTTGGCTTTCTTCTCAGACGTTGGACTTAAGCTTTTACTCAAGTCCCTCGCAGCTGTTTTACCAGCTGGGGGCAGATAACTTCGTAGTTCATGTCTTAAGCAAGCATTTACCCACCGCATATAAACTAACTCTTCAAGATCTGAACATCTATCTGAATGTAGTTGTTCGAGTTCTTTCCTCAACCCTTCATTCTCTTGTCTAAGACGTTCACCTTCTTCCTTCAGAGCTTGTGCCTGCATCCAAAAGCATTAGTTTAATTAGTGTACAAGTTAAAAAAGCAGTGACTGAGGGTGTGTTTATTTCTATTTTTCAAAAACTTTTTTTGGTTCAGGTTGCAAAAAAAACAAGGTTGTTCAGACAACTAGTGGAGGGTGGTGTAAGGCTGAGAGCAAAGTGTGGAATTGAGGTTGAGATTGGGCAAGATTAGAAAACATCTCCCAGTTGTTTCTGTTTTTTTGTTTTTGAAAAACTTGTTTTGTAAACAATTTCAAAACTTGATAGATTTTGGACCAGATAACGATTGTAAGTAGTGTGGAATTGTTTGAGAAAACAGTTTTGAAAACAAATGAATGATAAGGGAATCAAACTGGCCCCGAGGTATTGGATTGCTTGTAAGTAATATTATTACCTCATGATCTTCTAGAACAGAATTTGCAAGGAGCTGAGTAGAGTCCAATCTTCGCGATAAGTCGGCATTGTCCATCTGCAGTCTCAAATTAGATTTCCTCAACTGTTCTGTCTCATACTCGAGATCCTTTAGCTTTTTCATCTTTATTTGAAACTCTTGATCATTAGCAGCAGCTTTGTATTCGTGTTCTTGAAACTTAGCAACTTTTTGTTTAAGATTCATGATATGCTCCCTATTCTGTTCAGCTTCATACTTAATTTTCTTCTTCAAAAACTTAACTTTCGTTTTTGCAGTCTCAAGCTCAGACATCACTTTTGCATGATCAGCCACTTGTGCCTCTAATCTCCGATTCTCAGACTGCAAGGTCTCAACCTTCAGATGGAACATCTTCGCCTCCATATTACTTATCTTCAATCTATTTTGCAGCTCCATCACTGCTGCTTCTTGCTCTTTAATGCCACAGTACTCAAGCAGTTGAACCTGAAGATTTGTTTCCCTCTCTTGAAGCATTCTGACCATACTCCTGAGTTTCCTAATCTCTTTCTCATGATCATCCTTGTCTACATTTGCATGAGACATAGGAGATCCTACTTTTGACCTAGGTGTTTCTACATCTTTCTTAAAAGAACTACCTGCATTGATGGCTCCACATTCTGCTTCCTTGTTAACATCATTTAGTTCAGGAAGGAGGAACTCATCTTTCTCTCCACTTTTTCTAGTCCTTGGAGAGAGACCCAATGGGGAATTTTTACCATTCACCTTGCTAATACATGTTTCTTCCTGGTATAGAAGAATCCTATGTTAGCTTAACTACACTAGCAATATTCTTTTCATCAATTCCCAATGTCTATATTATTTTTGTAAGTTGAAGATTACAAGCAGGTGATATGTCATCAGGGGATTAAAGCTACGACCTATTTGTTTGCAAAAAAGTATCTCGCACACATAATGAAAACAGAGAAGCATCAAGTTTTAGTTGGCTGTCAAAAAATTTTCTCAGCTCCCTGCACTAGTTTACTTTTGTTTTCCCACAAAGATTTCTACTCTGATATTGAGAAGTAAAAAGCATTGTGCAGAACTTTCTGAGCATACATGAATTCAATGGGGAAGCAACCAAGAAGAGGAAGAATCCTTGTTTCCTTTCTTTGGTAAATGAAAATAAAAACAAGATAATCAATTTATGGTTTTCATTTCTTTGAATCATGTTAATAAACTTCCAAATTCCAATCAACAACACTACAAGATAATAAACATGGTAATAGTATCTGCTATCTAACAATTCTAGATGGGAAAATGAAGGAACACTCAAAACCTATCAACAATTAAAATGAGAAAGCTGAAACAACAACCAGAAATATTGTCTTTTTCGTGCGACTTACAGTATCGAAAACATTTTCCTCTGAAACATTGTTGCGAGAACCAGAAGCAACCCTATTACCTCTTCCTAAATTATCTTCGCTTCCATGACCTGAAAACACGTTATACATATAAAACATCAATTACATTCATCAAACTAAAAAAAGGACAGAAAAGTTGTCAATACGTTGATAAACAAACCTGAAGGGTGCCCCTTGGGGGAAGTAGGGGAAGATTTGATTCTCTTGGTTCCGATATGAGAGTAGAGAAATCCAGCAAAGGTAAGAGCCAAAGCCAAACCACATTTCAGAAGAAAAAACTTCATACCACCCTTCTCTTCTTTCGGTATCACATTAAAAAACCTTCTAACTATTTTGAACACCATGACGAGAGAGATCACAGATTAGTTTCTCTTCATAATCATCCTCCATCTCATGTCACGCCCAACAAGATCCATTTCTGGTTTATGCCTACAAACACAACCACCATCGATAAGAAAAAAATAAATAAAAATCCAATTCAAGAGAAATTATTAGCTAATGTAGAACTATCATAGTCCAGAAATCGAATATTATTAATTCATGTTCGTAAATTAAAAATCTTAAATACCATAAATAAGGAATAATAACCATTAAAGTCACATGCACCACGTCAAATCAAAACACACAAGACCTACGACGTTAGATTCATTCTATAAAAGAGAATTAGTATAGGAAGCAAGACAATACTTAGAAAAAAGATGTTCATGATCCACGACTAGTAAAACTTGGTGAATCATAGGAAATATGAAAATAATCAAAACCCAATGAAACTTTACATTTATTTATACGATCATGATGGAACACCTCGTGACTAAAATAAAAGGGACTTGATGATGTTGTGTTCTGGTAACAGTTTGAATAGCGTATCTGCGTGTTCCTCTCGTGGACAAAGGAACAACGGTGTATGAACGCAACCTTAAAAGAAAAGAATGTGTCTTTAGCAACAAATACTGGCCATTGATTTTTGTCTTACGTAAAGGGTGAATGCAACATGCGAAGAGGGTCATGTGAGAAACAGAAACTGAACTTGAAATTGTGAACAAAATTTTAAAAGAAAAAGAGAGAAAAAGCAATAAAACAGAAGAAAATTGTGGTAAATGGGATCATATTTATGATCTAAGTTGTGTTAATTATGGGGATGAGTTATGCTGTGAAATCAAATATAGTAAATGGATTGCCATAATTAAGCATAGTGCACTTTCCATTCTAATGAAGTTTTCCTCCAAGGCTCTTTTTTTTTCAACCTTTGAATTTTGTGTTAAGAAAAATATACTTTTACAACCAATTTATTTTATAGAATTTATAATAATAATAATAATAATAATAATAACCTCTCTATGGATATTTTTATTAATGTAATTATTATAAGAAGTTGTCAAATAATTGTATATAATGTTAAAATAGTATTTTCCTTTTTGCATTTAGTGCATCATTTAAGTTTCAAAAGCACATTAAAAGATTTAACATTTTTATATAATTACGCTTCAAATCAAAATAAAATGTGAAGTAAAAACAAATCTACATTACCTAATTCTCGTTCTCAGTAACATTTTAAGCTTATTTTTCATAAAATTATATCATAAATTAATTAAAAAACTATAAGTATAACTTTTATAATAACTATTTATAAAAAATAAAATCTTACACATTACAATCTATATAATCAAATGATAACGTAAAATAGTTATATTATTAATATATTTAAACTAAATTGTTAATCATTTTATATTTTCATAATATTCTGTCGAATTTAACTTATTATGTAATTGTTTCGGTTAAATAAGGTTTAGGTACTTATCTTACTTGTATTAAAATTTATTTCTTAAGAATACATTTAATAAATATGTTAATTTGATCTTGATAATCATGTATTTTAATTTTAATATAAATGTATATGAAAATATCTACGAATATTTTATTGGGATGATTAAATATTAGTATCGTTAATTCAAAATAACTATGAGAATCAAGTTAATGTATTTCATTAAATGTTGATATTGGAGATATCAATTTTAAAATGAATAAATTTTAAGGTAAAAATACTTATTTAAGTAAATATTTTTATACTATACATCGATTAATTTAAAAATATTATTATGTATGAATTTTAAAGTAATTAACACACGGGTTAATATAAAGTTAGGGCTAATGGCAAGAATTAAAGAACAGCAAATGGGGCAACCCATGAATGAATGCATTAAATGCAAAATTAAATTTCCAATCTTTATTCAATTTGTGGAAAGACTTCCTCCACTTGTTTCACTTTCACGCCATTAATCTTCACCTCTCAACTACTTTTCATATCAAATTAAGATTTTTAATTTGGTCACTGTGTCTCTTGAAAGATTGGGGGAGATGAGAGAGAGCCATGAGTCCAATTGAGATCTTAATTAAATATTTTAAATGATTACAAATGTATATTCAATATTATTTTGGGTTACATATAATAATTTTTTGTTTTGTTTTGCCTAAGTATATAATTGAATTCCCAATCAGATTTTAACATGTGCGCCAAAAAGTTGATTATGATAACTTTTTGACATATAAGTTAAAAATTACCATGATTTATTTTTGTTTTCATTCTAACATGAAAATTAAATTTTAAATAATTAATAGAAATTATATTGCTACATTATTAGAAACGAGTAATAAGATAATGTAATTAATTTAAGAAATTAATAATAAGATTATGGAATTAACTTTAAGAAATTTTGTAACGCACTTGTTGCAAAGAAAGAAAACTAATACTAAGCATTGTTGCGGAGTTCATAGATTTTTGCACCTAAGTTAAAAAGTTTGAAGATTGTTTTAATTGGAAGGAAGTAATTGATGACATAGATTAACTGTAGTGATTAATCCAAACAAATCTTTGTATATTTTCACCCCCAAATTTCATATGCCAATTGAAGTATGTTTTTTTCTAGAAAAAACTTCAATTTTTATTTATGGAACGATTAATTAGATAATGGATAAGAGTATGTTGCTGCTTTCTAGATTGAATTGATAATTGATAACATTGAATCGATAATTGAGGGGCAATTGAATGCTGCAGCCTGCAGTAAGTTGAAAATTTTGAACTAAAACCCTGCGGTAGGGCTTATACAGATTTACACAAACCCTAGCCCTATTCCTAAATGCTTTCCTTCTCCATTTCTGGTTTCCCTCCATCCCCACTTCCCGGGGCATATCCAAGAGTAAGTGCAAGCTTTGGCATTGATACCCCACAGGACCCCAATGCAACCAACCCTCATGGCACGGATGTTAAATTTGATGAGGGATTTCGAAAGGGAAAGGTAAAAGGGAGAATGATGGGTGGTAGTGATGGTGGGATAGTTATTGGGAGGAAGAAGAAGTCGAAGGAGAAAGTTCAATGGGTTTGTAGCAATTGTGGGTACAGTGCAGGACAATGGTGGGGCGTCTGCCGATCATGCAATGTATCTGGAACTATGAAAGAGGCCAAATTCAGTGATGCTGATGGTGTGGTTAGTGGGTTTTCAGTTTTGGGGGACGGTGTGGGGTCTTGGCTACCGCAACAGGAAGGGGAGTTGCGTCCCTTGAGATTGGCAGAGGTAAACAGGGGACTTGATCATCAACATTGGAGAATTCCTTTGTAAGCTTCCCTCTCTCTCTCTCTCTCTCACACACACACACACACTCTACATGTCTGATAATTTATTGCTGTTGGTGGAAACATTCATGCTAGTAGTGCATCCTATATTCCTATTCGAGTCCAAAAATGATACATTGACACCTAGACAGAAACAGAGGGAAAAGAGAGACAAATGAATAATATAATGATAATGTGACAAAAATAGAAAGGTAGAGAGAAATGAGAGGTGCCAATAAAGTGATTGCTCTGAGGCAAGTGTTCATTCTTCATATAACATTACACTTTTGAGTCTGACACTGTTTAAGTGATGTTTGGCTCAACTCAACTCATGTTCTTTGCGTTTAAAACTTGAAGAGGAAAGGAAAGTCCTTTGCCATTCTGTATTACGGATTTAGGGTAGGTGAAGTTTTTCTCGCACCTTCGTTCTCTATCTTTGCTAGCCTCCAGAAGAAACTCCAATTTGCATGATTGGCCACTTCCAATTGTCAAGAACTAGCTCTCCCCTAAGCTTACTCGAGATGTGTGTCTGAAGGGCTTTATTGAATTCAACATTTTATTTAGAAAAAATGGGAGCTTATATCATTCCTTGAACTAACTCTAAAAGTTCAGGCTATTAGATGAAGACACGTAGAATGATAGAATGGTTTTATCAAACATCGCTAAAGCCAAACATCTTTTATCCATTTAAATTCGTGTAGGTTGTTCAAAAGATCCATTTTTTTGGGTTTGCCCGTTACAAGTTTTCTTTTATACGTGTGTATGCGTCTACGTGATTGTGATATAATTTTTGAAATAAAACTTAATTATTGATATTTTTTTTTCAAAAGAAAGTTATTTTTCATGAAAACAAACTATAACAAAAAGCTCTGTATCACTATACCGTTTCAATGAAAATCTGTCTGTTTCATAAGCAGTTTAAATAAAAGATTATCATCTGATAATGATCTTAAGGACTTGGTAGTTAGTAGTACATACAGTAGTGTGGTGTCCTTTTCAATGATTATACTGTGTAGCTTGCTTTAATTTCAGATCTGGTCCATTCGGAGATGAAATTTCCAGAGTGCTTGGTGGTGGTTTCGTACCAGGTTCATGCCAATTTCTTAACTATATTGATATGCCAGCAGCCATTCACATTGGGATTTCTTTTGCTTTTTCCTTCCTTTTGTTCTGCAGGTATAAAGAATTTTTTAGCTGAAAATTGTTAGATGCATCTGTAACAAGGGTGTCTAACACCATAATTTCTTGATTTGGATTTTTATTATTTTTTACCAGTTTTTAATTGTATATTGTTTGCTAAGGAGTGTATTGACATACCACTTTTATTTATTTCCATCAAATGTGGCTTTTCTATTCTGACTGTAGAGATCAATGACAGCTCTAATTAGTTTATGCTTAGTTTTACACAATTTTTTTGTACTGGGAGCCTTGTGCACTGGTTCAGCCCTTTTTTCACAAACATTTTGCTTGATCATATTTGAAATTATTTATTTGATGGGTGTGGACTTGTTCAAAGAGTTGCAACTTCTGGTGATTTTTCCAGGTGAATGGGTAGTGATTATTGGTATATTATTTATGGATTCTTGTTCAGGGTTTTTTCTTGGTCTTCTTATGATCTAATGGTAAAATAAGTTATCATATCTTTCTTAATTCAACTACACTAGAAGCCTCTCTACCAATTGCATTTAATGGCTAACTTCGTTTATTAATCTGGCTTTTGAAGGATCATTGACTTTAATTGGTGGTGATCCTGGTGTTGGGAAGAGTACTCTTTTGCTGCAGGTACGAATTATACTGGACACTAGGATGGTAAAACTGGTTTTTAAAATTTTAGATGGTTAACTTTTTTTTTTGGGGGGACTTGATCGACACTAACGTCTGTTTTAATTTGAACATTTGAATTGGAAGATTGCTGCAATTATTGCAGAAGGGCACAGTGATGGTGAAGCATCTCCAGTTGTATATGTCTCTGGTGAAGAGGTTTGCTTTTAGCAAGCATTTTACTAGTTTTAAAATTTGAAACTAATTGATATTCCAAATAGCTGAAGTGAAAAGCTCATAGGGCTTGTAAAGATCGTATTCATTTTATTTCGTGCATTTATATGATTGAAAAATAATAAATTTTGATGTTAATAGGCAGAAAATTACTGGTAAACCTCATTTTAATACTATCAGCCTTTTGTTTCCATCACGCATTAATATTCTATTACGCCAAAGATGGTGCAGTTTCACGACTTTTCTATTTAGTTAGTATTTATGTTAATTTTGCTATTTCATGTGACAGAGTGTAGAGCAAATTGGTAACAGAGCAGATCGTCTTAAGATTGAGTCTAATATTTATTTATATTCAAGTAATGATGTTGAGGTACCTAGTCTTTTCTTGTGCTTACATTTTTTTACACGAGTTTTGGTGATTTATAATGTTATTTATTACTATGAAAAAGTATGCTTGGCTTAAAATGTTATTCTTGATAAATTAATTGGCTGGAGCATTGTAAAGAAGTCTAGATAATTGTATATATATTCTTTTCCATTTTGTATGGTTTCAGGACATATTGAAGAAAGTTCAGTATCTCTCCCCTGGGGCCCTAATAGTTGATTCAATACAAACTGTGTATTTAAAAGGAATAATGGGAAGTCCTGGTGGGATTATGCAGGTTGGGAAACTATTGTAATTTACAAACTAGTTTGTGCCATGCCATCCTAGTTAAGAACTTATGATCGTAGCCTGATGAAATTATTATTCTTTACTATATAAGGCCAATAATCTTGGTGTAGTAACTTCCCGTTGCTAATTAGTTAATTTATTCTACTTTATCATGCTACTCCTTCATTTGTGTTTGAAGTTCATGAAGACCGATTAAATTTTCTTTAACAAAAGTGTAAAAATGCATCACCTATACCTTTTTACTGTGAAGTGAAATGCTTTGTACCATTATACATGACATTTAATAGATGTGAGACAGGTGAAAGAATGTACTTCAGCTTTACTGCGATTCGCGAAGAAGACAAACATCCCAGTTCTTTTGGTGAGCATACATGTCAATCAATTTTGTGAACAATACCTTCTAGATGAATTTAGTACTTGTACTTAAGTGGTGAATCATTTATCTATTTGTGTAATGTAATATTTCTCATGATATATACTTTATAGTAAGACAATCTTGCGTATTGTCTAATAATGATTGGCACTGTATGTATGCATTTTGTTTATGGATCGCATGTGGCATTTCCGTTATAGTTGACATTCATGACCACTGCTTTACTTCTTTTCTTTTTCGAATTTCTTTTACCTTTTTATTTTGTATTTCAGATTGGACATGTGACAAAATCTGGAGACATTGCAGGACCTCGTGTCTTGGAGCATATTGTTGATGTTGTTCTATACATGGAAGTTGGTATCTTGTTACAACTTTCTTTCTTTGAGCAGTCAGCAAAGCTTATTTGTGCTTATCATTATATTTTCCACTACTTGGCATGTAACTTGGGTTTCTTTTTCCTTTTATACATGTATGTTATTGCTCGAGACATCTTAAATCTGTAAAGCCTTCATGTGGCACATTACTTATATCTTTTGTGCATTATGGCGTTGCACTGCATAAATTAACGAGAGGGGGCACTGTCATAAAAAAATGCTGCTTGTGACATTTGTGGACCTCGTGTATTGCAAATTCTATTTACTATTAATATTGTTCAATACCAATTGACTTTCATAGAAAACCTTATGTTTGAATTGTGCTCTTGCAGCTTAGTGATAACATATGCAAGTATCAATGTTAGTTTTAGAGAGTAAGTACGAATTAAAAATTTAAAAGATACAATAAATAGTGAATTTAAAAGTATGATATGGAGTGAAAATAACAACATTACACTAGTGATCTATTCTTAGTGATCAAGACAAGTATTAAAGAAAATATTGCTGCCTATGATATTATAATTACATTATCTAATTTCTTTTGGTTGCATGACATTATTCTTCATACTCCCATTTCAAAATTAGTTTTGCTATGTTTTAAAACTAAAATCTGGAAGTTTTGTTTGTATTTGTGTAACACCTTGTATATGTTGTTTATGATACTTATAGTTGGCCTTTTTAAATCACTATATTTTCCTGTGCTAATTATTGTTTAACTATTCAGGGTGAGAAGTGCTCGTCCCATCGTATGCTTCGAGCTGTGAAAAATCGATTTGGATCCACTGATGAGGTGTGCTACTATCATTATATTATTGATCTAGTATGCTAACTGAATGGAATACATAATATTTTGAATAGTGTACTGGCAGGCATTAGTTTCTTCTTCTGGGGTCTGTATCTGTTTTCACGTTTGAGCTGTGCTTAATTTTCCACTTTTGGAACTGTCTGCCTATGCTTGTCAATGACTCATTTTGTGTAACTATTTAATGTTGTAATGAACAAAAAAAAAATCATGAAAAAATTATCCTAATCCAGTCTTGTTCATCTTCACTATGCTATAAGAAACTATTGTCATGATACATGGCTGAAAGACAATAAAATAGACACCCGGATTTGATTGTTAAATTTTTTTTAGTATTCTTATCCGTATATAAAAGTGATATTAGTTTTTTGGTCAAATGCACATCTGGCAGTAAGTTGGTGCTATTATAGAACTGAGGTTTGGTGACATGCAATGAATATCTTCCATGTAAAGGATTAAAAATTACATTCTAATGGATTCTACATGTGCTTTTCTCATCTCTCACTTTAAAGTTGCTTCCCTTGTGTATTAGTATGTCAAGGTGCTTAAAGTTATTTGGCTGGCGCTTATTTTTACTCTATAATTATTTGATCTGGAAAAAATATATATATTTGATCTGTTTTATCTTCGATTTATTTGGTCAGCTTGGAGTTTTTGAGATGTCACATTCAGGACTTCAGGCTGTTTCAAATGCCAGTGAAATGTTTCTCAGTGAGCAACACCTGGATTCTGAAATTTTAGCTGGACTAGCTGTTGCTGTAATCATGGATGGGTCCCGGACATTCCTTATTGAAATTCAGGTGTTTGTTTTTGTGCTTTCATTATATTAAATATTTTAAATTGTCAGGCACAATATGAACTTCCAACCATATTTGGAAGTTCTGGTTTTAGAAACATCATCACCGTCATCCTTGTCATCAATTTTCTTATCTTACAAATTGCAAGCCTTTGTAAGAAATGACGATGCTTACAGAACACTCTTCAATATGTGCCAGCATGCATTATTTGCATTCTCGGAATTTTAGTTCAAATATAATACATGGTGTTCGGGTGAAATTATCATTCTATATTTTCCATTTCAGTACTGTGAGTTGGAACTTATATTGCGTTGAAACCCTACGTGCTAATCAGAACGTGATTTTGTTGCTATGCTGGAAATCTCCAATTATATATACTTCTCAATTGCGCCATTGTCCTATAGTCATTTTATTTCTCTATTATTTCTTTGGTAGTCAACTGAAGCTATGAATAATAATGAATGTTCTCCTTGCTTGAGAGAAATCTTAGTTATGAATGTTTACAATGTCTAATTTGTACAAAATCCAGATGAGTTCTTACTGAAATCTTCTGATCTACTTGCCATGGCTTTTAGTTTGTGGTGTTTCATTCTTTTCTTCATGTCAATAAGAAAGCTACCAGGAACACTGATATAATATCAGCACCCTTTGACCCTTTTTATGCTCTGATATCTTTCAAAAGAACTATTTGGTTTATTTTAGTTGTATTTTGCAGGCACTTTGTCTTTCTAGTTCAACAGGTTCAAGGCAAGTTAATGGTATCCAACTAAATAGAGCTGATATGATCATATCAGTGAGTAAATAATCCCTCCTGTTTTGTTTGTATTTATTCCTGCTTTTATATTATATGTTTATTTTTAATATTACCTCTATTCGTAATGGAAAGTGATAAAAAAGATCTTGTTGGGTTTTGTTTTTCTCATCGAAATGTAGCCTGCTGCATTAAAACGAAAGGCGAAAAACTGTTCTTGAACATCTACCATTCCCTTAAACTGCAGGTTCTTATAAAGCAAGCAGGTCTTCGTCTCCGAGAACATGTGAGCTGATTTATGAACATGATATCATGTCATTATTTTAAGTTTCACAGATTAAATCTTAATTGATAAACAAATGAAAAATAGGGGAATAAATATAACAACACTAATACCAAATATGGCAATGGCAATGGCAATGCAAACTAGTATGTATCTTTTCTATTAACTCTTAGTTTATATTATTGGGTTGCAAGAATACCATAATTTCATTCAAGATAGTTTGTACTTTTCTGTGGGGAGAAAGCCGTACTAGTGTTCTCTGCATCTTTCCTTTTCAGTTAGAATTTCAGTGAATTAGATTGACAAACACGAAATATCCACATCTGGCTCCTTTATCTGTTTTTTGCAAGGTCATCTGGTGTTTTCCACTAAAACTTTGTGCAAGTCAACTTACCATTTAAAACAGTCGTTTATCACATCACTTAACCATGTAACCAGCTACGAAGTCCATTGCTGTTTGATGCTTATAATATAATCTTCAGATATATTTTCATTTTGATATTTGTATTGATTGTATTCTGTTTCCTTGTCTTGGCTTTATACAACAGGCTGTGTTTTTGAATGTTGTTAGTGGATTGACACTGACTGAGACTGCTGGAGATCTTGCTATAGCAGCAGCCATTTGCAGCAGGTTTGTGTTTCAATTATTTTTAAATGGTGTAAAATTTTTTAATTAGTCAATGATCATTTGTCATTAGAGGATTAGGGAGGGTATTATTGACCATTCTTATTTGGAGAAGTGAATTTTGCAGCCAAGTTGAACATATTGTTGCACTCCTGCTTCTTTTTCTACCGTACGGTTTATGTTCCAATATATTGTTATAGATTTTAATCTGGATTAGTTTATTTATCATATCTGTCGTCTTTTCTCTTTTTCCAGTTGCTTGGAAATCCCTATTCCAAATGACATTGCATTCATTGGTGAAATTGGCCTTGGTGGAGAGCTTCGCATGGTGAGCACGTTGTTTGTGATGCTAATGTTGTGCTGAATAGCGAATACAATGTTGAACTAATGAAAATTTAGCTTTTAGTAGCATAAAGCTTTCCTGAATACATTCTTCAATTCAATGATAAAAAAAGTTATCATACCTGAATATTAAAGCTTTACTTTATGAGATTAGTCATTTGGCTGTTAGATCTGGTGTCATCTTAATAATGATAATCCAGTAAAGATATTGCTTGTATTGTATCCATTAAGTCTTAATTTAAAACTGTTCTTTATTATTCTATTTTATTTGCATTCTTATTTATGTGATTACGCAGGTTCATAGAATGGATAAAAGGGTATATACCGTTGCGAAATTGGGTTTCAGAATGTGCATAGTACCCAAGGTGGCTGAAAAAGCTTTAGGAACTGAAGGTTTAGAAAAGATGAAAGTTGTTGGTTGCAGGAATCTGAAAGAGGTTATTAACACTGTATTTCCCAATATAATGAAAAGGAGATAGTGATTGGTCAGACATGTAAATATGAATCTTTTAATATACGTGATGTAAAGTATGACTCATTATTACATGTAAATATATAGCTTTCGTACCATAAGATATGCACCAGTTATTCCAAGTATCTTTTTGTATTACTTTTATTCATTAATCATTCAGATCTTCAACTTGGTAAGACCTAAGTTTTTCTACTGTTATCCGGGCTTCATTCAAGGGATAAAGTGGTGTTATTATTGATGAACTTACTTTCTTAAAAGGTTAGGTTAATCAATAATCTGGTAATGAAGTTGAGCCAGGCATTGGGAACAAATGAACTTGAGGTGAAGGGTCTTCTCTTTAATACTTACAAAACATCCAACAACATATATTGACAAACACTACACGTTATCACTCGATGTAAACAAGTGCGGTTAAAAAAAAAAACTGTTGGCCTGGTTTAATGATGTGACAATGGTTTGTCGTTTGATGTGTGGTGTTCCATTTGTGCAGTAGTGGTAATTTCTTTAGGATTCAAGAAGCTTGGTTGATTGGTTGAAGACAGTAACCTTGCCCACATGCGGTCAGTTATGACAACCTTCTTCTCATTCTCATTTATCCGCTGCACATTACATAATGTGTTCAATTCACAATCTACTAAAAACTTCACAACATTAGCAAGTTTTCAATGGATGATAATCGATAATATTAAAGAATCAAGACTGCAGAAATCATGCATGAAGTAACTATGAGTGACTACACATGTAAGATGAAATAATTACTTAGTGTTATTAATTGTTAATAACTGTGGTGTCTCTTCAATTTTCAGTATCGATTGGGTACAGGGTAAAAGAAAGGAGTGAAAATTTCATGGACCAGTTTTCCTTATAATTTTTCAAATAAAATCGAACCATATTTTTAAAATTCTTCTTCTTCCATTTACACCAATTTGATGTTTATGCATTATTATCTCGTGTTCTTGGAAATTTAATAGACTAAAAGTAACAATGACTTACATAAAATGGAATATAAGCATGCTTGCCATTGACGGTACCAACTGCGAAGCCTGTGTATCCAGCCATTGCACCATGAACCGCACTTTGAGCGAGGAGAGTGCACGATACATTATCAGATGCAATACTTGGAACAGCACGAATCATGTACGTGGGATCTGCCAGACAGTAAAATTTTCAATTGATTAGAATATTTAGTTTATAGAAAACACACTATCATTTTTGCACCAGTAAAAAAGAGAGATCTCACCAATGTATTTCAGAGTTATAGCCATTTTTTGACTTTCTGCGAAGTGGTCCTACAACAGAAATGAATAAATAAATTTGTACGAGCAAGAAAAATCTAAATCATGAGAATCTTGTGATTAGTATAACAGTTCAAATGCTTGAATGTAGTTTGAGAGAAAATTCTTAGCTATAATTTTCTGATAGACCTTTGTTATTTTTTGTTACGGATTTATTTATCTTTTCTTTTTTGTTATTCGACGTTATTTATATATATATATATATATATATATATATATATATATATATATATATATATATATATATATATATATACCTTCTATTAGTCCATAATGATATAATAAAAATATAAAAGCATCATTTTCATTTTCTCTTTTCTTTCTCCTCAATTGTGATATTTGATATGGTATCAAAGTCTTTTTCTTGAAGGGCTCTATTGCGCTCCACTCCTTTTTTTCTTATTCTTTATTATCATGATTGACAATCAAGTATTTGGCATGCACAGTTATATTTATCTCTATCCAAGTGAAAATCCAACAATAGGTATCTCCTCTTCTTGATTCCTCCAATTATCATTCATGGAATAGATCTATGCTAACTGCTCTTAGTACAAAAAATAAGGTAGAATTTGTTGATGGCATTGTAACGCAACCACCACATTTCGATCCAATGATCAGTGCTTGGCACAGATGCAACAATATGGTCGTGTCCTGGATCATGCATTCCGTTTCATTCTGATACGTCACAATATCCTTTGAATGGACAACATTGAAGACATATGGAAAGATCTGAAATCACGATACGCACACGGAAATCTCTTACGGGTATCAGATCTGCAATACGAGGCATATTCAATGAGGCAGGGAGATCTTTTAGTCACATATTTCTTCACTAAACTCAAAACTGTTTGGGATGAACTAGAGAATTTCATACTAGATCCAGTGTGTACTTGTGTAACTAAATGTTCATGCAAGGTATCATCTCTTATTGCTCAAATAAAATTTGAAGATAGAGCAATGCAATTTTTACGAGGATTAAATGATCAATATAGCAACATTCACTCTCATGTACTACTTATGGATCCTTTACCTTCAATTTCTAAAATCTTTTCATATGTCGCTCAACAAGAACGACAACTCACCAGTCCTATTACATGTTCTTTGTCTGAAACAATGATTAATGCTGCTACTACTGTTTCATGTACTCATTGTGGCCGCTCTAGCCATACGAAGAATGTTTGTTATCGCAAACATGGGTTTCCTGATGCGAAGAACAATAAATACAATAATTCTTGTGGTGGTAAATTGTGTACCCATTGCGGAAGATTAGGACACACTATCGACGTTTGCTATCGAAAGCATGGTTTCCCTCCTGGACATAAATTTCATGGTTTTAAACATGTGATTAACAATGATGTGACTGAGAATGTTGAAGTCACAGGGAATGATCAGTGTAAGGCTCCTGAGACTCAAGATTTTCATTTCTCTCCACAGCAGTATCAAACACTATTGGCTTTAATCCAACAACGAAACTTCAACAATATCTTCGTCTTATGTCAAATTAAATAGGGTCTATTTCCTCTTTTTCAGGTAAACCTTCATTTAAATCCAAAGTTACTTAGATCTTAGATTCAGGAGCTATGATCATGTTTCATCTTCATTAGCTAATTTCTCTTCTTTCAAAGCCATTAAACCTGTCATTGTTAACCTTCCCACTAGTCAGCAGGTTTTTGCTACACACTCAAGAAACATTCATTTTAATGCTTCATTCTATCTCACTGATTTTTTGTATATACCCACTTTCACATTCAACCTTATTTCCATATCTAAACTTGTGTCCTCTCTTCATTGTGATTTAATTTTTTTCTCGTAATTCTTGCATTATACAGGACACGAACAACAAACAAAGGATTGATACAGTTGATGTAAATGCTGGATTATACACTTTTATTTCTACTAAGGTTGATAAGTTTGTTCATACTACCATAGTTCAATCCTAATGTAATAAAATACCCATAGATTTGTGGCATTTCCATCTTGGTCACCCTTCCCATGCCCGTCTACAAAATATGAAACAAACATACTCTTGGTTGAGCAGTGATTCAAATTTTGCTCGCAATACATGTCATTATGCTAAATAAAGAAAATTATCTTTTCCTTTTAGTCATTCACATGCTACTTCATCATTTGAACTACTTTATATGGACATTTAGGGTCCATGCTCTACCACTTTCATGCTTGGTCACAAATATTTTTTAACAGTAGTTGATGATCACACACGTTTTGTTTGGATTTTTCTCATGCATTCCAAAATTGAAACAAATTCTCATATTATTCATTTTATTACTCAAATGGAAAAACAATTTAACAATACTGTTAAAATGATTCGTACTAATAATGGTGCTGAACTTTCTATGCATGAGTATTTCTCTTCAAAAGGAATCATACATCAAACTATATGCATTGAAACCCCTTAATAAAATGACATTGTTGAACGCAAACATCAACATCTCTTAAATGTTTCATGAGTATTACTTTTTCAATCCAATCTTCCTTTAACTTTTTGGTGTTTTGCTCTTCAACATGCAACATACCTTATTAATTGCATCTCTACTCCTTTTTTTACATAATATGTCACCATTTGAAAAACTTTACAAACATACTTGTGATATTTCTAACCTACATTTTTTTGGATGCTTATGTTATATAAGTACACTCACTGTCCAACGCAAGAAGCTTGACCACCGTACTCATCCCTCCATTTTTTTAGGCTTCAAATCTCACATCAAAGGATATTTGCTTTATAATTTGTATTCTCATGATATCATTGTATCTCGGATTGTTGTTTTTTATGAGGATCACTTTCCTCACATATATCCTTCTTCTGTTCAAAACTCTTATTTTTTTTCCTTCCTTCATTCCTCTTCTTTTACGATTCATGACTACATATCACTTTCCTCTCCTTTTGTAGAACACATTTCTCCACCTATTTCTTCTCTGAGTTTGACTGTTTCCCCTCCCCATGATTTACGTCATTTTACCCGTATTCGTCAACCTCCAAAATATCTAAAAGATTTTTACAGTATTTTTACATCAATTGTTATCACTGCTGCTACTGTTCATTATCCCTTGGAACGTTTTCTATCTTATCATCGTCTATCACCTTCTTATCACCTTCTTTTCATCATTGTGTCTTGTCTATTTCCACTATATCTGAACCAAAGACATATGCTGAAGCCGCAAAACTTGATTGTTGACTATGCATGCTGAGCTCGCTGCTTTACAAACGAATAATACTTGGGTTCTCACTGATTTACCTCCACATAAAACTGCAATCGGGTGTCAATGGATTTTTAAGATCAAACACAATGTTGATGGATCTATTGAATGATATAAAGCACGTTTAGTTACTAAGGGATATACACAAATGGAAGGTCTTGATTATTTTGATACACTTTCTCTCCTATTGCCAAGTTAACAACTATTCGGTTACTCTTTGCTCTTGCTACTAACAATAATTGGCATCTCAAACAATTAGATGTCAATAACGCCTTTTTACATGGTGATCTTCGTGAAGAGGTATACATGCACCCCCTCCTGGTTTACCTCTATTACATACTAGACAAGTTTGTAAACTTCAACATTCTCTCTATGGTCTTAAACAAGTCAGTCGTCAGTGGTATGCATGTTTTTCTTCATTTTTTACTAGTCATAGATATCATCATTTTGCTTCCGATCACTCTTTATTTCTCAAGTTTTCTTGTTCTCACATTATTTCTCTCCTCATTTGTGTTGATGACATTGTCCTTGTTGGAGATGATCTTGATGAAATTTAATGCATTACTTCTTCTCTCGACTCCACCTTCAAAATCACGGATCTTCGCAATCTACGTTTTTTTCTTGCCATTGAAGTTGTTCATACTGTAGCTGGTATCCATATTTGTCAGCGCAAATACACTCTTGAATTATTATCTAATTATGACATATTTGGCTCTCGTCCAGTTTCCACTCCTATGTCTTACAACACTCGTCTTCATTCTACTTCAAGTGAACTTCTTCAAAATGCTTCCATATACTATTGTCTGATTAGTATACTTATCTACTTAACTCACACACGTCCCGACATCACTTATGTCGTGCAACATTTGAGCCAGTTTATGTCATCTCCTACTCAGGATCATTATCAAGCTACTTTCTGTATTCTTTGCTATTTGAAAAAGACACCTGGTACAGGTATATATCTTTCTGCCAACACTCCTCTTCAACTCAAGGCCTTCAATGATTCAGATTGGCAGGTTGTGTTGACACTCGTCATTCTATCACTGGTTTTTGTATTTAACTTGGTTCTTCATGAATATCATGGCGTTCTAAGAAACAACCTACAGTTCTAGGAGTTCTTTTGAAGTTGAGTACCGTGCATTTGCTTCTACCACTTGCGAGCTTCAATGACTCACATTCTTACTTGCTGATTTTCGTGTTCCTTCTCTTAGTCCAACATTGTTATATTGTGATAACCACTCTGCATTGCAAATTGCTTCTAACCAAATTTTTCATGAACGGACTAAGCATACTGACATTGATTGCCACATTGTATGCGAAAAGGTTACTATTGGATTGATTAAACATTTTGTCCAATACTGACATTGATTGTCACATTGTATGCGAAAAGGTTACTATTGGATTGATTAAACATTTTGTCCATCTTTTCTTCGCTCCAACTTGCAGATATGTTCACTAAAGCACTATCTCCAGCTCTGTTTCAAGATATTTGTTTCAAGTTGGGATTGCTTAATATTCATTCCCAGCTTGAGGGGGGCTCTTAGCTATAACTTTCTGTTAGACCTTTGTTATTTTTCTATTACAGATTTGTTTACCTTTTTTTTTCTGTTACATATTTGTTTTCTTTTTCTTTTCTATTACTCGACATTGCATATATATTTACCTCCTATTATTTCATAATGATATAAGAAAAATATTGAAGCCTATATTGATCATTTTCGTTTTCTCTTTCCTCTCTCCCCCATTGTGATATTTGATAAAAATTCATAGCAGCCAAAGTCAGATTGCTAAAGAAGCTTGTGAAATGAAGATACCTTGCATATCAATTGAAAACAAGTGTACATATCTATGTAGCTAATAAAAACAATGAATTATAAATTTGATCTAGTTATAAGTGTTTTTTTCGTCAGATTCTTGAAAGTAACATACTTCAAAAGTGTTGCCATAATGCAAAGAAAAAAGCTCGTTAATAAGAAATACACACAGTTAAGATGTTCTACCTTAATCTTCTGGGATAACCACAAACCAACATCTTGAAGTAACTTGTTGCCCAAAACATCCTGCATATTTTCTTGACCTGCACCTTCGGCTATTACTATAACCATGTGCCCATTTTCTGTGAGTCTTTTCCTAATGAACTCAAAGAGTCCACCTGGACCCTTAAGGTAAAAGGGTGACTCTGGAATTAAGCAACAATCTACATCTCGGCTGGCAAGAGTTGCATACATGGCTATGAATCCTGTATGATTAGGTCATGTCAAATAACCAAAGATCTAATGGAAAAAAGTACTGATATTCAATTTGCAAAGATGGGAAAGACTAGAAACACTTGAAATGTAGGCACAATCTAGAAAGATGACTAATGGATGGCTCTGAAACAACTAAAATCAGATCTTTCAGTCACCAAAGATGTCACTTGGCATGAGAATGGCCAAAAATTGACAATTAAGTTGCTAAAAAAAAGTGAGGAAGAGCTATGAAATAGTTTTCTGTCAAGATAATCAAGCATTACAGCATCTTACCAGTCATCTTTCAGATCTTCTAATCTATATAACTAGCATGAGGCTATGCTTGCAAATTACTACTTACCACTCTGACGACCCATTAGCTTGACAACACCAATACCATTCTCTGTGCTTTCTGCTTCCACGTGAGCAGCATTTATGGCCCGTTGTGCCTCTTCAACAGCAGTGTCAAAACCAAATGACTTATCAATAACCTGATTCAGGTACATCATGGTTAATCAGGTGACTATTTAACAGCAAGTTGTTTGTCTTCTCAAAAATAGCTTCGACTATAAGCTTCAAGTGTCCAATTCAAGCATGCTTACTGGGATATCATTATCAACAGATTCCGGAATTCCCACCACTGAAACTTTCAAGCCACGTCTTCTAATTTCCTGTGTGTAAGTAAATAACTAACCAGTAACCTTCCAAATTATAATCTCTGCACACTAACATTTGAACAATTACCTCAAAAATCACAGAAGCCCCTCTCTGGGTTCCATCTCCTCCAAGTATGTAAACCTGATTAATTCCCCGATCCTGAATGTTATCAACAATCTTTGAAGTATCATTACTTCCTTCTCCCTGTGAGGTACCGAGGATGGTTCCACCACGTTTGTGGATGTCATTCACATCCTTTGGTGTCAATGGAATTGTATTTCGAGAATAAAAACCTCTATACCCTCCCTGCATTGAAGAAAGGAAAAGAGAACACTATATTTTACACATATTTGAATGAAAATGCCCGTGAAAAATTGAATACAGATGAATTTGCTCTGTCACAGAACAGTTACAAATAAAAAAAGCACATTAAGTGACAAGTACCTCTATTCCCAGTACTTTATGCACCCCATACATATGGTGTAACCCGCAAACTACTTCCCTGATCAATGTATTTACACCGGGACAAAGACCTCCACATGTGACAATACAAGCGTACACATCCTCGGACTCAAAATATACCTGGTAAACATATAAACATCGTTGTGTCTGTCACCTCACAAATCACGTACATTACAGCATTGGCAGTAGCCAAGGGTCCAGTTTAAACAAACAAACCAACCAACCTTTTGACGAGGCCCGGCTCGGCGAAAATGAGTCCCTCTTGAGCTATCCTTATGTACAACTATCTAGACCAAGAGAAAAAGAGAAATTTGAATCAACAATTCAGGAACACTGTAATGGAAGAGAGAACAACAACAACAACAGCTTGCCTTTTGCGCAACAGTATCTTCCACATCAACAGAATGTTGCCTGGTGATGCATGAACCAATCAAAATTTTCATCAGATTGACAGTGCAAAGTCACAACATAGCAAAACCAACACCAGGAAGAATCAATTCAAACTTCAAGTTTAATACATAGCAAGCAACGTACTTAACAACTGAATAGGAAGGATTGTCTTGCAACGGATTAGGATATGTCTGCATGATGAATAACAACAACAACAACAACAACAGAAAATAAAGAATCAGAAAATGCTTGTAATCAATGGAAGACAGACATGCATATACAAACTCATGCAAGAAGCAACACATGCAGAGTCTTTTTCTTTGTCCTCAGTGTTTCTTTAGCAAAAAAGAGAAACATTTGGAGAATAAGAGGTTACAGTGAGGTCGGGGATGTAGTCAGATAGATGAGGGACATCTTCAAGGACATAGCCGGCATGTCCAGTGATGATCTTGTGTTCAGAATTGGACATGGTGATGACGGTGGAAATGGAATCACAATTTGAGTTTTTGGGGAAGCAAAGGGAAGGGAAAGTAGAATTGTTCGGTGTTGGTGCTGGCCGAATTAATCAAATTAACAATTCCTTTAAATAGTGTACTAGTCGAACACAGAACAGAAGTTGACATGTATGCTATGAAAAACACAGCCGAAAAAAATGGGGTCCACGTGTTTTGGAACTAGCAAAAGTTAGGTGACTTGTTTTACCTAGGTTGGTGAAAGAAAGCATTATCACACGCACACATACATAGGTGTCTCATTATCATCCTGCTTGCACTTCCTTGGCACTTAGAATACAGTCAAATCTTCATCTCTTGAATGCATATTTCCTTAAGATCAAAATACATATTAAAAATAAGTTATTAATATTGTATATAGATGGATATTTCTTTTGAAGAGTATATGATTAAGGATATTTAAACAATTCTAAATGCTATGATACATTATCCATCTCCTTAAGCATCTATTTGTTTTTTATTTCTTATTTCTTATTATAATGGATTTTATATGTGTTTAGATGTAATATGGTTATGAGATGGTTCTAAAAGTAAGTTATACAAGTTTTTTTTTTAATTATTGGATTAAAACAACTTATTGTTTAATCTACGGAATAATTTTTTTATATATATAATTTATCCTTAAATCTTGATCAAGTTGAATAGTAAATTTTTTTTTTTTAAGAGTGTGTTAAATTGGTAATACACTGCTATGCATGGCTTGGCAATGGATATAAATTTGGATTCTCGATGAATATTTTTGGAACTTATGCATTTCAAAGAGATCATTATTCGAAAAAATTAGTAAGTGCTAAAACAATTATGGGTTCAAAGGGAAACATTATGCTCGGGCCTTGTGAGGCCCAACTTTACTGGGTAGAAAGCCTAAGTCACTCAGCCCAGTACTTCTTGGTATTGATACTTATTTTAATTTTGATTAAAATAAAAAAAAAAATTGACTATTTCCAAATTAAAGTGATTCTCTTTGGGCGTTTTCCTGCTTCATAGGGCCTGCTTGTTGGCAGTGTGAGAAGAAAAGAAAGCACCTCCATTTTGATTTAGGGATTCATTCTGTTCCTCCTCACTCCACGCCATGTACAGAGCAGCAGCTTCTTCATTCAGACGGCATCTCAAGGTCACTACTAACACCATCATCCCCTTTTTTTTTTTTTTTCCATCCCAACTCATTTAATATTATTGTTTCGGACCCAATCCCTCCACAGCGATGTTTTAGATCTTACCCTGATAACAAAATTTGATTTTTGATCGGCAAGAAATCTGCATTTCTTTATTGTCTAGGAAATTAGTTTGGTGGGTAGGATTGCTTCTCATACAACCGGGTGTGCTAATTCCTAGGTTGTTGTTCATGTTATAATTGGCTATTTTTTTAATCTCATAAAAAAATTTGGGTGGCATTGCTGTAATGGAATAATTTTGTTTTTTTTTTTGGTAAATGCTGCTGCTGTTTTGTGATTTTGTGTAATGAACCATGTAATTAGGGCCATGGAGGCAATTTGGGGTCCACTAGGTCTTCGACTTCAGCCGCTGTAGCTGCAAGGACTGCCCAAGGTGGTTTGTTTAGCTGGCTTACTGGGGAGCGTTCTAGTTCTCTTCCTTCTCTGGATATACCCCTTGGTGGTGTTGCTCTCCCAGATCCACTTCCTGATTCTGTTGAACAAAGCAAGACCAAAATCACAACACTTTCCAATGGACTCAAAATAGCATCAGAGACCTCGCCTGTATGTGCATCTTTCTATTTTTCTTGTGTATTGATATGATTACTGACAATGCTACTGTAAATTTGACCGTGTGCATGTGTCTAGATTTTTTGGTATCTTTGTATGTTCAATGACAATGTTACTGTATGTACGTGTTTCTAGTTATTTGACCTGATCATATGTTCGATGACAATGTTACTTTAAGAATTTACTGTATGACCATGCTTCAAGTTATTTGGCGTCTTTGCACGGACAATTACAATATCACTTGACAACTGTATGTGTATGTTTCTAGTGTTTTGGCATCTTGATCAATAACAATGTTATATGATAATAAGATTGTATGTGCTTGTTTCTAATTTGTTGGCATCGTGATTTTTCAATGACAATGTTTCTGTTAGATATATTGTTGCTTGAGGTATTTGCCATGCATATTGATTTTTGTTGTTCATTTTACTTGTTAATTAGAACCCTGCAGCTTCAATTGGGTTGTATCTTGATTGTGGTTCCATCTATGAGAAGCCATTCTCAAGTGGAGCTTCACACTTGCTAGAGCGAATGGCTTTCAAAAGCACAACAAACCGTAGTCACTTTCGTATTGTAAGGGAGGTAGAAGCAATTGGTGGTAATATAGGAGCCTCAGCCTCACGGGAGCAAATGGGATATACATTTGATGCCTTGAAAACCTATGTTCCACAAATGGTGGAACTACTGGTTGACTCTGTAAGAAACCCAGCCTTCTTGGATTGGGAGGTCAATGAAGAGGTACTTATCTAGTTTTTGTAATTATCGGGCCTTGCAATTGGATCCTAACTGACTAAGGAATCTAAATAAAATCTTGCCATTCTATTTTGAAAATATAGTTTTCTTTTCTTTATTGATAGCTGATATGTCATTCCTTCTAAACCTGTTGAGCTCTCCACTGAAACAGCTTCGGAAGGTGAAAGCAGAGCTTCGAGAACTCTCCAACAATCCCCAGGGCTTGCTCTTGGAAGCAATTCACTCTGCTGGTTATTCTGGTGCATTGGCTTATCCTCTCTTAGCTCCTGAAGCTGCATTGAACAGATTGGATGGCCCCACTTTGGAGGAATTTGTTACTGTAAGATCTGTTATCCTTTCTGATACTATGAATTCTGCCAGTATTAATTTATGCAACATTTGTAACTTATTTCTGTTTTTCCCCTTAGCATTCTATTTGAGAATCTAATTGTTGCCTTATGTCAAAAATCAGGAGAATTACACAGCATCTAGAATGGTACTTGCAGCAGCGGGGGTTGAGCATGAAGAGCTTGTATCTATTGCTGAGCCACTTCTCTCTGATCTACCAAATGTCCCCCGTCCTGAAGAACCTAAATCTGTCTACATTGGGGGTGATTTTCGTCGTCATGGTGAATTAGGGGTGCGTATATGCTATTTACATTTTCTTGTATCTCATTCTTTTCATATATCCTCTTCAAACACATTGTTATTTACTTGCTAAGATATGTTTCAAGGGCAGGGTACACATGTTGCTCTTGCTTTTGAAGTGCCTGGTGGCTGGCATAAAGAGAAAGATGCTATAGTTTTGACTGTTTTACAGGTATTCATTGTGTCTGAATCTGATAGAAATCCTGTTCTCTTTTTTTTTTTTCATCTTTATTTTTGTTGCACAAAAAAGGAAGAACAAAATAATTGAAGGAAACTAATAATACTTTGTGTGCAGATGCTTATGGGAGGAGGTGGGTCATTCTCAGCAGGGGGCCCTGGAAAAGGGATGCACTCAAGGCTATGTAAGTTTTACCCATATCTTGTCCACTGTTTAGTTTAGTCATCTTGTGGTTTAACCTTGCCATTATATTTAATTTATTTCTCCATTTGAGGAGTAAAGCTTTTCTTTCTAATGTAAACTTCACTTTTGTCATTTTATTTCTTACATTCTGATTTCTAATATTTTAACTTGTTTTGCATTTACAACTAAACTCAGATCTTCGCGTGCTGAATGAATATCAACAGATTCAATCATTTTCTGCATTCAACAGCATCTTCAATAATACAGGATTGTTTGGCATCTATGCAAGCACTGTAAGCCAAAAATATAATTGTTTCTGGGCATTCCTTTGCACAAAATATGTTTTTAAATATTGATATGAAATTTCTTTTTTTTTCTCCTCCCCTTTTCTGATATATTATGCAATAATGCTTTTAAGAGCTAGACTAAACATGTGCTTATTAGTTGAAGACAAAGTTACCTTGATGAACATTGAGCAGAGTGTATGTGTAGTTTGAGGATTCTAGATACCCTGCCAATGACCTTCAATTGTTACTCATAAATTATAATGGTCATAAATAATTAAACCCAAACTAGTTGTCCTATCTTCTACTTTTTTTGTCATTTCCCTTGTGTAAGCTTTGATGAATTTATGATATTATCATGGGATTGGGTAGTATTGATTTTCTTAACCTCTGTACTGGATTTTCTTACTCCTTTTAATTCTTAGTTTTTGGCGAAGATGATGATAAAAACAGAGAAGGAAAAGAGAATATTACTTTTGTGGTGTTAATTCTTACGTTTACAGTTGTTTCCTTTTCTCTAAAATAATTTTCAGAAAAAAAATCACTTTTAGGGCATGTTTGGGAGATCATTTTTTTAGATGGAATAATTGCTCGTTTTCAAAATCTTTGAGGAAACTGTAAAGTTTAAGCAATTATTTCTTCAAAATAAGCTAAATCATAAGTTAATAGTCACTGCTTAATATGTTATGTTGACATTCAAATTTGTGGATGTAGAGCCCTGATTTTGCGTCAAAAGTTGTGGACATAGCAGCCAAAGAACTAATAGCAATTGCTTCCCCTGGACAAGGTTTTGCTTCTCGCCTTTGTTTCTACAGTACAAGTAAAAATACTTTTTTGTTCGAAATTAAACTAGCACCTTTTGCAATGACAGTTACACAGGTACAGCTTGACCGAGCAAAAAAATCCACCAAGTCTGCAGTTCTAATGAATCTGGAATCTAGAGTATGGTCTTGCCTTCTGCTTTACATAATATGCGATGATTTTTTCAAATACTTTGGAAGTTTTTCTTTCATTTAGTCTCTTCCTTTGTTTGTGCATCCTTCCAGGGGCATCGTTTTTTTCTTTTCAAATTCTATTAGTCTTGTCTAGCATAATGATAGGAACCGAAGATGATTAAATTATCCCAAACAAGGTAAGCTTGGCTATTTAAAACGGAGAGAGATTCTTTAGAAAACACACTAATATCAAGATTAAAAGAGAAAATAGCCATAAATTGCATTAAGTGATCTCCACCAAGTTTACCCCAAAATTCTTTTTACACCTCAAAATTATCCTCACTCACCTCCAATCAAATTCTCCATCTCGCATATTTTCCACTTCCAATGTGTTATGGTGCAAGTCATTTGCTTGAATATTTCCCATCCTGCCCTTATTGTACTACCCTTGGCCCAAACCACTACATCCCTTTTTTTCAGTGAGGAAATACTGTATTTAGGAGGGATGACAGTCAAGTCTAACGCGGTAACGCCTCTGAAACTGTGGTGTGGAATTTCTTAAAAATTATGCGGTTAGAGCATCATTGCATTCTTCTGCCTTGTGATTCTTTTGTATCTTATATTCTGATATTCTTAAAAATAATCCTTTTTGCAGATGATTGCATCAGAAGATATTGGAAGGCAGATTTTGACTTATGGAGAAAGGTAAAGATCAATCTCAAGACCTTGAGATTTTCCTTTTCATTTATATCCTGTTGTTTCCATCTCCTTTTGATGGGTAAGATAAATAGTAAGGATGGGTTACTTGAATACTGCCACTCACAGTCAGCATACTAGTCCACCTAGGAAACTTTGTATGTTCTTGGGAGTTACTTTCTAATATTCAATTTTTTGGGTTTGAATTTGACATCCATAATCAGGTGGAAGAAATCTGTAATAAGAATAATTCACAAGCTATAATTCTTGAATGGAAGTGTAGTTCATTTTAAATTGTAATGTTAACCTTTTCAGGAAGCCTTTGGAACAGTTCCTGAAGGCTGTTGATGAAATCACGTTGAAAGATATCACTACAATTGCTCAGAAGATTATTTCCTCACCTTTGACCATGGCATCATATGGGGATGGTAATATGCTTTCCCTTTTTAAGAAACTCTTAACCATTGATAACACCAAGTTTTGACTGACATCATTTCTTTCTTTTATGGCAGTCCTGAATGTGCCCAGTTATGAATCTGTTAATAGCAAATTCCATGCAAAATGAAATTGCATGTGATCCACCTTAATGTCATTGTATTTTCTGGCTCACAAGCATGCGTACTTCCAATTTTCAAGATACACAGAATCAGCAATGCTGAAAATAAATCCCAGAGAAATTTTTGTGCGGATCTGAGGAACCTTTATTTAGGTTCCATGTTTGTTTTTTTTCTTACATGTATAACGATTTGCCTAGTGTATTAGGTGGCAAGTCTAAAACCAAAGGCTAAGGATCACCTCAATTTTTATTTTTATTTATAAATTGATTTTCTCTCAATTCTTATTAATCTCATCGTACACTTTTTGTTAACATTTTCTGTTATTTGGATATATCTATGTAGGGTTCATTCAATAGGTGGTAGTTCTTGTATCATTTTGTAGGCCCTATATAAATTTCAGTTAATGCAAAGCATATTGAACAAGCTATCTACCCGTCCATTGTAAGGCTTATTCAAATAAAGAACTTAAAGTTTATCTTCTTTTTTCTAAAAAACAAATAAACGAATGGTTGGCGTATTTTTTTAATTTATTCATAAAATACTTTATAAGCGAAATGTTCTAGAAAAATATTTATTGAAGGAGGGGTTTGATATTAGGTTGTAATTAATTAGAAGTGTACAATGTTAAGATATTAAAAAATACTTAAGATTCATAATTTTGTGTGTTTGTCAAGAAATTTTAACCAGCATATTATTTTAAGGAGTGTTGCTAGTGTTTTTCCTTTTATGAAATGAAACTATAAAATTAAGAAAGTGATTTAATTAATATGTCAGTTTCATTGAATTTGTGGGTTAGTATTTTTAAAAATAAATATTTAAAAAGTATATTAATAATTTAAAAATCATAATAATATAAAAGTATTTTTAACAAATATACGAAACAGATAAGTCTCGCGCATTGTAAGGTTTGAGCCCCAAATGCCCCATCCAAAACGGGACACTGAGCTGAACTCTATTCCCTTTCTGCACCTTCCCACGATACTCTTCATTTCTCTCACCAAGGTGAACAAAACCCAAAACTAATGATTTCACTACTGCCCTGTAACACCTCTCTTCAAACATCCTTTCTCTTCAACCCCTCAAAGCTTCCATACACGACACAAATCCAAGCATGCTTCATACCACAAACCAAAACACCCCAGAGAAGAACACAAGTGAAATGCAGTGCTGGAGAAAACAAGGGTGAGAGACGAACGTTTTTGACATTGGAAGAAGCTGGTTTGGTCGAGATATCAGGCTTGACCACACATGAACGCTTCCTATGCCGTTTAACCGTAACTCTCTTCTCATATCATCTCTCTAACCACTCTTACGTCTATTGTTTTTTCATATAAATAATGATCAATCTTTTAACAGTTTTTTGCAGTGTAATACATTATCATTAACTCGTTGACTGTTATTTGTTTATGGCGTAGATATCATCCCTGAACTTGCTAAGAGTGATATCGGAGCAAGAAGGGTGTCCAATCGAGGAGCTCAATGCTGCCAAAGTTTGTGATTGGTTCCTCAAAGATAAGCTAAAAAGAGAACAGAACTTAGGCTCTGCTGTTCTTCAATGGGATGATTCCGAGTTCCAATTTTAACTATTTACTACTTTTTTTTTCTTCTCAAGCCACGAGTTTTATTGGACTATGTAAATCAAGAAAAAGGGTGTCACTATTTTTGGATATTCGATTCTGATATTCTTATGGTAAAATGATTCGGAATGTTGATGCTGCTCAAGTTCCCTTTTCTGTGTTTTCTTTTCTCTTCGTAGTTATTGAATTACAACTAGTGCTATAATTTGATGGACCTTTTCGGGTTTGATATCATTGGGTTCCAAAATCTAAAGATTCGTGCCAAGATTTCTTACTTTCTTTGGCATGACTTTAATGAACTTGATGCATATGAAGTTATATTCAGTAGGGACATTTTAATTGGGAGATGCTATCAAGACATGCACACTTTTTTTAGTAAGATTTTGATTATTCTTCCTACTCCGGACATACCCCTTGGTGGTGTTGCTCTCCCAGATCCACTTCAGATTCTGTTGAACAAAGCAAGACCAAGATCACAACACTTCCAGTGGACTCAAAATAGCATCAGAGACATCTCATGTATGTATGTGTTTGTTTCTAGTTTTCTGGTGTCTATGATTAATGATGCAATGCTACTGCAAGTTTGACTGTGTGTGCATGTGTCTAGCATTTTTAGGATCTTGGTGTGTTCAATGACAATGTTACTGTATGTGCGTGTTTGTCACAGTAGTACTATATTTGTACCGTGCTAACTATGTCACTAACTAGTCTGAGAACGAAGTTACTAACTATCTAACTAGACTTCAATACCCCTTCAATCTGGCCGTGAATATACTTTGGGTAATCAGTTTAGTCCTGTATTAAAATAAGAATAAGAAAGTTCAGACACATAACTTAATATGTTTAATATTTTGGGTTATAAATCCATGTAAAGATCCAATGTAAATGTACTGAGTTTGTCCAAAGAGAATAAAAAAACAGTATGGTAGAGTGATTTGGAACCAACTTTCTCAAGTATAAAGTAAATATCTATTTCAATGTATTCTGTAAAAGGATGTAGAATAGGATTGTGTGACAATAAGAATGGTATAATGGCACAGACTCCGCTTTGCTCGTTAGAAAAGTACAGAGCGGGTTATCTATCATATATTTTTTATTTTTTTATTTTTTTTAATTAATAAATTTAATAATAAAATTATTATTGTTAATAATCTATATATATTAAGATAATAATATAAATTGATATATTATTTTAATAAATTATATTTTAAAATAATTAAATTAAAATAAAATTTATATAATAATAAATATATATATATATATAATAGTAAAAATTTATTAAATTTTTATTTTTTATATTAAAAAATATAAAATATATATGATTTTTATTTTATAAATAAATATTAACAAAAGAAACAAAAAGAGAAAAATGTATACTTAAAAAAGTGTTTTTATAATGTAAATTTAAGTAATTATAAAAAAGTTTAAATTTTTTTAATAACAAAATATTGAGATTTAAAAAAAATTATAAAACACTGATTTTTATAATTTTATTTTTATAAATTTTTATATTATATATTATTTTTTAATTTTTTATATTATTTAAAAAAAATGAATAGTAAGATGGGCTGGGGAGTGACTCATCTCAGCCTACTAATTTAATTGACTTGACAAATCGGATCAAAACCGACTGGATTTGGCAGCCGGGGAAACTGTGATCAATTATCGCAGTAAGTGGAGTGCAGGAAGTTCCTTCAAAAGTGACTGAATCTATAAATTTTATGATTCTTTTTATAATAATCTTAACTCTTTTCTTTTTATTTCATTAATCATGTCACCACGTCATTCACGTCCAATTATTAATAAAAATAACATATAAATAAATTTCACCTAAAGTTTAAATTTTAATCGAAAGTCATATTTCAAAATGAGTTTCGTCTGAGAATTCTTATTTAAAATTAATAAAAACAACGTCAACTACTCTTTAATAAATTCACAAATATAACAATAAAAAAAATTAAAACATTATATTCTAAATAAACTAAAATATTTAAGTAAGACATAATTAAAATTTATTATTCAAGTTCATTTTCTAGACACAGTAACTAATTATTTAATACCAAAAGTGCATAAATATTATATTATGCTATATGAAAAAGTGAATATAAATACTATTAAATCTTACAAAAATTAGTAAAGATTTTACCTCACTCCATATATGAAATTTTAATACTTTTTTATATTGAAAATATGGTTTCTAATTCTAAATATACATCCATTCTTTGTGGAATATTGAAAACTTTTTTTGGTTACATGAATGCATTGAAAGTGGAAATGTGAGACGTGATTAGATTTGTGTCCTCATTCTTTCTACAGTCTCTGATTCCTCTTTCCAATCAACCGACCCAAGAACCACTTTTTACTTTACTCTCATATCGAGAACATGTTCAAATAATAGTAATTATGAGTGGAGCCTTTAATTGATAGGTGGAAGCAATGATGGCCTGACACTACTCTACTCCCATTCACATTATTGCCTTTTCCCCTTGAAACCCTCAAACATGTACGGAATGTTTCCAAAGGCTCTCAATATTTTATTATATAACTTTTTTTATTTTTTATAAACTCATTAACCTAACCTTATTCTGAAGCAAACCTAAATGCACAGTAAATTTTAATTTTGAAGGAGTTACCCACACTAATACATGACAAATTATTATCTAAAATATATTTTTCTTACACACAAATAAATTTGATTATTATAATTACATTATGGTTCAAGGTCCCACAGCCTCTAGCATCAAAGACAAAAAGACTTGGAAATTAAATATAAATGGTATAATCACAACACAAAATTAACATAGGAAAACAATTATCAATTAGTGAACTTATGATTATTACCACATTAATTTAATTGACATGAAAGTTAAGTTATAACATTACATACATCATAACAAAAATATTACGAAATGACGAAAATGATAAATTTGTGAAGATAGTAGTCACATGATAATAAAAACCTAACTACAAATGAGATCAATCAAAATCGACCATGTGATAATGATAAAAAAGCTAACATATATTACAAAATGGAATCAAGAAAGATAACCTAATAGTTTAAAAGTTAAGTTAACAGTATCAATTAAGGTAGTAATATTGAATCAATTAAGATCAGGGGGATTAATTATAATTACTAGGATTAATGAAGGTCATGTGAGGATAAATTAAAATCCTATATGAATCAATTAAAATTACATAATATTTTGATATTTTTATAAGGTTAATATCTTTTACTAGTCAAAATTAAATTTAGTTTATTTACACTCTTTTTTATTAATCTGAAATATTTTTTTAAAGATATAATTAAGGATTTTAAAACGGGACTCTTTTTTATTAATCTGAAATATTTTTTAAAGATATAATTAAAGATTTTAAAAGGGGTAATATCTCGAATATGATAATTAACTTATCAAATATTATTTTTTTTTTAGTTTTATAATTTAAATATATTTATAATTTTAATAATTATTAAATATACATAAGATTTCTGAACAAGTGGAAAATCATTTGCTAAACCTATATCCAAATTATATAAGGAGATACGTATTTTATGTTTATTTTTAAAAATATAATCGAGTAAGAAAATTATATAATCTATTATCGTGATTTTTTGTAGAAAGTATTTTTTTTCTCTCTCCATTCCCTGCCGTGAGCTTGCTTGTGTCTATTTAAAGAACAAAATCCTAACAAGTTAAGCGCAGAATATTGGTGTGATAGAGAAAAGAGTTAGATATGAACATGAAGGTCCTTGGCTTGTTAGTTGCTGCATTTTTGGTGACATGCCCATGCCATGCCTCAGACTACCGAGTCTTCCCTCTCCAAATGAAAACTGCCTATCATGACCAGTACCCTACCGAGGTATCATGCGCAAGTTGGAGACTTGCTGTTGAGGCAAACAACCTCATCAAATGGAAAACTGTGCCTGCACCATGCCAAGAGTACATGGCAGACTACCTTCTTGGCGACCAATATAGATCAGACTCCAAAACTGTTTGCCGTGAGGCTTACTTTTTTGCTAAAACTCTTAATGTCACTCACAGAGACATATTTGTGTTTGACGTAGATGACACTACACTCTCTAATCTTCAATATTTTGCCAACCATGGTTTTGGGTATGTCATCTACACCCTTTTTGCTTTATATATGTGTCTCTTTAGACTATCTAACACTTCATATGTTTCTATGCTTAATATATGTAAGCTTTAGAACTTAGCACAGAAAGTAGCAGTGATTATTGATGAACATTTTGGTTGTATGGTAGGGTGGAAGAACATAATGCTACGGCTTTTAAGATCTGGGTTTCCTATGGTGAGGCATTTGCACTTCCTGAGACTCTTAAACTGTACAACAAACTGCTGTCTCTGGGGATCAAGATCGTGTTCTTGACAGAAAGACCACTAGAGCTGAAGGATGTAACTATTTCCAACTTAAAGGATGTTGGATTCCACACATGGGAAAAAATAAAGTTTCCCTTTTCCATGGAACTTTTTCTGCGTCGTAAATCTAAGCATGTCTTTATCCATCTTTCCAAGTGATGAACAATGAGAGGGCTTTTGGGTGCAGGGATCCATCCATATACTCTGGTAAGTTATCAAATGCTTTCAAATCTTCTGAGAGAAAGAAGCTGGCAGAAGAGGGATACAGAATCGTTGGAAACATCGGAGATCAATGGAGTGATCTTGTGGGAGAGCAACGAGGGCTTAGGACCTTTAAGCTGCCAAATCCCTTGTACTATGATTGAGCTCCCAAGACTCTAACTTTGTTCCTAACTATGAAATAATACACGTTAGGTGATCAAAATAGGAACACTTGCTATCTTTGTGACTTTGTGTTGTTGGGGTGTACTTGAAGCACGAGTTGCCTACGAGACTCAACAATGTTGTCTTGTTTTCACTTCATGAATATTTATGAGCCGAGTGCTGCGCTGAGTTTCTTTTCATTTTGTTTCAAGTTATAGTAGGTTAAAAAATACTTTATGAGTCCAAATCACAAATATTGCTAGCCCAACACAGCCCCATGCTCTTACAGGTTTGGGCTTGGAGTGCCTTTGCGGCCCAGTTCGAAAGAAAAGGCAAAACATTCACTGGGCTTCATAGTATAAGCGACTATTCAACATACCATTCTAATACCAATACTAACCAAGTCACTTAATTTATTAAACCTCACACTTAATCATTTTTAATTATATTTAACTATTCATTTTAATTCCAAATTATATATTTATATATATATATAGTCATTTGGTTAATTAATTTAATCATCACCTAATAGTCTAATTTTAACTTTTAACTAGTTATTTCTAAACATACACACAAATTTAACTTTTACCAATCAACATTAATAATTTAAGACTTTCAACTTTAATATAAGTTTATATACAAATTATTAATTGATTCAATCCCTAGTATTTTACTATGCTAATTAATATATTTCTATTTTTATTATATTAGCTTAACTAAAATATAATTATGCAAAAATATTAAAAATATACATTAAAATATACGTATTTTATTTTCAAAACAAATAACATAAATTTAAATTTCAGAAATTTATTTAATAATTTAAAAAATTCTGACAGTAACGTAACAACAGGTGTTCGTCAGATAAAATTTCAGGTTTTATGAGAAAGGAATGGAAATAATGTGACTGGTTGAAGGAAAGTACGAAGAATAGTGTCCACAAAACAACATGACAGTAACGTAGTGTCATACGCAGATGTTCTTCAAATGAAAATGAAATGACATAACAAGATTGTCAGTACTCGGCCTCAAAACTATTCAATTCAAAAAAAAAAAATCTTACATTCTATATTGTCTTGTTAAATCATATTTTAATTTTTCACCTATAATAAATATTCTATTAAATACAGTATATATGTAATGAAATAGAATTTTAAGAACATTTCCCATAATTATGTAATATTCATAATTTTTGTTGATTTTTTTATCGCATCATTTTTTTATTTTATTTTTTTCCTTCTTTCTACTCCTGTCTAACCCAAAATGATATAATACAACCATCATTTTCGTTATAAATATTTTTTAAAAACAAAATTATGTCTAAAAGCGACTTAATTACAAATTATATATATATATATATATATATATATATATATATATATATATATATATCAATTAGTTTTGCTTACAGAAACAAAATCTTACTTTAATTACCACATAATATATATTAAAAAATAATTTTAAATATGAACAAATTATAAACTAAAGATGATCGTTAATTCAGAAGACCAAATCTTTAAAACTATAATTAAGTCTTAATAAAGAGTCAAATACGTTACAGTGATTATTAAAGATAAGAATAATAGACGTTGAAAAATGATCTATCATTATCATAATATTTAAATAATTATTAACTATTTTAGTTATTAAGATCACTGAGGGATGTTGATAATTGATTTTAGAAAAGTTAAATAATATATTATTAATAAATAATAAATAAATATAAAAAAAAGAAAGAAGATAAAAGGATGAAATAATAAAATTATAAATATATACTTAAATATATTAAATGACCATTAAGTTTGATGAGATAAAATTATAAATTATATGAGAGTTATAAAACTAAAAAAGGATTAAAAAGATAAAATTGTAAATATATAAATAAATATATTAAATCTTGGTCAAATTTTACAATATCAAAATGTAAGTTGTATAAAATTTACACTCGTTAAGATTATGATGTATCATCTTTCATATCATAAAACATGCGTGTTATTAAACTAGTATTCAAATGCATGATTATACAAATAGATTCAATCCCTCGATAATTTTAAAAGCCTTACAATCACAAATTCGATAATTATATATAAACTTTACTGCTCTTACACATGTCACATTATTTTTCAACCACAATATTTTATTTCATCATCAAAAGATTCAATATCAATACAATGGATTATGCTCATTTATCAGAATAAAAAAGTAAATTATTCAAAAAATAAAAATTTAAACTTTTTATTTTTTATTATTTATTTAATATTATTTTATATTATTAAATGTTTAAACAATAATAGTAATAAATATTGTGGAAGGAAGTAGTTGAAGCGTGTTCCTAATGTGTTTCAGAGTTTGTGGCCCTAAACTTCTCCGTACAATCTCATCATCACATCACTCTTTTCCCACACTATTATTATTCAATAAAATGCACCGTCCATTTTTAGCGTCTCATTTTTTTTTTAAATTTAGGCTTAAGTATATATTTTTTTAACTAGAGTTGTTTTTCGGTTCTATAAAAATTTAGTTTCAGTTTTTGACAATATTTTTATTATTATTATTAGTTTGGTTTATTTGTTAAAAAAATTAGTTTTCTATTTTGTCTTTATGATATATAGTATTTGTTTTTAGCCTTTATTTGAATAACGTGAACGAAATTAAGAGTAAAAAATTATTTAAATAATGGAAATTTATTTTTATATAAAACTTAATAATATATATAATAAAGAAGAACGTCTAATTTCCGCTTCCCATAATTATTTATAGAAACTAATGTGAGGTGCTTATTTCTTCCTCTAAGAAGAAACATGTACCATAATTACCCTACTCTCACCAACTTATCACGTGTCAAAATAAGTGTGATGCAGTAGATTTAAAAAAACAAAAAAATAATAATTTTTTTTTTTAATGTGAATCAATTATTTACTCAGTGTATGTACCATATTTCATCAAGATTTTTCCCTCTCCATTATTACTATTAGCTCTCGCTATCCACGAATAAAGGATATTTTGCGACCAAATTAATATATAAGGATAGCTTTAAGAGAAAGTGGGTGAATGCATGTATCACGTGTGTTATAACTATTCTTAAATTTCATATTACTTTGTTTTTTAAAAGACTCTCACTTTCGAAAATCTAGATCCAACAAATTTTATAACATAAATGCATTTCAACTACATAGTTCTAAAATTTTAACTCGTTCGTTTGTTGAAAATTAAAAAAGAGAGGCAAATATTAACTAATACTCTAATAATCTATGCTAAAAAGTAAATATATTTCATATTTATTTACTAAAAAAAAAAAACTCTTAAACAGTATGAACAAACAAATAGTTCCACTTAGGTTATCCACACATATCTCCAAATTATTGAAGAGTAAAATTTAGGGTAGAGTTAAAAAAAAAAAGTTGTGGTGGAGGCAGAGAAGCATCGTGTATTTAAGGAAGGAAAGGGTGGAGGAGGAAGATGCAGAAGTTAGTTGAGATAAGAAGAAGCAGTGCAGTGAGATAGATACGAGTATGAAGGTCTTTGTGCTCTTTGTTGCTACAATTTTGGTAGCTTCACAATGCCATGGCGCTTCGTTCAGAAGCTTCCCTCTCAAAATGACAACAGAGAATGGCGATGATGACAGTTACACGGAGATGAGATGTGCCAGTTGGAGACTTGCTGCGGAAGCACACAACATCTTCGGCTGGGAAACCATTCCTGAAGAGTGCGTAGAAGCTACAGCCAACTACATTGAAGGAAAACAGTACAGATCAGACTCCAAAACAGTTAACCAACAAGCTCACTTTTTCGCCAGAGCTCGCGATATCGATGAGAATGACGTCATTTTGTTCAGCATAGATGGAACCGTGCTCTCCAACGTCCCATACTATTCTCAACATGGATATGGGTATGCTCTTTTATTTTCTTTTCTTTTCTTTTCAAACCATGTTTTCTGTTTTTCCTCTTCCTATCTTCTCTCCTTATCATCATTAGTACCAACGGCATGAAGCAAAGGTTTGTCATGTAATGCTTGTAAAGGTTAATCAACTACACCACGTGTAACTGCTTTCATGATCTTTACTTATGAAGATTTTTGTGATGTAGAGTGGAGAAGTTCAACTCCACACGTTATGACGAAGAATTTGTGAACAAGGGTGACGCACCAGCATTACCTGAGACTCTAAGGAATTACCGCTACCTGGTGAATCTTGGCTACAAGATTATCTTCTTGTCAGGAAGACATGAGAGCAAAAGAGCTGTAACTGAAGCCAACTTAAAGGCGGCTGGTTACCACACATGGGAGAAGTTGATTCTCAAGTGAGTTTCAATCCTTCAAGTTTATTTAACTTGCTTAATACATACAGATCAGTGTAGCATATGCATATTACTATAGTTCATTAAAAAAGGGTGCTGTATTTTTCACTGAAGAGTGTTGAATTTTTTTAAGATATATAATGTAGAGATGCATGAAAAGAGAGGAAAATGTTATTAATGAAGTGGGGATTAAGGAAGAGATTTGTTGTTGCAGGGACCCATCAAACAACTCTCCAAATTCTCTTGAGTACAAAAAGGCAGAGAGGGCTAAGCTGGTGCAGCAGGGATACAGAATCGTGGCAGTGATCGGAGACCAATGGAGCGATCTTCTGGGATTACCCAAAGGCCTTAGGAGCTTTAAGCTTCCTAATCCCATGTACTACATTTACTAGTTCCTCTCACAATCATACCCCATGCTCCTATCTAGCAAATAATGTACTCTATGTATTATAATGGGAGCATTCACTATGTATGCACGTCGCTTTATGTTGTTGAGAGGTTGAACGAATCACCCAAGAGACTACACTGCGTTGTTTTCTCTTTTGTGGGCGTTAATAAATTATGAACCTTTCTTCCAAATTACAAATTCTCCCATTCAAGCTACTTTTCTTTTCATCTTTCTGTTTTTCCCAGTAAAAGTAGTTTATTATTATTATTATGTTAAGCAATAAGTCTTAAAAACAAGCAAGGTAATTAGATAAGTTTTATAAACTTAGATAAAACGTTAGGTTTAGCGATCGATGTTTGTAGATCAACTTGAACCATGAATGCAGCAAGATTTAAATCATACCACATTATATAAAATAAATAATATAAAACTTTCAATACGTTTTCTACAAACTTTCAATCACTACCTCAATTTTCCTATTTTCACTTTCTTTCGTTTATATTATATATAAATTTCTCTGGCTTTGATTTCTTTTGTACTATGTGTATAAATGAGATTCCATGCAACTTTAAGATATATACATATCATGCGTCTTAATTGGTCTCTACCTTATCATTTAAGCAGAGTGGGACCCCAAAAGACACTTTATTTATTATTTTTTAAATTATGATAAATTCTTGAGCCAAATATTATTTGCAAACCCTAATTGTCACATATAGAGAGAGAAAACAAGAATTATACTAATTTTACGAACCAACGACATATTAAATATTAACATAACAAAAATCGGAATTGAGTTTCTGAATCATAATTTAAATAAAAGTAAGTCTTGAAAGGAAAATGAACCATTAATGTTCTAAACTTTCAGAATCCTACATAAAGTTTCTAAATTTATATTCTTACGGTTGATATGATATGCCTTGCTTTATTAAAAAAAAAAATGTGACGCTCACTTAGAAAAGTTGGATCCAACTAATTTTTATGGCATCAATTGATGCATTTACATGTTAATTACTAAACTCTAAAAGAGATAGGGAAAACAATTTAAGTAGTCAATAATAGTAAAATTATATGTAACACTTTAAAAATTAGATTATAATTCACCAATCTTTTATCATAATAGAGACTACATATATCGTAAAAAAAATAAAAAATAAATCGTAAGTGTAATTTAAAAAAATAAAAACAAAGAAGTATCATTAAAATGTAATCAATTTTTTTATAATATTAAATTTTTATTGCGCACTCATTATTAAAAAATAATTATTTAAGATGGATAAAATATGTTACAAAACAAGTTAAATTCTGTCACAAAGTCGTAATGTATATGATGATTGACACTGTCATGTAACAAAAAAAAATGATGATGAGAAAATATTTGTGACCGATTTCTTAACTTTTACTATAGGCAATATGAAAAAATAAAATAAAAAAATCATCACAGAATATATGATCTTCGTCACAAATTTTGACAATCTATTCTGCCATAAATGTTATAATGATATTATCTTAAGTACTCATTTCTTCTGACACTAAAATTTGCGATAAGTATCTCCCACAAATTGTGATATTGTAAATGTTCGTGATCACTTAAAACAATTTTTCAAGAAATTCAATGAAGAATTGGTTACTTTGTAATTTAAAGATTTATGGAATGAGAGTTCGGTGCTAATGATGTTTTAATTTGATGCTTTTATATTTTAGTTGTATTCAATTATTTTTTATTACTTGCTTAATAGTTATAAATATTTCTCAATATAAATAAATAGAAGTAAACAATAATTATAATATCGTTGTTTAATATTTAAATGGTAAACTTGGTATAAACATAATTAATAAATTTAATGGTCAGAGAATTACTTTTTTTTACTGATGACTCTTCTTTTTCGTGACAAAATGTTTTATTTACTTTAACTATAATATATATATATATATATATATATATATATATATATATATATATTTAATTTAGAGTGATATCAATTTTAGCTTAACAAATTATTATTTTTTTTAATCTCTCTCAAAAAAAAAGATTTTAGTTTCTAAAAGTTGTGAAATTTAATTTATAGAAATTAAAATTATATTTATTAAATTTAAAGACTAAAATATTTGTTTACTTTCTTTTCAAATTTTATAAAATGAAAAACATCATTAAATGATAATAATTAAAACAATAAACGTACAACTGATAATGTTTATATTTTTCTTTTTCGAAAACAAAATAAAAAGTGATATAATAATTTTGTTGATAGGATATGTCCGTGAAGGAGAGGCACAATTCTGACAGATATTATTATTACACCCAATAATAATGAATTTTGTGGAAGGAAGTAGTTGAAACGTGTTCTTTATGCGTTTCCAAATTTGTGGCCCTAAACTTTTCCGTACAATCTTATCAACACATTCAATAAATGCACGGTCTTTTTTTAGCGTCTCTTATCTTCTTCTTTTTTTTTATATTTACTTTTCTATTTTGTCTTTACGGTATGTATTATTTGTTTGTAGCCTGTGTTTGAAATTAAGACTATAAAATCAGATTATTTATTTAAAATAAAATAAAGGAAAATTAGAAAATAAAAATGAAAAGTTTAAATGTTATGTTTTTTATCATGCACCTACACCATTAATTGTTTATTAATATTAAAATTATACATATTTTGAGTATATTTTGATATATTTATTTAAAAATAAATATTAAAAATCTCTCGTATTAATTACGAATCGAATCAAAAATAAAAAAATTATTCATGATCACAATTTTTTTAATTCATCAAGAATCTAAATCTAGAAATAAATAATACGACATTAGACATAAAAAGGGAGCAGGTTTTCTCACTCGCATTCCCTTCTCAATCGCAGGGAAATTAGTGCTGTCAGAGTTTTCAATCTTCGTTGAAATTAGATATTTTAATTCTCGTTTTTATTGAATTTTGGATTTCTTTTTGTTGGTAGTTACGATCTCCGTTATTTCTAAAAATATAATTATATCTATAATTAAATTAATTTTAATATTTTAATATATATTTTTATATATAAATAAATTTTTAAAATTTTTTAATTTATAATTATTATTAATTAAATATATTTTTAATTTATTATATTTATATTAAAATATATATATATATATATATATATATATATATATAATTTTTTACTTTTTTTCTTATACAAATATATATAATATTTATAACATTATTATTATTATTTATTCAAACATTAGATTAAGTTAATTTTTTAATTATTATTTAAAAATATAAAATATATATTTTATAAGAAAAAAATTAATAATTATTTCTTATTTAATTATTTCACAATAATAAAATTTAAATTATGAGATATTTTTAATTATTTAAAATAAAATTATTTGATTAAAATAATTTGTAATATATAATAAATAAAAATAATAAAATAAAAATATATAATATAATAAAATTTAATAAATATAAATTATAAATAAAATAATATTATTATTAGATTTATCTAAAATATTTAGAAAAAATAAAAAATAATAGTAAATTTTATATTCGTAAGACAAACATTAAAAAAATAAATTGATCGAAAAATGTGAGAAAAAATTGAAAATTAAGATAAAAAGGATAATATAATAAATTAATCAATATAAAAAATTAAAAAAGATAAAAATCTAAAATATATATAAAATAAAAATAAAAATAAAAAATAATTTTATATACAAAAATTAAAATATTAATTTTTTAAAATTAAAATATAAAATTCTAAAGAATACTATTTCAGGATAAAAATTGTAATACCGATGGAAAAAATCCAATCCTATCCATTTTTTCACAAAAGTAAGAAGACCCAAAGAGGGAAGAAATGAATTTGAAAAGGAAAAAGATTTTTTCACAGCTATTTTTATAAACATTTACAATTTTAATTTTTTTATTGCTAAGGAGAAAATAAAAGAATATAAATAAATAATAATTTAAAAATCTAAAAATAATTTGTGAAAGGAATGTTTTTGTTTTTTTTATAAAATATTATTTTTGATTGATAAAAAAATAAAGTAATTGTTTCTGGTGGAATTTCGATCGATCTCGATTCTAAAGGTGTTTTGGTTCTAATCAAAATCCTACCACGTAAGCTCTTTTTACTTAGGCTAGCAATTTGGTTTTCAATCGAAAACGTGTATGAAAATCGAAAACTCCAGGATATCGAAAATACTGTTTTTGGTATTTTGTATTTAAAGTATCGAAAAAATTTAGACTATCGAATAGAAAAGCGTAATATTAAATTGCGAGGAAATGTAACATGCGAGAACCCCAAACTTGTATTAATTGTAAATAGCGAGGAATCGAAAACAACACAAATATAACTGACAAGAAATCGAGGTTGCAAGAAAAGTAAATGACAGGAAATTGAGATTTGCGTAATGTTAAATAACAGGAAATCTAAATGCGTAAACTCAAATTTTCATTGAATTGAAATGGACAAGGAATCGAAATACGTAAACATAAGACTCGCTGAATTTAAGTTGCATCAAAGTAAATTACCAAGGAAAATACGTAAAGCGATAAATGTACTCCGTGAGCAGGGAAATCCAGCACCGCCGTAAGCTTCATGGTGTTCGTCGTTTCTCCGGTAGACTTTTCACTACCGGTTCCGTGCTCCGCCAATTTTTGCTCCTCTCCTCGTTCCTTCCTTCTTTCGCTCTATTTATAGTGGCATCCTTCAAGCCTTCTAAGAGCAGCTTAATATGATCGCGACCACGTTCTACGTGCGTATGGCAGTTTATCTTCTAGTTTCCCACGTTCTCACGATCTCCGACTTTTACCCATGATTTCAAAACTGCTCTCTATACGTGCATTCGACTTACTTCTCTTCACGATTTGGCCAAAATCTCGATGTCCGCATTGGTTTTCTTTATTCTCGATTCTATATTTTTCGAGAACTTCGAATTGCTCACGATTCCTTTTTAATCCTGATCTTATGACTTAGTTTTTATTCGACAACGGTCATTTGATTATAATTCATTCGATTTCGATC